TCGTGGGGTTCTTCCAGCGCCTTGATGGCTAAGTGTACTTTGAGGAACCCTGTAGATAGCAGCAGCGCGTCGCTGGCTTAGTGACGCGTTAGATTTTATTGCTTGGGTAGCAAGTATAACTCTATCTGCACAGGAAAGTAATTCAAGATCAGGTTGTTGAGCCATTGTAATTAATAGTAGAAAGCGTTGTGGTCTTGGCAGAGTGATTCGCTCGGTGGGGTGATTCGCTCGGTGGTGGACCACGTTACTTCTTATCTATACTTCTTATCTATACTGTACGTGTGCTCAGCGTCAACATTGAACTTGGCAATCTTGGCCTGTAACAAGTTAAAGTAGAGCTTTTACTTGCTGTAGGACTCGGCGTTGTGGCAATCTGAGTCCATACCTGTTGAGTACTAAGAGATGAGATGGATTGAGTGCTTGTGAATAAAGGAGGTAACCCAGCTCTTGCCCACTAACTCCTAGGCGACTGCTGACGCGAAATTTGAAATCACCTCTCGTGTAGGGGGTACATGATGAGCAGTAAGCTCTTCTATATACTTCACAAGCTTCTCCTCTTGTTGTGGGGTGAGCTTCTGTTGTGTAATTGCCTGCTCTTCACGCGATCGCGTCTCGCGTTGGTATCTTCGCGTCAACGTTGAGCGCACAACCCTATGCGTTTTTGCTATCTCTGTCCAGGAAGTATCTTCTGCATCTTCACAAGTATCACACTCTGCAAGGGCTTCTTCCAGCGTCATCGTGGCGTTGAATTATAGTGTTGCGAAGTATAGGTGCATAAGACGCCTCGACGCATTGCGGCAAAGCTAGGTAATCTCGGCGCTGGATGCTCAGCAACAAGGTAGTATTAACGTGAAGCGCGATTTTACGGTCAGAAGTGATGCAGCGTAACAGGAGGTCTTGCAGCGCGTTTACAAGCGAAGTGTGGAGGTCGTCATCGTTACAGGCTGCTATTCAGGCCACTGCAAATGACACTATCATAACCCCAAATCTACTCATAGCCATTATTTATTAACCTTGCTGTGTCAAGTCTTGCTCTCTTGCAAACTTGAGTCGCTTGAGTATGGTGCAATGACTACAACGCTCACAACATGATCACTCACGTGAAGAATTATTGAAATGGCTACATTGGGAGTTCGAGGTATCTAACAGTGTTACTATAAATTCGGGTTAGATGGACTATCAGGCAATGCACTCCTATGAAGTGGTCTTATGGAAACGCGACGTGAGCTGTAATAATGATGGTTCTCAATCCGACTCCAACCCGAGTGGAATTTGAGATGAGCAGACGTGGACCTACTACAGATGTCAGCCACATCTTGTAAATATGCCACAAGCGATCATGCCGCCCTACTGATTGAAAGCCAATGCTGACATCTTTAATTTGCAATTGCGGCGATAGAGAAGGGAGGGTCGAGATTACAGCCACTGAAGCAGACGTTCTGCGGATACTTAAGAGTACCTCGACTGGAGGAGGTCGAGCGTGTTCGTGCCTCGTGAGCCTAACCAATGGTTATTACACACCGCGAGCCTTGTGCAAGCCACATCGTTAGGTTAAAGTGCTGTTGACCGTATTCGCCTACCCTGACCATATGTAACTATGTCCTTCAGCGAGAGACGCGATATCTGGGGGCGTGCTCCTCTCGGAATATTGGTGGTCTTCATCGAAACAATCAACCAGTCTAACAAAGCGATCGAACATCGAAAGTGTCCTTGTCGAAATGCGTAGTGAGTGGATCGAGCCATGCCGTACGGTAGCAGAGAAAGTCGGCTTTCTTGGGAATATGGGAGGTAGTCCATGTTAGTCTGTCTTATGTTTGTAACCTGTTAAGTCTTCTGGAGGCTACAATGAGTCTGCTGTTGCAGCCGGCTTGTTCTGGTTTTAGAAGCTTGGCCGCTGGACTTCGCTCTAGGTAAGATCTTCTCATCAGTTAGGAAATGACCACGCTGCAATTGCACGATTTCCGCCGGATGTAACTTGAGTCTATTCGTTCGTGGGACAGTTGTCGCTCCAATATATTACAGATATCGGTGTTGTACAGGGTATAATCGTGCCGGCCAGCAGCTGGGGTATTCAGAGTTTTCACTCTTTTGGTGTATCTGTAGGTGGCTGGTTCTTGTCTGTCAGGCGTTCTTCGCCCGCTGGTGATGCGTGGGTGTGGAAGTGCGCAGAGCGTGGGGTGGAAGAGCCGTCGTCCCAGAATTCGACATCGCCCTCTGCGCTCAGAGAGCCGCGCTTGACAAGTCCGCCCTTCTCCTTCATCAAGTCTTCGATTGTGATAGATTTGTCGGAAAAGATCTGAACTCATTAGCTAATACGGTACAAGATCCTTCCTTCGATGTACCTTCAGATGGTCACTGATCAAGTGCCTGTTCTTGCAATCAGGACATGATATCAAGATAGTGCCCTTGTGGTATCCTTGTTTTGACAGCCTGTGCGACGAACGAGTCTTGCAAACATTGCAAGTAAATGTAAGCTCGTAGGAAGGCACTTGATCGCGGTCGAGTCGCGATTCTGGTGCCTGGATCGATGTGTTCTGCGGCGGTGTGGATGCGCTAGATTCGAAACGTGCAGTAGAAGGAAGGCGTGCTCTATCAACGACGATCGAGGGGCGGATGAGGATTGACGTTCGTGGCGTGTATATAAGGCGCTTTGAGGTGGCAGGAATGTGTTCAATAGGGCGAGCCCAAGCTAATCGAGGTGCAGTTGTGCGGACGCATGGGCGCAACAAAGACATATAAGAGCACATGATGGCTGAAATACGAGCGATGCAAGTCAGGAAGGGACGTCGAACAAAACGCAGCGTTAATTTGTGAGCGTGAACATGAAGCTTGAATTGAAGCTGCGGACAAAACCGTCTCCACCGAACGCCGCCGAACGCCAAGGACATCGATGTCATCTGCATGCGGGAACCGCGAGCATCCCCGCTAAGACAGCGAGGCGTGAACACTACCACCGTACCCTCGCATCGCCCGTTCGCTGTTCTTGACTGCTGTCGCTGCCGCCGTTTGGCTCTGTCTAGTCGCTCCCTCCTTCACTACCACAGCGCGCACGTCGACCCCGCCACCAAGGCCTTCCCACCACGCCGCCTCCGCAGCCGAAGGGTCCACACCTCTCGAGCACTCGTCTTAGCTTTCACTTCCAGGAAATATGATCGCCGGACGCGGTAGACAGCGAATTCGGCCTCCGCGCAGGGTACGTTTATCTTCCATTCACCTTCCCCGGCAGCTATACATCACCCTCAGCCGCGTCTGCCTTTCTTGATCATCACCACTAACAATGGCGCGAAAGCAGGGTCTGCACGGCGACGAGATCGACTTCGAAAACACGTGGGCGACAATCGAAGCTGCCTTCCGCGAGATCCACACCAAGAACGCTTCGAAGCTATCATATGAGGAGCTCTACCGCCACGCCTACCGCATCGTTTTGAAAAAGAAGGGTGAAGATCTGTACCGGAATGTCCACGAATTTGAGCGCAAATGGCTGAGCAGTGAAGTTCGCGCGGCCATTCAGCAGTTGCTCTCACCAAACCTCCTCGTGGATGTGCAGAGTCTGGGCGGTACCACTGCGAACGAGCGACGAGTTGCGGGCGAGAAATTCCTCAAGGGCTTGAAACAGGCATGGGGTGACCACCAGGTCTGTATGAGCATGTTGGCAGATGTGCTCATGTACATGGTGAGTTACAATTTGGGTACTACCCGGTAGTGTGAGGACTAACAATGGCCTTTCAGGACAGAGTGTATTGCGCAGACCACCGCCGACCGTCGATTTTCAATGCCGCTATGGTCCTCTTCCGAGACGAGATACTGCGATCACTTGTCTCCGAACACGATGCGCGGCTCCTCCTCGACCTACTGAATCACGTCATCCTCGACCAAATTCAAATGGAGCGCGATGGCGATGTCATCGATAAGCACCTCATCAAGTCATGTGTTTGGATGCTGGAGGGGCTTCACGAAGAGGAGACCGAGTCAGAAGAGCAACGTCTGTACAACGTCTCGTTCGAGCGGGAGTATCTGGATACTAGCAGGGAATTTTACAAGAGCGAGTCAGAGCTGCTGTTGCGCGACTCTGATGCCGGTGCATACTGCAGGTACGCTCGAAGGAGAATCTACGAGGAGGATGAGCGATGCAAGCAGACGCTTCTGGAGAGCACAGGATCGAAGATTCAAAAGGTCGTTGAGGATGAGCTGATCAAGAACCGCATCCACGAGCTCGTGGAGATGGAGAGCGGAGTACGGTTCATGATTGAGAACGACCGAATGGAGGAGCTGAATCTCGTATACGATCTGAACAGGCGGGTGGACGAGAAGAAATTGGAGCTCACGCGAGCAATCCAGAAGCGCATCGTCGGTATGGGTACAGACGTCAACAACGACGCCATTGCCGCATCACAAGCGACTCCTGCGCCTGTACCCGCAGCGGCAGCCGACCCAGCGGACAAGAATAAGAAGGTTACACAGGAGAAGGCCATCAACCAGCAGACAGTCGCCGCTATCAAGTGGGTGGAGGATGTGCTCACGCTGAAGGACAAGTTTGACCGTATCTGGCGCGACTCATTTGAAGCAGACGCCCTCTTACAGCAGGCGGTGACCAGGAGCTTTGCCGAATTCATCAACTCGCCAACATTCCCACGCTCCTCCGAGTACATTTCGCTCTTCATCGACGAGAACATGAAGAAAGGCATCAAGGGCAAGACAGAGATGGAGATTGACGCCGTCCTGGAGAAGGCCATCATTCTGCTGCGATATGTCCAAGATAAGGACTTGTTCGAACGCTACTACAAAAAGCATCTCTGCAGGCGCTTGTTGATGAACAAGTCAATCAGCAACGAGGTCGAGAAGCAGATGATCTCAAAGATGAAGATCGAGCTTGGAAACAACTTCACACTAAAGTTGGAAGCAATGTTCAAGGACATGACCATCTCCGAGGAACTCACCGCAGGCTTCAAGAAACATGTTGAGGGTCTCGGCGAGAAGGATCCGAAGCGCATCGACCTAAATATCAATGTGCTTACCAGCATGACGTGGTCACTCGAAACCATTGGCGGCTCCGTCGAGGATGGCGAAGGACGGCCACGGTGCAACTTTCCTACTGCTGTGGAGAAGGTGAAGCGTGGTTTCGAGAAGTACTACAATGAAAAGCACTCTGGACGACAGCTTACCTGGCTTGCCAACATGGGATCAGCGGACATTCGAGCTAGCTTTAAGAAAGTGCAGCAGAAGGATGGTTCGTTCAAGGAGCGTCGCCACGAACTCAACGTACCTACTTACGGCATGGTCATTCTGCTCTTGTTCAACGACTTGCCTGCCAATCAACATATGACCTTCGAGGAGATCCAGGCGCAGACGAACATTCCAGCGCCTGATCTTATCCGGAATCTACAGTCGCTGGCTGTTGCACCAAAGACACGTATTTTAACCAAGGAGCCCATGTCCAAGGACGTCAAGCCTACTGATAAGTTCTTCTTCAATGAGGGCTTCAACGGCAAATTCGTCAAGATCAAGGTCGGAGTGATCAGCAGCGGCAACAAGGTCGAGAGCGACCGAGAACGACGAGAGACCGAGAAAAAGAATGACGATTCGCGACAGTTCTGTATCGAGGCTGCTGTTGTTCGAATCATGAAGTATGTATTTCATATCTATGCTCATCTGATCCCTACTAACTGGATCAGGCAACGCAAAGAGCTTTCACATCAGCAGCTTATTCTCGAGACTCTCAGCCAGCTGGCTAGTCAGTTCAAGCCCGAAGTCAATATGGTGAAGAAACGTATAGAGTCGCTCATCGAGCGGGAGTACCTTGAGCGCATTGATGGAGCAAAGGTAGACTCATATCGATATCTTGCATAGACCTGGTGATCAGGCGTTGTAGCATAGGCGTTTGGCGAACATTGCGTTTGGGCAGATTCCCCTGGCGGTTCGCATGGCACGGCGTAAGGAAGATGTCTACGACCTGGGACATACAGGTGTCTACAGAGTATCTGGTGGCATAGCATCAAGTCCCGAATCTGGAGATTATCGAATCGAAAACACGTCGAAAAAGATCACCCCAGCTGTTCGTCGCGCCTCCTCGTTTCGACCTCGAGCACTGGCCGTGAACTAGATCTGCCAGTTCATCACGAGTGTCGCAATGTCAGCGGGTGTTTCGAAACCGACACTAACAGAACGCAGAACTATCTTTGCTTTGACACGAACCAAACGGAGATGACCTCTACGGTGGCGACCAGAGTGTCCATACACAGCCGTCTTGAAAGGCCTCAATATGGCAAGAAACAGCGGTAAGTAGAGCAGCACTGAAGTCAGCACCACGTGAAGCCATCAGGACAATACGGCTCGGACAGCTAGCAACTATCAAATAGATGCTTTGGTACACTAGCGATCCGAATCTGGCGTTTCACGGAAGCACACTTCTAGAATCGATCATCACGGTTCACATGTTCGCCACGATGACTGTGATCGCCATCTGATCAATTCGATTGATCTTCTAGAATCTGCCTCCCCAGCAAGACGACTGTCGAAGTTGATTCCGTCAAACATCTCAAAGACTTCTGCCCAACATGACTTTCAACATCAAGTCAAGCAATCGGTCACCTCGATGTTGAGAAATGAAAATTGGTTCAACGCTGCAACGGCGCACAAACTTGCATAAGTTTGCATAACACTAATGCAGGACTAGACGACGCTTATTGATAGCTGCAGTTTTCCGCTTCTCATGGTTCCCATTGGCTCGTCTACCCAAATGCTGCTTGAGTCTCAGCCAATGATCATCACAATGGCAGAAACCGTGATAAGAAATGTGGGAAACCCACGGGACGAGGGTGCTGGAGTTGTGGGGAGACAATTCTCGAGCGCAAATCTGAGGTGTGTGTGGAGAAGGCTTCTGCGGGCATCAAGATCGCAACGGCGGTGGATCTTGATGACGTTGGAGCGTTGCAGTTGCGCCCGGGAGGCCCACGGGCGCTGGGGAGCCGGACCGAGAGCTGGCGCATGCCTTGTTGGCAGAGCTGTTGGATGCTCAGCTCACGAGAACACAACGGTGTTCATGAAGGACTAGAAAACCGGGAGTCTTGGAAATAGAGTGCCCCTGCAGCGACACCATAGCAGTTCTCGCAGCAGCTCGCCTGCTCAAACACGCGGCTCCCGACACGTAGAACCGCGCGACCACGGCGCTAGAATGGAGGGACATCCTTGACATGCTGTGTTCTCTTGTTCGCAGGTCATCGCAGCGCTCTTTGTCATCACACATTTCAGATATGATAGGAACGTTGCGACACGAGCTGAGCAGAGACAATGCTCGATTGCAGACAGCAGCCCCCAGCTGTGCGCGATTGAGTCTCGTGTTCTCACGTCCCATCGCGTGCCGTAGGCTCAGTGTTGCCATGCCACGCAACTCCGCGCCGGTGCGTCAATAACGCAATGGCAGATAATGCACGTTACGTAGCCTCGCCTTTAACTCCTTTCACCTTCATGGATGAACAACGTGGCATACCTAATGCAACTGCTAGCAGCGCAATGAGGTGCACAAATGTCGTCTCTCTATTTCAGCAGACAATAAATCGCCGAGTCGATCACACGCACAGGAAATGAAGACGCCGCTGGGGTCGCCAAGCGCGCGATGCCAGCAACAACATCCATGCCGAACGAGAGTGGATGGAGCTCCGGGGCCAGCGAGAGATGGTGCCATGCCTGTCCTGCTGTGGGACGACCCTCAATGGTGCAGTATGGGACGGCTGACGGTGGCCGAGCGAGATGATGTTCATGTTACGAGCAATCCTGATCCTCACAAGAATGACATCTACCTTCACCGCCGACATGTCAATGTGGATGACGTGCGAACGCATGCCGCTGATTGCTTTTGGCTTCGTCCCCCTGACGGCTGTTCCTGACGGGTGTGCGGGTTCCTGAATGGTCGAAACGATGGCGCTCGACGGCGTCAAATGAGGCAGCGCCACCATGGCCCCGCTCGACAAGTCAAGCTTTTGTCAGGCCGATCACCGACCAGCATCAGTCACACTTTTGCAGGTGTGCCGCCGATATCTTAGGCTGCATGCTAACTGCGATTGGCTGGAGTGCTCATTTCCACGACACAGGCTCCTTGACGCTTGCCCCTCGCCGGCAGCCGCCAGCTGAATGCAGGCCATCCTTGGTGCGACCGGGACTGGAAAAGTTTGTTTGCGAGAGCGCTCTGCTGTCGCTGTGTGGAAGCCTTCCAGGCCCTACCCTAGCCATGGAGGGATCCGCTCTCCCCGTTTTCGTATATGAACTGAGGCCACCCCGTACCCCCATCTCGCCCACAACGTTCCAAACTCCCACCAGAGCTGTCGCAATCTTTCCCTACGAGCATCCGCTCCCCACGTTCCTTCGAACACCACATTCATTGCGATACGGCTTCAGCCCTGGTCGGCTCGTTCCCTGTACTCTTCACGAAGTCGCCTGTTCTACAACGCACAAGATACCCTGTCTACCTCAATATGTCTTCCATGACCAAGATCAGCCTTTTGGCTCTCATCGGCGCCGCCGCCGCTCACCCTTCCTACGGTGCTCACTCCAAGTTCCATTCTAAGCCCGCTGCTGGCACTGGAAAGCCCTACCCCACTGGCGGATGGTCCGGCAACTACAACAGCACTTCTGTTCAGGTTCCTGCCGGCACTGCTTCTTACGATTCTTACGAGCCTGGCAAGACCTCCACCGTTGACATCACCACCACCTCCACCAGAACCATCTACTCCACCATCTACGGAACTCCTGCTGCTCAGTCCGCCGTCGTCGCTGACATCTCTTCCAAGCCTGCCAGCAACCAGTGCGGTCCCGCTACCGTCACCGTCACTGCCACCGAGAAGGCCACCGTCACCGTCACCCCTGGCGTCCCCTCCTCCAAGGTCGTTGTTCCCTCCAAGGCCGGCGAGTCCAGCTATGCTGTCATCTCCTCGACCCCTGCTGCTGAGAAGCCCACTTCCTCCAAGCCTGCTGTTGCTACATCCTCTGCTCCCGCTGCGTACAGCTCCATGCCTGTTATAGCTTCCAGCAAGGCTTCTGAGTACGAGGTCTACACCCCTTCTGCCTCCCTCCCCGCCATCACCTCAATCGCGCAGAAGGAGTACAGCTCAGCAGTTCCCTCCTCCACTGCTGCTTCTTCTTCCGCCGCCCCCACATCCTCGGGCACTCCCACCTACAGCGGAACCAAGCGTGGTCTTGCCTACAACGATGGTGAACTCTGCGCTACCTTCGGCTCCAACTTCGGTTTCGCCTACAACTGGGCTCAAACCGAGAGCAAGGATGTCGGCGCTCCTTTCATCCCCATGATGCACAAGGTCTCTGACTCCACCGCTGAGGCTTGGTTGGCCAACGTCGACACGGCTGTTAAGGCCGGCTCCAAGGCTGTCATGGGTTTCAACGAGCCCGACATCGCTGCGCAGGCCAACCTCACCCCCGAGGCTGCTTGCTCTGCCTGGAAGGAGTACATGAACCCTATCGCCTCTGCTCACCCCGATGTCACCATCCTCGGTCCCAGCGTGTCAAACAGCGGCACGACCGGCCAGGGTCTTAGTTGGCTCGATACCTTCCACGAGATCTGCTCTGATGCTATCGTCCACGCCACCAACATCCACTTCTACGACATCTACGAGGAGGCTACCATCGACCGCTTCAAGGCGCAGGTCGAGAAGGCTGCCGCCAACTACGGCAAGCCCGTCTGGATCACCGAGTTCGGTCTCAACCCCGGCTCTGCCACCGAGGCGCAGGCTGCTTCCTTCCTCAAGGACGCCATGGCTTACTGCGACTCCTCCGACAAGGTCCAGGGTTACTCGTGGTTCATGGTCGGCACCGGCGAGAACCAGCTCAACACTGCTAGCGGTCTTTCGGCTGTTGGTCAGGTCTATGCGGGCTCCTCGTAAAGAGTAGCAAGATCAAGGGCGTTTCTGGTTCGACTGTAAATGAATGATATACCCACATTATTTTGGGTTGTGTTTATTTTTTAACTTCTATTGTCCACTGTATCTGAGGGGGCTTGGTGTAGCGAATTTGGATAGGAAGAATGATGCAAACGCATACAAACTGCCTATCTTCTCATCTCTCTGTGCATATTCTATGTCGTGTGACTGACAATTCGGCAAGGCTGATCTTCAGCCTCGAGGCTCGTGATCATTACAGCAGCGACTAGGCTGAGGCTCCTCATCAAACGTACCGTAAGAGAAGGTCTGGGCAACTGCACCAGCGCTAAGACGACCAAGCCCCCTAAGACCGTTCAAGATCTGTCCGAAAGTTTTGACGATTTGAGGTCTTGTCACTATCACATCAAATTTTGAATGCCGCAAGCGCGGCAATCGCGACTCGCAAAGGGGCGAACACCCAAGACACCACGAAGGACATCCGCGTCGTGGCTCGAAGGACTTCAACAGTCCCCAGACAAGGCGACCGCGGTGGAACTCTCTAAGATGAGTAGGTAGAACGCCATGTTATCGAAAGAGCTAGTCTCTCTCAACGACGACGTGATTCCCTGCGGCCTGCCTGGCTATCAGCTGGAAGATCGTGGTCGAAGTCGTGGAGTACGTTAAGTCGATTCAGGCACGGGTAGAACACGCTTACAATACCACACCACTCCAAGAGTTCATGGAAGCTTTCACCACCCTGTATCGGCAGTTCAAGAATGTGATGGAGCGGCCGCTGGGATACCACATATTGGCAATTTGGTCCAATAGCGCAATAGTTGCAGCGCTGTCGTATAAAAAGCATCCTCCGCCATACTCGAAAAACTCGCCAATGGTGATTTTGGACAGCCAAGGGAGGATCCTCCGCGAAATCTGCTGCAGGAAGCTCACTAATTGGGCACTACACGGACGAATGCCACGTGCGTCTCGTTGGAAATAGAGTGAGTCGAACTTGAGTTCCAACCCGTCCGTCTCTTCGTACAGCTGACGAGTGATATATTGCAGTTGGTTGAGCTCGGTAGTTGCAGTGTCTTGCAGTTCGATGTCGTGGAAAGTGGGCTTATACTCTTGCAGTGTTGCACTGTCGAGAACATAGAGAGTACCGGACCAAGTCAGCGCGTATTCGTAGATGAGGTTAGGAAGCTCACCTGGGAGGCTGAGGAGGCTGTGTGGACGTGACACCTTTTATCAATGGAGCGGTTGGCACTGATCTGTTGATTACGAAAAGTTTGGTCGGTTGCAAGTTGGTTAAAGCAAGATAGCCCCGCCATGTTTCTGCTCCGGACGCGGCTTCACATATCCGGCTAACTGCACCGCATCTGAATTCATAAATCAGTTGTCGACTAGTTATAGCGATCAAAGAGCACTTCGCGGCCCCCTTGAGATATTGTCGGTCCCCGACTGGATGTGCCTTCAGAACCACAAACGACGTGTCAAATACGACCCACCGGGTTGGCCACCCTATCCAAGACCTGAAACCCATCGTACCTGCGTTCTTTGTAGCGCATTGTGTTCATGGATATTGCGCGGAGACTGAGAGGCGAGCAGCCTCAACCATTCTCGGGCTTCAGCATCGCTGCGCAATTTAGCAACGATGATCCAGACCAACGGATGCCAATTAAGCGAGGAGAGGAATGGCTGGGCAATCGAACGCTTTCCCTTGCTGCCAAAAAGTTCCGATTCTTCCCAATGCCTATGGGCGGAAATGGGAAGATGGCGAATCGACCTAGGACCCATGGCATCGAGAGCGCTCTCACTGCGGACTGACGAACTAAACCTGCGAAAGCACACGCGCAGATGCAGAAGTGGTTGAGGAGAGGTATTTGACCGCACTTTGACCGGGTGGCAGGGTGGCAGGGTAGCAGAAGTGAGCTCAAGGCAGTCAGAGGAAGCAGATAACGGGAGCATGGGAGCAACACGAGTAATGCAAGCAGTGAGGATGTGTCCGACTACTCACATGTAATGTGAAGAAAAGCAAGGATTCTCATGTCAGTGTGCGTGCGCCCATCACCTTTGTCTACACTTGCTTGAGGCTCGACATCTCGTGCGTGTCCAGCTGAAGCTACTGTCACAATCTAGAATATCGCGACCGCATTTGGCGGGCTCGCAACACCGCCTGGTACCTACGTTTCTGTTAACCACATTTCGTTGACATTACACGGGCACTTACCTTGAGTGGGACACTACTAACGAAGCAGGTCCACCGTCCCAACTCCTCTGCTTTCTCACAAAGTCTCTCCAGATCCCACATCTCGCCGATCATGACGCCCCATCCAGCGAGCAGCCACTGATGCACAAGACCGCCACCCTGCATGTCACCTTCCCACTCCTCACCCTTCCAGATTCCTCCGGGCTTGTTGTGGTCGCCAACTAGAGGTGACATCTCAAACGAAGGCGCATCCCTAAGCTCATCAGAACCACGCCGGTCAAGCAAGAAGACAACCTACCCAGCAACAGCCACAAACCCACTCTCCCAAATCCACTTCACGGTCTCCTTTGAGCTCTCCACGCCCGCAAACGCCGGCGGCTTATTCGCCAGCGCCTTCCTCTCCTCTTCACCCAGCTTCCCATACTGCTCCGTGAACCCCGTCCTGACAAGCAACAAATCGCCATCCCTCGCCTCAACACCCGCCTCCTTAAGCATCGCCTTCAACTCCTTCGCCGTAATCGCATGACTCGACAACGCATTGATTCCATCCCTGCCCTGCTTAGCCAGCCACCTCGGATAATCCAGAATGACAGCGCGCGCCGTGATACCGCCCGAATGCGCGATCTTATCGATACCAATGATGTCTGAGTTTTCAACGTCCTGCTGCGTCCTCCCGCCATAGTAGCGCGCGGCCTGCTGGTACCCGTAATGTCTGAAGCCGTCCCACTGGGAGCTGCTCTGGGTATTGATATCCAGATGATCGTCGTTGATAGTGCGCTTAGTGCCATCGGGATACGTGCGGTTTTCCATGCGCCAGCCGAACGGGGGACGGCCGAAGGACGGGTGCGAAGGCAGGTTCAGGAGCCAGTCTAGGGAGACGCGGTCGCCGGTTTGAATTTCTTGGGCTGCGGCTTTGACCGTCGCGGGCGTTATCATGTTGAGCGCCCCCAGCTCGTCATCGAAACCGTAGAGTCCCCATGCGTTGCCCGGTGGGCCTTCCTTGTCCAGAGGAAGTTCGTCAAATGGAGGCCGGCCTGGTTGCTCCATGGTGCTGGCTGTGATAACAGGTTGGTTGATGTTTGCGTTTGGCAGTGGCTTGGATTCTGGGGCGTGTCAAGAAGTGTATACAGTCGAGTGGCAACGTGTCACAACGTGTTTATGTATACGAGTGGTGTTGCAGATCGTGAAGCTAGCCACTGACGTCCCTGAGGTTGGAGGGGTAGCGCATTAAGCGGCGGGGCCCCTCCGCTCCCCGAAGATGATACCCGGCTTTAACAAGCAATATCCGGCAGAAGTGATGCATACCATCGGTCGGTGACATGCCGAGTCGGTTGTGGAAAGCATAAGACGTTCTTATCGTTGTGATCATTATGCAGTATATTAGCGATCACATACAAATCGGTCATCTCGGCGTTTGCAACATCACCAACGTTTCCTAGAAGTCAGGACCCATGCCAACTCCTCTCGAGCTCGTGTTCTTCAAGTGCGCACCACTCCCTTTGAAAAGGCTCTGCCATATGAAAGCTTCGCTCAGTAGCAGCTCGATGTCCTTTTCAGTCCATTGCTTGGTTGGCAGCGATTGCAGGAACATCATAACTTCCTGGAAATCCATCTTCCGCAGCTGATGTGACCACTTGACGAGGAATGCTGCACAGACATAAAGGTGGAAGGAGGAGAATCCGTCTTCCTCAGCCTAAGACACGTCAGTAGAATATTGCAGGGAAGCACGAGGGAACGCACCAGGTATGTATCCCACATCCGGATGGTGTTCTTGACGGAAATCTCGCGCATCAGCAGACAGTTCATCCAGCGGAAGCTGAATTGTATGAACTCAACGCCTTCGTTCTGCAGATGTTTCGCCAAGCCATCATCGATGCGCGTGGTCAGATCTCGCAGACTTGCCACTTGCCGCTGGATCCCTGGTTGATGTGCGATGTAGTTGTCTTGTATCCCGTCAAGAAGCTTCGTTAAACACCAAAATGAATCTGCTTCGACTGCATCGAGAACCTGTTTAGGGAGCTGTCCAGGATCCATGCCAGATTCGATGTCAGGATCCGAGATGTAGGCGCCGAGAAAGACCTGCCAAAATGGTGTGACAAGGTCGTTAATGCCCTGAACGTAGCCCGAGGCAGGATGTCGTATTGCCCAGACGTACAATATCCTTTCTAGTGATCTTTGTGTCGCCTCGTAACTGTATAGCTCGAGGTGAGGGTTCGTCCGCGGTACGTCGATGCTGATTTGATGCCATATAGCCTCATCTAGTCCTCGTCCTCGGCCACGAATAGTCGATGGAAATGAAGAGGCACCCGCTATTCCAGCAGCAACGGCGCCGGTGCTACCTGAGGTACCCTTCTCAAAGGCTTGCCGAACGCCTTCCAGGTATTCCTTCCTCTTGCGCTCCAGCGTTGCCACTCGTCTTTCGCTGCTTGTGGGAAGGTAACCCAACAGGACCTGCCATGTCATTGCGCGGATCTCAGACGGCACCCCTGACCATGCTGAGTCGCGCAGATCTGACAGAGAGATGGTGCTTGCTTGCAGTATCCTCTTGAACTTGTTTATGCGAGTCGTTCGGGCTGAGTACTCTTCAATCTGCTTGGCAGTAGCATTGGGTGGTACGGAGGGGTGTTCGATGAGGTGCATAGAATTCGCTGGGTCGCGCAAGATTTCCTGATACTGCGGTCGCAGTATCTTTCCTTCGATCTTCTTCGCAGTGGGGTAGCTAGGGATGCCTCGCTCCTCAGCAATGTCGCCGCTGTCAATGCTTCGCCATGCTGTCGAGCCTGCTGAGCCCAACCCATTCCTGGTGTGGGCAAATGTCCCTCCTAGATCTTCCCCCTTTACTGGTTCTTTCCGCCGACCCTTCCTCCGCGCGTTTGCTATGCTGGGAAGGCCAAACTCGTCCTCATCGTCCTCAAACATGATGTCACCATCTTCGTCGTCGTCGGCGCCCCAGTCGGTGTTGGACTGGCGCAGAAAGCTAGTGTAGGTCTCGCGCGTAGGTCGTGGTGAGATGTTGCTGCTACTTCGTTGCGGTGCAGCGCTTGACTCACGGCTGTGTCCAGCAGAGGGCGGCGTGCGAGGTCGTGAATTAGACCCAGAGATGTTCCTACCCCAGTCAGCTGATGCGTCGAACATGGCGCATGAAAACCATACAGGGTATTGAAGTTTAGCAAGTCAGCATGCGAGTATGATGCGCCGACTATTTTCCTGCTTTGTGTGGAGGTATTCGAAGTGTTGTAGAAAGGAGAATTCGAACTGCGGACATTGTGTCAGCGACCGTGTGCACGATGCGCCGGGGGGTACTGGCAACCTACGCAGAGCGGTCTGTTGGCAGCAAACCGACATGTTAGCTACCTTGATGCTATGATGCCTGCGGCCAAGTGGAAGTGCACGAACCGACCTGGACCATTTCCTGCGCAGAGAGGGTTAGCAATATTCTAGCAGGGACGACCGATAAGCACAGTGATTCTCACCTGCTGTTGCTTCTTCATCCTGGCTGGAGGGTGCGAATATGTCTCGTCTGGGGCATCACGCTCACCCCGCCTGGTGCTGTCTGCCCTTGAGGTCACCGCCGAGCTACCGTGTTCGTGCAGTCCGGAGGCAGGCGGTGAGCCGTGCGCGGCCGCTTTCTGCCCTCAAGAGGTGCGCTTGCTACGGTTGCGGCTTAGCGCACATGCCCCGTCACCTCACCCTGTCGCAAGCTCTTCTGCACATCTCAAGCTTTGCGCCGTGACACTCGATCCTGCCCACACTCACCGAGCAATTGCTGTGCAGCCATCGCTTGCTTGATCCCTTTTCTTCCACTCACTCCCCCTCTAGTGCCAACAGGTCGAGTACAGGGCTCCCTGCACGCGACTTCTTCCTATTCTTTTCACTCAGCCAACCGTCACCGCACCATCACTATGGCCGACTACCAGGAGGAGGACCTTTTCGACGATCTGTATGTTATATTCTGCGCGGAACGTCCCGTCGCCGGCACCAGTCGAGTGTCTGCTAACACCGACCCAGCTACGACGATGAGCCAGCATCGAAGCCGACACCGGCAGCAGCCGCACCACTCAAGGCCGAATCGGAAGTAAAGACAGAGCCTCAAAATGCCTCGACATACGATGCACCGCAAGACGCTGCGCCGTCATGGCAAGAACCCGCCGCGACGGGAGGTGACACCAACATGGACGGGCCTGCGTTCAATAACGGTGGTAACCAGTCATATGGCAACGACCAGAACAACGATAATGACTACGGTCCTATCAACGTGAAGGAGGATGGGTAAGTCTTGTGTTTGTATTTTCATGTCCACTCGGGCGCATCGTAAGGTAGGAAGGGCTTCCTTGGAAGCCGAAAAGCATCATCACCAATGGTTTCCTCGCTCACAGCAGGCTGGATGGACAGCCGAGACCAGCAATCCTGGACTGCAAAAGGCTCGATAAGATCCAGCATAGGAGTGCGAAGGTCTCGTGAGCCGTATCGAACCTTGTCGGGCACATGTTGCAACCACACTGAGATTGCTTGAGTTTGGCATCGAAGTGGAAGAGGACAAGGGCTTTGCACCCCAGAAGCTCGCGATTTGTGCGCCTCGTGAAGGCTGGCAACAACATCGCGATTAAGGTTGTGGGGATGAGCTGGGACGTGGATAGTCGACGGCTATGCTATACTCAGACCACCCCTCAGTACGCCTTACGCGAGGACTATCGCAGCTTGCCGGAATATTTTGGCAGCGCCACTTGTCGATAAATACCTAGGTACTTGATAGCGCGTACCAACAACGCAAGCTGAGGATAGTCCGTCGAGCTGCGCGATGTTCTGTTTCAGACGTCAGCGCCCGACTCCGTAGCAGAACACAGACGCTTCAACCGAACACACTGTGCCTATTACAGGACAGGCTGCCTCTACTTGCTGCACGCGTGGTAGACCCCAGTACTTGGAATGCATTCCGCGCCGGCCTGATTGGGCATACCCGACGAGCTCGACATGCTGGCCATGGTGCGGCGCAGACACCACCCTCGCTTAACGACCCTCGTATCTGCCGCAACCCGCGATTGGCATTCGACGACGTTCTACAAGTGTCATGTGCAAGAAGGACAAATGTCACAACACCGAAGATCAAAGAGGTCAGCATCGAACCTCGTGACGACTACAACCCACGCCGTTCATTCTGGGACACTAGCGGTAGATTGCTAAGCTACCGGCGCTCAACCATGCACGCTCGACCACCTTCCACTCGATCATTGCTCATTCGGGTCAATACCATCCAGGACAAGCCATCCTCTATTGCCTGCATCGATTGTTGGGAGTTGTTTGTCGTACTCACGCTTTGTGCTCAAGTCTGTGCTTGACCTCAGGACAGACTACGAACGGAACGCGTGTCGAGACCAGACGACAACAACAATGATGAAGCCAGGTCCTGGAGATCAACGACTATACCTTCGACCAATTGGCCGATCCATGAAGCTCTTCACCCTTGATGCGCTTAGCCTGCTTATTGCTTCATAACTGCGACTGACCAGGCAATGACTAACAATGTGGTAGCAAGATGTTTATCGGTGGTCTCAACTGGGAGACAACAGAAGGTATGCGCGACACTCTTCGTCTCTAAACCTGGCTTCAGGAACCAATTTGCTGACCATCACTAGACTCTCTCAAGAATTACTTCACACAGTTTGGTGAGGTCAGCGAATGCACGGTCATGCGCGACTCTGCGACTGGCCGCTCGCGAGGATTTGGTTTCCTTACCTTCAGAGACCCCAAATGCGTCAACACCGTCATGGTGAAAGAGCACTACCTCGACGGTAAAATTGTATGTCAGTGCCGACCGCTAAGAGAGGCAGACTAACGTCAGATAGATCGACCCTAAGAGGGCTATCCCCAGGGAAGAACAGGAGCGAACCAGCAAGATCTTCGTTGGTGGTGTCAGCCAAGAAGCAACCGAGGAGGACTTTACGAATTTCTTCAAGCAGTTCGGTCGTGTCGTCGATGCCACACTCATGATGGACAAAGAGACAGGCCGGCCCCGTGGCTTCGGTTTTGTTACCTTCGATGGCGATGCAGCAGTAGACGCAACACTGAAACAACCGCTCCAGATCCTAGGCAAGCCCATCGAGGTCAAGCGCGCTCAGCCACGAGGCAACATGCGAGACGGCGAGGACGACAAGAAGTTCGGCCGCAACAACAAGTTTGGCAACCGCGATGGAGGTAATGGTAATGGAGGCTACGATAACCAGAACAACCAGCAACAACAAGGCGGCAACGCCGGTATGACACCTGCCATGATGGCACAGTACTGGCAGCGCATGCAACAATATTTTCAGCAGATGCAACAACAGCTTGCTACTGGCGGTGGCATGCCGGCTGGTATGGGCGGCATGGGAGGTATGAACCCGATGCAAATGCAGCAGATGCAACAAATGCAGCAGATGCAGGGCATGATGGGAGGCGGCATGAACCGCGGTACCGGCAGTCCGAATCCGCAGAACATGCAAGGTGGCATGAACCCAATGCAGATGCAGCAAATGCAGCAAATGCAACAGCAGCAGATGATGCAGCAAGGTGGCGGCTTCAATGGCGGCAACGAACAAGGTATGATGGGCGGCTCCCGTCCAGCGTACACAGCTCAAGAACAACTAGCCTTCGAACAACAAAAATACGAGCAACAGCAAGCCCGGCGCCAGCAGCAGTCAGGTGGATATGGAGGTCAGGGAGGACCCACGAGCTGGGAAGGCATGTACGACGATGCCCCTCAGCCTAATGTCCCATCTGGCCCTGGTGGCGGCCGCGGTGGCTTCAAGCACCAGAACAACAATCGCCAACGTCAAGGCTCCTCGCAGCCCCCTACCGGCCCCAGCGCCGCACCGATCAACGCGCCTACGGGCCCCAAGAACGCCGGCAAGCCTGGTGCCAACTATCGCGGCGGTGGTAGAACCAACAACTTCCGACACCAGCCCTACGGCGGCGGTCGCGCGTAGAGTCCGCAAGCTAATCTTCGAAGGGGGGTTCGACGTACCGGCGGCAATGTGGTTCGCTGAGAATTCTGTAGTGACAAGGATTCGCCGGCGAAATATGCAAACTCAATGGTCAGTGGAGCAGCGGTCGTGCGCAGCCGAGTTCGATCAGGCACGGCGCGAGCACCAGTTTCGTCATGGGTGGAAAGGTCTCTGGTATGTGCGCCGACATCATCTGTCACCAGCAAGAGGCACGGACTCGTGATCTATTTCGTGGTTCGACACTTTCTTTTCGAGCTCTGACCCCTTCTGCGACCTGTCTTAATTGCACGTTCACGTCGTTTACTTCGGCGGCACCTGCAGGTTTATTCAAAAACGTCTACTCGACCGCCATAGCTATATTGAGCCCGGTCTCAAAGGAGATGTTTATGCGATTTGTAAGATACTAGTAATTACATGCAAGAAGACCTTACCATTCACATTCCGGTCGCACATAAGCCACTTGTTTCGCCCTTAGCTAACGACACGCACATGACAGATTTGAAGCCATTGATTTTGCGGTTGCCTCTTCCTTGCTCTGCTCGATCAACTGATCGACATGCCAGTGCCATGGTGCCTTCTTTGGCGCCAAGGCAATGTGTAGAGCGTCAATTCGCAACCAGCTCTCACATGGGAGCCCGCCACAGCCTTGACCGCGCATGTGCTTCTTCGATGCCACTTATGATCTCATCTATGCCGTTCGATTACTCAATAGGCTTATTCTTTGTCAGTGTCTGTCCTCACGGCCTCACCAGAGCCATACAGGACATGTTTATTGTCAGCGACAACCTGTATCGAATACGCGTCCATAAGGAACTGTCAAAAGAAGCAGCAGTCAGATCCACCGCCTACATTGTACTGCTACAAGACTCTTCTCGAAACGCTCAAGTGAAGGTGCGGTGTGTCGCAGTGTAAGCAAGGCGCTCAACCGGACTTCATCCCCGCACAAGCAGTCCGTACACCACCATTCACCTGTAACCTCCACGTTTACACACTCTTATTGGAATCTTTGACAGCTATTAGACGAATTGAACACCTCTTTGACTTACGTTGTCACCCTTTGAGGCCGGGCACCCTTCACTGACTGCCACATTTCCCATTGTCCGACATGGCCAGACCCCCCTTAACCTTCATACTGCTGGTTGCGGTCACAACAAGCCTCGCAGCCCCACCCAGACACAAGATTCGCGGCGTGAATCTCGGATCCCTCTTTATCGTTGAACCATGGATGTCCAGCGCCACATGGAAGTCGATGGGCTGCGGCGACGCAAAGTCAGAATGGGACTGTGTGGCTTCACTCGGACAGGAAAAGGCAGATACCGTCTTCCAGAAATACTGGAATACCTTCATCACCGCTGATGATTTTGACAAGATGAAGGACTATGGGCTCAACACAGTGCGTATCCCTATTGGTCACTGGTTTGTGGAAGAGACAATTATCCCTGATGAAAAGTGGCCGAAAGGAGGGATGAGGTATCTTGACAAAGTCGCTGAACTGGCTGCTTCACGGAACATCAGTGTGATCATCGACCTCCATGGAGGGCCAGGCGTGCAGGTTCCGAACAACGCGTTCACAGGCCATGTGAGTCCATTACCCTTAATCAGCCGTTCCATGCTCAACTATACTGACCCCTCTTCCCAGACAACCGACGACACAAGATTCTACACTCTTGCAAACTACGCCCGCGCCTACACCTTCCTGCGCAACATAACAGAGCGCATCCACACCCACACGTGCTACAGCAGCACCTTCATGCTCGAAGTGCTCAACGAGCCAGAGTCCAACCACGACACCTTAGTATCCAACTTCTACCCGAACGCGTACTCCACAATCCGCTCAGTCGAAGCCGATCTCAAGATACCCAAATCGCACGCCCTGACAGTCCAAATGATGGACTCAACCTGGGGCGCCGGAAACCCGCGTCGAAATATGCCCAAGGGCGCGCATGGTCTGGGGTTTGACAATCACCGCTATCTGACGTACAGCAACGTTCCTGTCACAAAGAAGGACTACATGAATGCGTCGTGCAGTGACACATTCCCATCTCCTGTCGGCAAGAAGTCGCTCGTTGTCGGTGAGTGGAGTCTGGCGATCAAGCAGGAGAAGGAATGGAGTGATGAGTTTTCGCCTCTCAATGAGAAGAACCATGATTGGTATACGCGGTGGTGGGCGGCGCAGGTGCGGGCGTATGAGAAGCAGAAGGGATGGGTGTTTTGGAGTTGGAAGACCGAGTTGGGTGGAGATTGGCGGTGGAGTTACCAGGCAGCAGTTGAGGCGGGCATTATTCCTAAGGATTTTGGGAAGCTTGAGGAGCTTGCGAAGTGCTGAGACTTGTCACTAAGGATTCGTTCGATAATTGAAAATGCAACTGGAGTGAAACGATTGCAGTCATGTACATCGTGCGGTTGTATTATTTACTGAGACAGTGCTCGGTTCTCATATCTTTACATGATCATCGACCATTAGTCCCGTGAGGGAGCCTCTTCTACCTACGCTTCGGTGCCGCTTCCGCTTCTAACCAAGGCTTGTACACAAAACCCCCTTTCAAATGCGGGCGACTCTTGAGCCAAAAGCATATCTTGATCTTGAACCTAATAAACCCAGACGCCAACGCTATGATGCCAACAGCTGAAAAGAAAAGACACCACGCTACAAAATGCTTCACAGACTCCTAAAAATAAAGCTTCCTTCCGTAGCAAGAATGATGGCAGCGCCGAACCACATCATGGAGGGAATCAACGCGTTCATGCCATACCCAAGATTGGCCTTCGGGACGGGAGGAGCAGTCTCAGCCGCACTGTTCTCCAAAGCTAGATCGACGCTGCCTTTGGCGGTGGTAGTGGGCTGCGCAGCGGCTTCAGTGGCAGAAAGCTGGGTGACGGGAGCTTGGGTAGTGACGGGGTAGGAAGTGTATATGGTAGTGAAGCCGCGGTCATCGTAGCCAGTCCAGATCAAGGGCCTAGAATCTCCAGAAGATGCCGATTGCGAAACTGCAGGCGATGCCGTAGAGGAAGCGAGAGGGGATTGCTGTAGCTTATTGTTAGCATGACGATTAGAAGTTTTGGAGGGTGCACACTAGGCTTACTGACAGGAGCTGAGCTGGGTGGGAGTACTTTGCCTGAATCAGAGACAGTCCACCCGCTCGGAAGCCCGGGGTAGTTACCAAAGGTAGGCTCAGGAGTAGCTGAGGATGTACCTGGGATCCAGGGATACACGCTCGGTCGCTCGTAATCCGAAGAGGTCCTTGAAGGGGTGAAAGGGAGGGGAGCGCCAGTGGCAGTCGCAGTGATCTGGGGCGAGTCGCTGTTGAGCGGCTTATCTCCACCGGAGTAGATTGTACCGCCGTTGGATTTGATCGACTGCCATGTTCCGCTGGTGTCGCTGTAAGAATACTGACTTCCAGTAGAGTAGTCCTGGACCTTGAGGGACTTGACAGTCATGGTGAAAGGTCCCTTGGTGTAGTCGGTAGGACCTCTAGCCCACTCGATAGTTCCGGCGGCGTTGCTTGGGTCACCACCAGCCCAAGCCCCAAACTTGATCTGCATAGGCGTCTGGGGGTACTGATTCTCAGCGTTGGCAGGCTCGAGAGTACGGACAGTCTTGCCGTCAATCTGCCAGACGATCTGCTCGGGTGTCCACTCAATGGTATATGTCTTGAAACCAGATTGACTGCCAGCGTCGGCATGGAACGCACCACGGTTATACGAGGTGGTTTGGCCCTTGCCGAAGTAGTTGGTCTGAACCTCATCCGGATCTGAACCGAGCCACTCCCAATCAATCTCGTCAAGCGTGTCAGACTGCATGACAAAGCTGCTAACTATGCCTGCACCGGGTGCCGCCTTCAGGACAACGTCGACTTTGCCAAACATGATGTACCACTTCGATGTAAGTTGAGGCGCATCGCCAGACTTAGAAATGGTGAACGAGACGCCGTCCTTGCCATATGTGGGGCTCGACTGGGGTGTGAAGCTGTTGGATTCGGAGCTGAGTTCGATGTTGACGGTACGAGCGAGCGCGGAATCAGCCGGGCAATCTGTCCGTACTGTAGGATTACAATTGGTGTATGTTTGTGCGGTGGAGGGGGCAATGAGGCACGCTGCCGAGGCGAGCGCCGCAAGAGCTCGTATCGTAGAGCGCATGTCGGTTGTGTTATGTGTAAATGATCGATGCCAACAAAAGCTGCCGCGTAGTAGATGTAGCACAGATGTATCGGGCAACTGATGAAGTGATGTCGAGATAGCGAGCGCGTGCTGCGGATTGTGTAAGTGAAGAATAGATAGTAGTGCTAATGATACCAGCGATCGAGAAGTGGATAGTGAATGGTGTAATGCTTGTGACAGGCCCTGTAGGCCGGCTGATATATGCTGACAAGATTACTGCCAGCCATCCTACAGCTGTGACCTACGTGTTAGTCGATAATCAAGGCCTAAGGGCGCGGCACTCTGCGCAGTGCATGGATGCGAGGGCTGGGAGGTGGTTGGGACCAGCCACCTTTGGGCACCATAGCAGCAGCTGGCCAGCGAACACGAGTAATGGCAGGAACAAAGTATGACGCCGTTGCTGTTCGAAAAGCCTGGAATCAGGCGCTTCCAGTCATTAGGCAGGATGTGGAAGGCATACGGGAATCATGTAGGTGGGTGGTCAGCGTGGCGCATGCCAATCGTGCCAATTGTGTGGCAGGAGTGCGCCACCTCCACCACAAAACCTACCAAATTCTTCGAGACTTTGCGTGCCGACTAAATTTGGACACTGCTGCACCTGCACATGATTTGCTTCTAGATCGTCAATAGTGCCATCAGCCGGAGACCCTGCATACGTCGAGTTTGAAGGATTCAATCCTCCTTGTTCGGCATTTCTGAGTCACGCGGGCACTACATACAAACTATCGTAGTACGAGGTCTCATCGCCAAAACCATCTGAAGTAACATCACACGGCCATGTCTCTCACAAACGCAACACCGCTAGCTATCGCTCAGTCGGCTAGAGAAGGCTCAAGAACACTTGCTGTCCTGAAGACCGAGGAGCGCAATGCCGCATTGACTGCAATCCACAAGGCGCTAGCAGACGGCAAGGAGGATGTCCTGTCAGCCAATGCGAAGGACCTGGAGGCCGCAAACAAGGCTGCAGCTGGTGGGACACTAAGCACAAGTCTGGTTAAGAGATTGGATCTGGGAAAGCCGGGGAAGTATGAGGACATGCTTCAGGGCATCCTCGATGTGGTGGAACTGGAAGACCCGAGTATGTTCAATCACTCAAGCTTCAACGGAATCGCCGTTGATTGCGGAACACCAATTGGTCTTTAGCTGCATAAACTGACACCTTACAGTCAACAAGACGACTGCAAAGACGCTGCTCGATGATAATCTTACTCTGTCGAGGATCACATGTCCCATTGGCGTGCTTTTGATCATCTTCGAGGCTCGCCCTGAGGTCATCGCCAATATCTCCGCACTAGCGATCAAGTCTGGAAACGCAGCAATTTTGAAGGGAGGAAGAGAATCTAGCAACAGCTTCGCAGCTATTGCGGCCATCATCTCTAAGGCTCTGGCGTCTACGGCAGTCCCCTCAAGTTGTCTGCAGCTCGTCCAGACTCACGATGTTATCGCAGATCTTCTCAGGCTAGACACTTACATTGACCTGTGCATTCCTCGCGGCGGAAACAAGCTTGTCCGCTATGTCAAGGACTCTACCGCTATCCCGGTTCTGGGTCACGCAGATGGTATCTGCTCGACATACCTCACCAACGACTATCCCGCCGAGAAGGCAGCAAAGATTGTTGTCGACGCAAAGTGCTCATACCCGGCCGGCTGCAATGCGACCGAGCAGCTCATCGTCGAAGAGTCTGCACTCTGCACATCGCTGCCTGTCGTTGCTGATGCTCTCCTCAAGAAGGGAGTGTCACTTCGCTGCGACCCAGCGTCTCTGTCCGCTCTCCAGAGCAAGCTCGACTCGCACTCGTCTGCTTTACTACAGATCGCTGGACCAGAAGACTTCGACACTGAGTTCCTCGACTATACCATCGCCATCAAGACCGTTCCCTCTGTCGCCGAAGCAATCTCGCACATCAACGCACACGGCTCGCACCACACAGATGCCATTCTCACCAACGACGAGTTCACTGCACGCTCATTCATGGCTGCCATTGATTCTTCATCAGTGTATTGGAACACTTCTACCCGCATGGCTGATGGCCAGCGCTATGGCTTCGGCACAGAAGTCGGAATTTCGACAAACAAGATTCACTCACGCGGACCCGTCGGATTGGAGGGCCTGTGTATCTACAAGTGGGTGATTGTAGGCGATGCGCAGGTCAGCACCGAGTACGGCGCGGGTGGAAAGCAGTGGAAGCACCAGAAGCTGCCCGTTGGTGACAATGAAAGTGTTGCCCAAAACGGCGAGGAGAGGGATCTGTTGAAGAAGTTTCGAGCGAGTAAGGCACAGCAGTAGACAGATGGAAAGCAGGTAGCGGGGTCATTGAAAAACCTCGTTATCGTACAAACACCGTGTCACCAAAAGTCTAGAGCAATGTAGAAGTTAATTACGCAATAATGCACCTACACACTCATCTCAGGACCCTCAGACCATACCGACCTACCATGACCCACCGCTTTCGCACGTACAAGGCCTCTCTCGCCCTGACTCGCGCCTTCGACACCACACAGCTCCTCCGCGGCCGCCCAGCAATCAAACCACTACCCTCGGTGATCGAAATCTGTCTTCTTCGCTCTCCACACAGATGCTCGCGTACCAATGTCTCAATCGCCATCGTCCTTGTACACAGCCCTGACCACATGATCAGCGACCGTTTGGCAGCCCTTACATCTCGGCGGTACCCGCTGTAACACGCGTCTGCCGTGTGTCGGTCGGCCCGCATTGAGCCCGTTGGCTGATCCTGCCATGTTGCACAGTTGGAGACAAGGCTGCTGAATCAGGGCTTGAACCAAGGGTGGACACTGTGGTGCGACCGAGCCAGCAAATGGGCCGAGATCGACAAGGGATATCGCGGTTGCTGTGCAGCTACTGGTGACGTCGTAAAGCTTGAAATTACCGCGGTGGGGCGATCGCAGGTCGAGGTCCAGCAAGCAGTGAATCTCCGGCTTGAGATAGGTAAGTGATTTGTGCAGAGCTGCAATGTTCACAGCGTGTGCAATGAGAGGCGAAGGATTGAAGAAGATACAAGGTCTATTGCGATGCTTTTGTAAACGCGCCTGCTCTAAGCAAAGCATGATCTCAATGCTGCGCATGCTTGCTATCTACCAAAAAGTCCACAATGCGAACTCCTGCCTCTTTCCAAACCCCAGATGCTGATATGTGGTATCCCGTAATGTCTCAAAGTCATGTTCGCTCGTCAAAATCTAAAGCTGCAAACAGCCTACTCCTGCTTGTTCAAGTTGTTCTGGCCGACCTTCCTGTAGATTTGAGCACCGTCCTGGAGGCGGCGCTCCTCGTTCTTGCGGCCGTTGACGAAGTCGGGGTAGTTAAGGGTAAGCTCAACAGCACCGTTGACAATGGCGTCGACAGCCTCCACACCCAACATGAACGAGTGGTCCTGGTTACCAACCTCGTAACGCCACGATCCGAAGCGACCGCGCGAGTAAATGCCCTTGTCCTGGAGAGCAGGGAGCAGCTTCGTGAGAACGCCCTCACGCTCGAGCGAAGGTGTGGGGTAACCGTGGTCGAAGCGGCGGTGGTAGGTGGAGACAATCTCGTCCTCGGGCTTGATCATCTCGGTGTTGATGAGACCCTGGATGCAGTCCTTAAGCATATTCTCCTGGTCAACTGGCTTCATGCTGGATTCGGAAACCTCCAACATGATCGACCAGTAAGGTCCCTCCTGAGGCTCAGTGGACTTGGGCTTGGAGCCGTTGGCAAGCTGCTGGGTGGCCAACTTGACGTCCTTCTGAGGCTGGTTGTAGGGCGAGTAGTTGGAGAAGATGGTCGCACGGTAGAAGGGGCAATCATCCTCGGGGAAGTACAACCAGCACTTGTCGCCGATGCGCTCTGGGCGCTCGCCACGGAGACCGACACCAATAACGTGGGTGCTGGAGTAAAAGAGATCCTTGCTGAGAGCCTGAAGCTCCTTGTCGCCCATTGTGTCAACGAGCTGGTCGACAGCCATGGTGTTAATGAGCTTCTGGTACTTAACAGTACGACCATCCTTCAGTGTAACCTTCTTGCCATCGGCATCGACCTTTGTGACTGTGCTGTTATCGCCATAGCTGGTCTTCTCCTTGGGGAGTGTGTTTGCGACAGCGATCCAGATACCACCGGTTCCATCCTTGGCGGGGAACTTGAAGGTGGCGTTGGGGCCCCAGTTTCCTGCAGTCTTGTTGTGGATGATGTTGTTGATGACACCCTTGACATTGGGAGCCGCGACACGCTCACCGAGCCATGCGCACTGCATCTTGGTGGTGGGCACAGCCCAGACCTTGTAGTTGTAGGGCCTCATGAAGAGGTCGGCGATACCGACACCCATCTGTCGTAGAATCCACTCGTCGAAGTCCTTGGGCTTTGTATTGGCCACGCGGGCCTCGAGGGCAGCGTCGATCAGTCCGTCAACGCACTTCGCCTGGTCGTCCTTGTTCAACATGGACAAGTTGTTCTGGAAGGGGTAGGGGACCCATTGCTCCTTGCAGCGGACGTAAGAGATACGCTGGTGTGTAAACCAGTCGTCCTCCTTGGGGAGCGCCTCGTCGATAACGTCGTCGAAGTACTTGTAGTGGGAGAAGATAACATGGCCACCGACATCGTAGAGCTACCGCGGTGTTAGACTCGAGTCTGCAACAATTCAATTGATGCCTGGGTACTCACGAAGCCCTCAGGTGTGGTGTCAGTAGAGGCCAGACCACCGGGAGTCTCGTTCGAGTCGACAATCAGCCATGAGGGGCCGTCCTGATGCTTGTTAGCAGTTACCCCACTACGTAGACAGTGCCCTCGGACGTACAATCTGGTGAAGACGCTTTGCTGCTCCCAGACCGGTAGGACCAGCACCGATAACGAGCACGTCGACGTTGCTGTGCGGCAGTCAGTTCGATTCTGGTGGGAGGGCATGCGGGGAGGCGGTGAACGTACATTTCCTCCTTGTTGGATCCCATCTTGCCTTGAAGAATCTCTTGGAAACTGGGAACTCTTTTCAATGTTTGGCGAGCGTAATTCAACATTCACTCGGCGATCGAGCAGGTGTTATGGCAATTGAACAGTCGGCAGGTGGAGCAGTGGCCAAAGGCGCCTGGGGCGTAGTGTGAAATATAGCTGCTCCGATTAAACAAGCGCGCCAAGGATCACTGTTGATGGGAAGTGTGTTAGGGCGGGTCCAGAGTACTCGGGCCAACACCCAGCCTGGGGACAGACAAGCAGCTGCATCCGCCAGAAAAGGGGCATTGCACATCTATCCGCTGCTCGCGAGACCTGTCAGCGTGGGCGCACTGATTGGCTGCGGGACCCTCGTCGACGCAGCGTGCTGGAGTGTCTCGCGCGCTGTCTAGGGATTGTGTGAGTTTTGGTCTCTGTGTCGCCGCACATGGTGCAGCTTCCCTTGGACGCGGGCCTCAATCGTGGCCGAATGAAGCAACAGTGAAGCTTCGTAGTTTCACATCCACAGCAGCAGACGGACGACGCATCTTGTTCGTGTGCCGGTCGCAGCCAGCAGTGCAACCCTGCCAGGCTGCATCTCCATTGCGCACACAGTTCTCGAGACGACGACATGCATGGCCCCTTTTGCAGGCCACGGGAGGCTCTGCGGCAGGTGTCGCAAAACACCGGCGCTGGCCAGCCAGCATGCAGCATTGTGATTCACGATGTGCTCTCCTGCAATCAGCGCGTTTGCGAGGGAGCTGTCTGCCGAATCTATGCGAGGGAGCACATGTTGCAGGCCAGCGCAGCTTGACCGTTTACGAGGGCTGCAGCAGACTCAGGTTTTGGGATGCTATTTTGGGGCGCCGGGATATGTCGCCGCTAGATGATGGATTGCAAAAGCAGACCCGCCGTTAAGTTTCAACGCGTACTCGTTGACATGCGGTGTTCTTGCTAGGCACAGAGCGCCATCCAAAATTTGCGACAATCTGTAAAATTCAGCGCAGATTGGCCGCCCGCGCTGCGGCAATTGCTTGCGCGTACATCCACGGCAGATCTGTTTCACGTCGCTTCTGGCGCGCTCGCAGCCGTGCTGCTCCCGGCAATCCTCATCTGGCGAGCGCGCTGGTGTGTGGCCACAAAGGCTTCTCGAAGACTTCACTGGGCAACGGCGCACCCCTACTTCATACTCTAATTGAGTCTAACCTTACCCAAGCGCTCCCCTGTGTGACGCTCATACCGAGAGGCGTGCTGATTTCCGCTCCGCTCCCTCCCCTAGCGCGCCTGGCCCGTCACCTCAACAGTCCTAGGGTGCGTGCAAGGAGCTGCGTATTAGCGGTAGCGATCAGTGCTTGCGTGTTTTATATCCAGCCTCCCTCCTGTGCGCGGCGACCGTGTACACGAGAAAACACAACTCTTCAGTGCAGCCTGTGTGACACCTTGTGCATCGTTCCTGCTCCCCTTTGCCGCGAGACCCTCCCACGCTCCCACTCCCACATCGCGCCGATTGCTCACCGGCGTTGACGTTCCCAGCGCAGTGACCACCTTCTTTTGGCCTCGAGAATCGACTGCGCTCAACGACACCTCTCCTCAGCCGTTCACTACTCAACACCACACACTTACCCAATATGTCTCAAGACGAGAAGGCCCGCTCCTCGGTCGACGCAGCGCGCGACACCGCGCTGCCCGTCCTGCCGACGGTGAACCCAGACGCACCCACACCGAAGCCAAATGCGCCGGCCTCCTTTCACCCTGCCGTCTACGTTGCGTATGTGGGAGCACTTCTGCAGCACTGAGGGCACTTACTGACGCCGCGCAGGACATGGATCACTCTCAGTTCGAGCACAATCGTCTTCAACAAGTACATTCTGGATACGGCAAAGTTCCGTACGTCATGCCTGCCCGCACCTTTTTTAACCCAGCTAACGAGTCTGGCAGACTTTCCCATCTTCCTAACAACATGGCATCTGGTCTTTGCGACCGTCATGACCCAAATCCTCGCACGCTTTACGACGATTCTTGACTCAAGAAAGAAGGTGCCCATGACTGGCAAGGTCTACCTCCGTGCAATCGTGCCAATCGGCCTCTTCTTCAGCCTGAGTTTGATCTGCGGTAACCAGGCATACCTGTACCTTAGTGTTGCCTTCATCCAGATGCTCAAGGTGCGTACAGACGACAACGGAGAAATTGAGGCCATACGCTAATTCAGACAGGCTACTACCCCTGTCGCTGTCCTGCTCGCAACCTGGGGTATGGGAATCGCACCCGTAAACCTCAAGGTCCTCGGCAACGTATCCTTCATCGTCCTCGGTGTTGTCGTTGCGTCATTCGGCGAGCTCCAATTCGTGATGGTCGGTTTCCTCTTTCAGGTCGCCGGTATTGTCTTCGAGGCTACTCGTCTTGTCATGGTTGAACGCATTCTGAGCTCGAAGGAGTTCAAGATGGACCCCCTTGTCTCGCTCTACTACTACGCTCCCGCTTGCGCCGTCATGAACACCATGGTTCTGATCTTCACCGAGCTTCCCCAGCTCACCATGAGCGACATCCACCGTGTTGGTGGTCTCACCCTGTTTGCGAACGCCACTGTTGCCTTCCTTCTCAACGTCTCCGTTGTCTTCCTGGTATGTTTGATGCCATTTGCAAACTCGACAATGCTAACAAAGTCGTAGATCGGCAAGACCTCGTCTCTCGTCCTCACTCTCTCGGGTGTCCTCAAGGACATCCTCCTCGTTCTCGCATCGATGTTCCTCTTCCGCGACCCCGTCACTCTTCTCCAGGCTTTCGGCTACAGCATTGCGCTCGGCGGTCTTATCTACTATAAGCTCGGTGGTGAGAAGCTGAAGGAGGCTATCAGCGCTGGTGGCATGAAGTGGGCCGAATTCGGCCAGAACCGCCCCGCGCTCCGCAAGCTGATTGTCTTCGCCGGTGTCGTTGCCTCTATGTTCATGATCCTCGGCAGCCTCGGTCCCCGCTACGCCCCTGACCAGACTGGCAAGCTCTACGACGGTGTCCAGAGCGGCATTGGCCACGTTCTCGGCGAGAAGGGCGCGTAAGCATCACATAATCAAAAGCGGATCTTGAGGATATAAGCAGCATATCTGATTACACTTCTTCCATGTTTTTCTATCCTGTATTCGGAGTGGCTATGGGACGATTTGGGGGGGTTGGTGTTGAGATCATAGACAAGCGGGCTCTTGTGGACCCTGTGTACGACGCACTGATTTTGAATTGTTCTTCCATTTTCCACCTTCCCAGTTCAACGCATGTTAGGGAGCAATGAGGCGAATCAATGAGAGCCATACGCCGTATATAAATAGATTTCACAGTGCTGTGTCTGCGGAGGACTTGGATCAGGTACATACTTCTTAATGGTAATCGACTGTGATACCGGTAGTTTTTAGATTAACGCCAAGTGTCTCCGTATAGGTGTAGATGAAAATGAGCTATACATGAAACTGCAATCCTCCTCTAATAGAGACTTGACCACAGGAGACCATGGCTTACTACGTCAGAAGCTCAAAAACATCTCTCAGATCAGCATTCTTTGAACAGTCAGTCTGCGGCCCAGCGAAATAGAGTCCGACCACACCGTGTGCCAGATACTACCTCAGGCTACCGCCTACTTACCCATGCTGGTGAGGTACTGCTCCCACCCCTTCTCCAACAAATCGCCATCCTTCCTGAGGACCTCCTTCTCATTCCCCTCCATCCACACCCTCAACCTCTCCCTGACCTCCTCATCACTCGCCCCGAGGATCCTCACCGCCAACAACGCCGCATTCGTGCTGTTGTTGATACCCACCGTCGCCACCGGCTCGCCCCGCGGCATCTGCGTCATGCTCACCAGGCTGTCCCAGCCATCCATATGCGTCGCCTTGACGGGGAGTCCAATAACAGGCAGCGTGGTCCAGGATGCGCACATACCAGGCAAATGGGCGGCACCGCCTGCTGCGCCAATGATGACGCGGAGCCCCTTCGAAGCAGCGGTTTTCGAGTACTCCCGCAGCCAGTCGGGCGTGCGGTGCGCGGACGTAATGCGTGTCGTGAAGGGGATCTGGAGTTTCTCGAGGATCTGAAGACCCGCTTTTAGCACGGGCAGGTCCGAGTCGGAGCCCATGATTACGGCGACGAGGGGCTGCGAGGCCGCTGGATCCGCGGTCTTGGGTACGAGAGCCTTGCCCTTTTGTTCGTCAACGAAGTCTACGAGTGGTTGGATGGCTTGCACTGCTTCACGCAGTGTGGGGCGCGTGATGGTAAGGTGACCCATCTTACGGCCGGGGCGCGAGTCACCTTTGCCGTAGAGATGGATGGAAGCGTCTGAGTTCTCGAGCGCGAACTGGGCAACCTTCTTGTCAGAGTCTGGCGTGGATGCACCCAGGATGTTGAGCATGATCGCGGGTTCCTTGAGGCGGAGTTGATAGGGCTTGATGGGAATGTCCAGGATAGCGCGGAGGTGGGCGTCATACTGCGAAATCGGGCAGGCCTCAATGGTGTAGTGGCCTGAGTTGTGTGGGCGTGGTGCGATCTCGTTGATCAGGAGGGAGTCGTCCTTCAGTAAGAACATCTCAACGCCGAAGACGCCCTTGCCTTCGAAGGCGGCGATGGCCTTCTTGGCGAGATCTTGCGCACGCTGAGAGGTAGTTGGTGAGACGTTGCGGGGAGGAGTGTATGTGAGCTTGCAGATGCTGTCCTCGTGGACGGTCTCGACGGTAGGGAAGGACAGGACGCCATCCTTAGTCTTCACAACCATGACAGCTAACTCCATGCTGAAGTCAGCCCACTTCTCAGCATATAGAGGGCGACCGCCCAGTGCCTTGATAGCTGCATCGATATCTCCCTCACTCTTGACAACAAAGTTGCCCTTGCCATCGTACGCTTCTGTCTTGCTCTTGAGCATGTATGGGTACCCATATTCAGTTCCAACCTCTTTCAGTCCCTCTGCTCCTTTCCCTTCCAAATCGATGCTCTCGGCAACATCGACTCCATATTGCTTGAGGTGCTGTTTCTGCGCGTATTTGTCTTTGATGGTGCGCAATGTCTTCCAGCTTGGCTCAACGGTGACTTGCCCCGCTACTTCCTCGAGCATCTGTGTATCCACGTGCTCGATTTCCACGGTAACTACGTCACACTTTTGAGCTAGCTCTTTGACCTTGGCTGCGTCCTTGAATGATCCCTCGATGTGGCCGTCATGTGCTGATATCTGTTTCGCTGGAGAGTTTGCGGCATCCAGAACGTTCACTTGAATGTTAAGCCTGTTGGCAGCTTCGATGAGCATGCGGCCGAGCTGGCCGCCCCCGAGAACACCAACCTTGCGCTGGTCAGCCATTGCGATGTTTGATTTGCGATGTGAGGTGTGACAAATCGTGGAGGCAGTCAAGTTGATGACTGCTTTAGGTAAGTCACGAATCGGGGCAAGGTCGTGCAGGACTGGTTCAACGTGGGGTGCACGAAAAATTTAGTTCGCGGATCTTTCAACGAAAACGACAATTCTGCGATTGGCCGGGAGGCGCGCAATTTTTGTCACCAATACGGGTTTGCGAATCCTCTTACTGCCTCCAGGCTGAAATATCGCATAGTGTATGTCACATGCACGGTCGAGAAAGGCATATTGCTAACATGCAGTCACTGTAGGGGTATAAATTCATGAGAAAATACCATGAGCCTCGAGTGCTCATTGGTGGGCGTCCATTGCATATACGGACATTGAGTATCTTTTTGTGAACCAGCCAAGGGCTCACGCCAGCCGTGATGCACGCTTCGTAAATCAATTCCCATGACCGTGACCACGCCAGCAACCCAGACAAATCGTTCCACCTCAAGCTCAAGCAATCGTTTAGACCTTGAAACCCCTGGACCTTCTGCGGCCACGAGCGCGCTCGAACTTGCGGCCCTTGGACTCGATGTAGGGCTTCTTGTTGGAGTGGGGACCAAAGCCGAAGTGCTTGACGGACTCACGGGAGTTCTTGGGTCCACGAAGGAGGACGGTGTTGGCACCAGTGGGGAAACGGGTGGCAACCTCGTCAATGGTGAGGACCTCACCACCGGCCTTCTCGATGCGGGCGCGGGCCGAAGCGGTGAAGCGCATGGCAGCGACGGAGAGCTTGGGGAGCTCGAGGAGGCGGTTGTCGTCGGTGACGGTGCCGACAATGACGATGGTCTTGCCCTCGTTGTTCTTCGCGTTGGCCTTGTTGGCGGAGGTGGCGACGATCTTGGAGAGAGAGACGGGAGGGCGGTTGATCTTGGACATCATAAGACGTCGGAGAACAACCTTGTTGAATGGCGCATCGGTACGGCCTGTGTCGCTGTTAGCCCACCAATTCCACCTCGCGTGCGCACCCTGCTGAGCTTGTACTTACGGGCAAGGAACTTGTACAGACGAACCAACAGCTTAACGTAGGGGTTGGTTGACTTAGGGACCTCTGTATACTCGTCAACCTCCGCTCTCGCGAAATTTCATGTCTGCGTCCAAAGGACAGCTTCGCCAGCGCTTGCGCGCCGACTCGACGGGGGCTCACATACTGCGGTGCCCGTCTCGAACATGGTGGCGGTCGAGATCAATTCCCATCTTGACTGATTTTGCTCGTGGTGTTGTCGGGGAGCTGTGGGTTAGTAACGACGATGAAGTTCGGAAGGCAGGAGCGAATTTCGACTGTGGGCAATCTAGCGGGACGCTAACGCAATGCACGTGACCGGCGCCTCGAATGCGCAGGAGTGACCCACGCCGGAGCCTCATCAACTTGACCGACACAGGTTCTTGGCCGCCCTGCAGAACGCACGTAAGCACATTTGCGAACTATGTACTACAATCAAATCATAGGCCTTATAACATATGTGGCGTGTGAATCACTCCAATAGTATTCGAGTCTGAGAACACCGCGGCGCTGGCAGCTTGCACGAGATGCGCGAAGCCCTCCAGGACTACCATCAAGTATATATTGCATCTATCTCGGTGCCAAGAGACGACGATTCAGGCTTTGCACTATCGAGAGTCTGCTCTCAGGGGTAGATTCGATCGTGCAGCTTGGAGGTAGCCAAACTGTCGACGTACTGCACATTTGGGATCACAGCAGAACGACATCCAGTAAACGTATTGGAGCATGAAGGCGCACCAGAGAGAACAAAGCACATTGTAACGTTAGAGTTCCGTTCCCAATAACGATCCACAATCTCTGCAGCCTCTTCAAGTTTCTCTGCCGCACTTCCCAATTCGTCCCAGGCCCACTATTGAACATGAATACAGCGTCTGGGCTCACTCTCCTGTCCATATCGGCCACACTCTCAAACAGTGCCGTTTGCGGTGGAACAATTCTTAGCCCAGAGCCGCTCATTATCCCATCGAAACACTCAGAGCGAAGCTTGTCCTCGATCCACTTCAGTCCAGTCCCAGGGTCGGTGTCGTTGGTCTGGAAAGAGGGAACGTCGAAGCCTGCGTTGCGGATCTTGTTCTCGTCGGCGGCTATGGCGGCTTCGATCTGATCGGATGTGCCGAATAGCTGGTGGAAGTAGTCTGGGATGGCGGCGTGAACGAACAGGCCCGAGATGAGGATTTTGAGCTGCTCCGCTCAGTAGGTTGGGGGAACATTTCGTTTGCTTAAATGTATGATGGGTGTGCTGACATGCTGGAAATGGATAAGGGGCTCAGCAGGACAGTAACTTTCACAGCTATACGAAAGCACTCTCCACTTCACAGTGGATGTATTGTCGCCCTCGCCGTCATTGTAGCAGCGAAAGCTCGATGTTCGGATCCCAAGGATGTCTCTCTCCACATGAGAGTCAAAGTAGAGCCTATCGACATTTGGCGAGGTTGGGCGTTTGGTGACCTGAGGTGTCCAATGGTAAGGCAGAAGTTTCAGATCAACAGCTTTGTCACGCTACGTCACGCTTCGGAATCATACCGCTGCACGCCAAGTATGGGGTTGCTTGTACTTGATCAAACGTGGTCAGATACCTCGAAAATACTGAGTGAATTTGATAATTTTAGGCATTGCAGATTTCCTACCGTGTTGGCCGAAGACGCGTCGTACTTCTTCTCAGCCAATAAACTTCCCACCACAATAAACGCACACATCGCAGGCCTGAAACATCACACTCGAGAGGCTCACTGGGGATTCTGCCTCCAGTTCGCCAGCCTCCTGTGCCTGCGCGAACTCTTCGCTTAGAAATGGTGTGCTGCAAATGCCGCAATACTTTGTGATACCAGGAGCTTGAATGGCCAACAGGCTGATACCACAGCGTGGAAACTCATGTCCGTTGGTGCAAGCAGCCATTGTGAGGTCGGTGAAGGGTATTGGCGCTGAGCAGAAGTCGCACAGATCTGTTGCCGCATCGGGTGTGCGCGCCGAATTCGATGATGATATACCGATGTCCATAGCGCTTGCGTTTGTCTCATTCGACGTAGCTGTCCCGGTTTGGTCAATCGGTACTTCTACAGTTCCGTCTATGGTCTCGTCCTCTGCTTCATTCGGGAACAGTAGACTATCGATCAACGCTGTCAGACGCTTTTGATGCGCAATGATCTCTTTGCTGAATGGCGTATGTGCCAACGCTGGGGGCAGCTTCTGCAATACTGTCGCCAGTCGATATGTGATGAGAGTCCTTGACAACTCATTTGAGGATGTGTCGTTACAAGCATACGACACTAAGGTGCTGTAGCGATCTTTCAGTGTGTTCTCGTCGAATACTGCAATCGTCTTAAGCTCCTTGACAATACTTTCCAAGTTGTTCACATCAACAGCGCCTAAAGTGCGGCCTGAGCTGTCAACAGGTCCGTAGGCCTGCATCATCTTCTCCACTGCTTCTTCTGCGAATGCAGGCATTTGGTCCGCGTCTTCGACAGTATTCTCCACTAGCTTCTTCAAGGTAAAGAGTAGATTTTCCGCAGTCGTATTCCGTGTTGGGAAACTTTCGCGAATCTTACTGTACTGTTTGAGAGTGCTGAGTGCAATGGTCCCGCGCCGATCAGCTGGGGGCCCGTACTCGATTGAGTCGGAGGGGTGTAAGCTATTGCATGCAGCAATGAAATCTCCCAATGGAGAAGCTGTCAGGCCCCACACCTTCGTCTTGCTATGTCCTTTCAAGTCGTTCTTGACACTGAACAAGACCATACTGTTTTCGATCTTCTCTTTCCAGTTGGGAGCTTTGCCACGCTCCAATGCGCCATGTGTCTTCTGTAGCACGGCGGTCGGGGACTGTATAGTCGAGAGTAATGAGCTAAAATGCAACCGTGGTGGAAAGTGTGTGTCGCAGTCCCAGGCCACACCCGACACCTGATCCCAGCGTCCGTCAAGATCGTGCGAGATCGTATTCACAATCGATGCATCCTTAGCAGAGATAGTCGCATAGACCAGGCCTGAGTGCGTGAACAAAGCTAGCGTGAGCTGATCGCTACAATCAGGTTGTGGGCACCAGGAAAGGGGTCCACTGTATCGGAGGTTCATTCCTGGATATGCGACTTCATCGCTAAGCGAGATGTTCCCGTCACTGCAGATGACAGGTCGTGCTCTTACATCTTCGTTGGTCGCGTAGATAACCACAGATCGGTATTGATCATCTTGCCTGATCCAAGGGCTCCAGGCTACGTGCGGTATGAACCTCTGCTGCTGCACCATATCCTCAAATAGCTCGGGGTCTGTGAACGTAGTCGCCTGATCTGGTATGAGGGATGCGTCTGCTAAAACTTCGGCCTTCCAGGTGCGTGATGAGCCAAGGGTAGATGTTGGTGAATCTACGACCATGAAGACTACTTGATTATCGTCATTTGAGACGGCAAGATACTGCCGCTCATATGAAACTTGCGTGCCCATCGTGTTGCATCCGCTAGGCAAGGACGGCGCCCATGCCATCGCTCGTACGCGACTCCGCAGTCGCAACTGCTCCTCAGCACTTACGGAGATAGAGCTGGTCTGTGCAGTCGTGTTCTTGGAGAAGTACTCTGTGAGCGCATTGTTGATCAATAGCCTCCGGTTCCAACTCGACTCTTCGTTAAGCTTGCCTTCGGCTGACCATATGGAAAGCACCAGGTTCGATGTGAGTACGGCGAGAGCACATCGTCGATGCTTTGCAAGACCTGGCGGTGACCAGGATATTGCAATCGGCACACTCGGCGATATCTCCTCGCCGATTGAGAAGTTTGACAATGGCGCGGGGTTCTTGAGTGGCAGTTCGTCATTAGAGAACCAGGGCACTTGGAGTGGAACGTGCTGCCACTGTGGAACGTCGTTGTCTCGTTCGTAAGACACAGTATTTGGAAACTGTTCTCTGTCAGCTTTGACTCGTCGTCTTTTGCTTGTGGGGAGGTTACCAAAAGTTCGACGCGCTCGTCAGAAGCTAGCGCAATAATGTTGTCTTGCGACCAGTCCAGAGCATCGACACAGGATGGCCAGCATCTCAGCTCCGTGACGTCCGCCATTATAGCTGGTTGTAATATGGATCTACAATCGGTGTGCTGGACTCGATCATTGCGTCGAGTAAAAAGAGTGAATAGAACCTGCACGCGATTGAGGGTCACGCAGACTTTTGCATGACTGTCACCGAGTCATATTCAGCTCGAAACTCGAAGTGAATGGCATTTCCCGGTCGAGATGCTTCCCTCGTGATCAGCGTGACGAACCAGAAGAATGCAGCCGGAAATTCAGGGTCCAGAGCAACGCTTGACTTGGTTGAGACTAGACTCGAGTCTTATCGATTATTGGCGATGGAAAAAGTGAATTTTCCCTCATCATTCGCAGCCACTGCCCCAGATTTCGAAGCACATCCAAGATGGGGAAACGATCAATATCCGAGGTTGGCGACGCCGAGTTGTCCAGGAAGAAGAGCAAGAAGGATAAGTCCGAGAAGAAGTCCAGGAAGGAGGTTGTAGAGGCAGTCGAATCCAATGGTGACATCGCAGAGGTCTCTGAGGCCCAGCGCAAGGCCGCGAAGAAGGCGAAGAAGGCCGGATCTACTCATGTGTCAGAAGACGGGGACGCAGCAAAGGCAGCCAGGAAAGCCGCGCGCAAAGCAGAGAAGAAGGCGGCAAAGGAAGCAGCAAGCGCTGCCACAACAGCGCCTACCTCAGTCGCAACGTCAGCAGCAGCCTCCCGAGTCGAGTCTTTGGCCACGAGCCCCGAGCCCACTGCAGATGGCGTCTATCAGGAAGACAAGGAATTGTCAGCGCTACCTCAGTCTGAAATAGACGCCTTCCTCAAGAAGCACACCGTTACAATCGACGACCCGAAGCCCGAAAAGAAATTGCGTCCAATCGTAAACTTCAAATACCTGCCTATCAAGAACGAGGCTTTCGCCAAGTTCAGTACCCCAACTCCTATCCAGGCAGCGGTATGGCCATCGCTGCTTTCTGGACGAGACGCGATCGGTGTGGCAGAGACAGGATCTGGAAAGACGCTGGCATTCGGTGTACCTTGTGTCAAATACATTCAGTCTCTGCCCAAGAACAAGCGCAAGGGCGTCAAGGCTGTGATTGTCTCCCCTACTCGCGAGTTGGCTGTTCAGATTTATGATCAGCTGGTTGTTCTGGCGGGTCCCGCTGGACTCGGAGTCGTCTGCGTGTACGGGGGTGTACCCAAGCCTCCTCAGATTGAGTCTCTCCGCACAGCATCTATCGTTGTAGCCACACCTGGCCGTCTCAACGACCTCGTCAGTGAGGGCAACGCCAACCTCAGCAACGCCGACTACGTTGTACTTGATGAGGCTGACCGAATGCTCGACAAGGGTTTCGAGGAGCCCATCCGCCAGATCATCACACAATGTCCTAAGAAGCGCCAAACACTCATGTTCACCGCGACGTGGCCTCCTTCGGTCCGTGAGCTAGCGTCCACCTTCATGGTCTCACCTGTCAAGATCACGATCGGTGACAATGTCTCCGGTGAACTTCGCGCCAATATCCGCATCAAGCAGGTTGTTGAGGTTGTAGATCCCCGTGCTAAGGAGCAGCGTCTGCTTCAGCTGCTCAGGCAATATCAGTCCGGAAAGAATAAGGACGATCGTATCCTCGTCTTCTGTCTGTACAAGAAGGAGGCCATGCGTATCGAGCAGTTCATCCAGCGGTCGGGCTTTAGGGTCGGCGGTATCCACGGCGACCTGAGCCAAGACAAGCGCACGGCTTCGCTGCAAGCTTTCAAGGAAGGCAAGGTTCCGCTGCTCGTAGCAACAGACGTGGCTGCCCGTGGTTTGGACATCCCAGCTGTGAAGGTCGTCATTAATGTGACTTTCCCCTTGACGGCTGAGGACTATGTGCATCGCATTGGTCGAACGGGTCGTGCCGGTCAGGATGGTCTTGCGATTACGCTCTTCACGGAGCACGACAAGGGCCTTTCTGGATCGTAAGTTTCATCTAGCGCAGATCCACGAACCTACACTAACAAGACGTAGTCTTATCAATGTCCTCAAGGCCGCCAATCAACCAGTACCGGAAGAGCTGATGAAGTTCGGCACTACGGTGAAGAAGAAGGGTCATGAGGCCTACGGAGCGTTCTACAAGGACACTGGTGACATGAAGGCAGCGACGAAGATTACATTTGATTAGACATCTGAGGTCACCTCGCAGGTTGCCCGCATACACGCTGTCTTTCCAGTCGGCGATGCAAGTGATTAGCTGCATTGCCCTGCAGCTCAGGCGGGGATCGTTTTAACATTACCTAGCGGAGGCGTTTCGGCACACTTCAAAAGTCTCAACTTAGACCGCTACTGTTTGAATATACGGTGTTTGTTGCAGGTTCGAGCACATGAAATTTACACTACTTGTGTCATGCTCGTACGATTCGTGTAGAGTGAGGCCTGTGCGACCCCAGATAATCGCCGTTTACACACTGCCTGCATCGTGAGCGCCCGAACGCCGGCTGTTCAGCCTCCAAGGCGCGGGCCCATCTGCAGGCAGTCTGGCCATTCCAAATCCACTTTTGGTGCGTTCCCACTCCTCTGGTAGCAGGAACACACCAAAAATGCACCAAGCCGCTCCACCCAGCCTGCACCCTCTAACAGTTCACCTCTGCTCCCATCCAATACCCTTACCGCTCTTTACCTCGCTTTAGGCGCGCTTTGAGGGCACGTCCATCGTCACTAAATGGCAGTAGCAGCGCATCAGTGACAGCCCGACCACGCCGTTCCCGCAGCCAAGCTGTCCCCACGCGGGTTTCTCGTGCATGTAGACGCTCTGGCTGGGATGGGCGTGGTCTTTGACGCCTCCGCTAAGGCGACCTCGGGGAGAGTGTGGGTTCGCAGCGTGCGGCAAGGTGTCCAGTGGCGATTTGATTGGTCTTGGAATACTTCCGGATGTGGTCGCCGACTACCACATCGCCGACTGCTGACTGTATGGGCCTGCGAACACGAAACTGCGAATCCTTCGTCCAAGGTCCGAGACGGCGAGGACGCAGAGGGGTTTAATATATATGGTGAAGACACGCTACTGCTCATATAATAATATCGAGGACGCTGTTTCGGAAGCCCTTTTCCCATCAGACTTTGACCGCATACGCTTTGGTGCTTTTTGCACACATCTTGGAATAGACCTTCATTCCCGCGCAAAACAAAGGACAACAACCAAGTGGCTTGACTTTGCTTACGGGCATACGTTTTCGACTCAACCCTTCGATCCGGCGCTGCACAAGACTCTTGCATCATCCGCTGTCACTACCACCCAAAGTTCGTCACTTATCGCCAACATGTGCAAGAAGGCAGCATGCGACGCCTGCAGTACGTCCCCCAGCTTATCTCCGCTATCTTCTCGCAGAAGCACAGACTGACAGCATCTTACAGACAAAACCACGTGGTGGGGCTGCGGCAAGCACGTCTCCGGCGTTATGAACCATGTTCCCGCCGACGAATGGTGCACATGCACACCGCGCGTAACAGTCGAAGATAAAGCCTACCCACCCATGGGCACCCTCGCGGCTGCGTGACTAGACGGGGAATGTGGTTCCCTTGGGACATCGAGGGAGAAGTATCTCTTCTCGATGATCCAGGGCATGAACGGTGGGCCACACGCAAATCACCCGAAGCCAAAGCCGGCAGCAAAGACATGACATGAGGGGAAGGCTGCGGTGGAGAGGATCGATGCACTCCGGGAGTGCAATGAGCAGGGAACAAGGATAAAGGGATACAATCATACCAACAGACGGGTGCTACAGAGATTACAGTCGGGAGATGAGCACATCGCGGCGTTTCTGCAATTTTTGAACAACGCATAGCAACAGCGGCGTACCTTGTTTGCCTGGGATTTCCTTGCATAAGAAGCTGTTAGGTTTCTTGAGATATCGATCACGGATCGTGGAGGGTTCACACAGCGAACGCACAACTGCAGCAGTGGCAATTTAATGACAAACATATCTTTACAACTCCGCCTTTTCGACAAGACCGAACTAGTAACCAACGCCGACCAAACTCTGACCAAGCCCGAGGTATCGTATCGCATAAATCATAACAGACGACGATTGAAGGAAAGGAAGCGTTAGCCTCTACGCCGATGCCTGGACGACCTTGAAGCCCTCGGACAGCATCTTCTGAATCTCTTCGTCCTTGTGCTGGAGGAAGCCCAGCGTGTACTCGACATCACGCCATTGTCGCTCATTCTCAGCGCGGGGCAGACGTGCAGCAAGCTTGTTGGAGAGCTGTTTAGCTTGTTTCTCCTATACATTATCAGCAAAGTGTCCAGATCGACATCTGTAGCAGCAGGGGAATTTACCTTCTCGATGTATCCAGCCAGATACTTGATGATGCGCCTGAATGTATCTTCATTGAGCGCAGTGTCGGCACTGAGAGTACTGAACATGTCCACAAACTGGTTGTAAATGGCGTTGTCCTTCGTAGCAAGTTCGCTGAAGAACATGCGGGCCATTTCTGTGATTTTCTTATCGCTGTCTTCAATACACTTAGCCATCTCCGCAAGCTGACCCTTGACTTTGACCTGACCAGCCAAGATGAGGAAGGTCAGGGTCTGGAGACACGTCCGCTTGACACTCTGATCATTGTCGTCGAGACGGCGGTACAGGAACTCGGTGTCTTGTTCGACCAAGTGGTTGAAGCAGACAGCCATATCACCAAGAGCAATGACAAGATTGCTTCGAACGATGGCGTCTTGGCTGCGCTCAAGGATGACGAGCAGAAGATCGAGGTGGCTTTCGCAGTACTCTTGGCTGACGCACATGAGTTTGCCCAGGCAAAGCGCAGCCTGGGCCTGCAAGGTTGGGTGGTTGTACGAGGTGTTATTGGCGCAGATATCTGACACCAAGGGGCCAAAGTTGGCGAGGACGGACTGTGGACCGAACAGCAGCTCACGCTCTCGAACATGAGTAATGGCATCTGTAAAGTCGTCTTCGTTGGTACCCGCCATGAGATCGAGATCATCTGTATCAGCCTCAGGTGCAGGCGTTGGGTCCTTCGCTGCGCCTCTCTTCCGGCCTTTCTTCATTGGCGTCGGCTCTGGTACGAGAGACTTTCGAGGCGCTGCCTTCTTGTCTTTTTCTCTTTCGGCCTTTCTACGCTTAAACTCCAGCTCGCAAAGCTCAAGGTGGACGATTTGCTTGATGGCAACGTGCCCGACAATGAAGAGGAGCTGCGACAGTGCTAGAGCAGAGTTCTGCTGCTTCTTCGGAATCGATGAATCGACTGCATCAGCATCGGGCATCTCCTCGTCTTCATCCACGTCCATGCGGTCCGGGTCCTCGTCCTTCAAACCTGAGCTTGATGTTGGACGAGAAGATGCTTTCGCGGCGAACACTCTCTTCGTCACCTGCCTGATGGTTTCCGAACAGAGCACGTCTGGGTGTTTCGACAATACGTAAATAGCACTGATCGCTTGCTCCGCCACGCCAAACCATTCTTTGCTGTCAGACTCGAGCTCGCACATGGCACCAAGTCTGACCAACACTGCGTGATCATTGGGTAGCTTGACCGATGGGGCCGGGGCTGTTCCAGCCTGTTGCTTCCCGGAGGCTGCGCTGATTCGGCGAAGAGCAACACAGGTGTATCGAGCAAGCCCAAAGTCGCGATGACCAAGCTTGCCCAGGCCAATCTTCAGACAAGTCTCCATCTCATTCACAATGATCTCAGGCGAAGAAAGCGCCAGCATGCCCAAAACGATGATGGCTCCTCGGCGCTGTCGCATGGAAATATCCTTCTTCTGGTAGCCATAGATTCCCCAAAGCTTCTCGATGACCAGGTTATTGACTGCTCCTTGCTTCATCATCGTGCTGAGAAGCTGTTCGAGGGAGATGAGGTCGGCGGGTGTTGTATCGAACGTCAGACTAATCATACCGCGTGTGATATAGTTGGCAGCTTGATTGTCATCGCACCCGGGAGGTGCATTGAAGAACAAGCCCTTGTAGCAGTCGATAAGATGTGCCTGGACGCCCTTGCCTTCGTCGCTGTTGCCCTTGGTCCAGATGAGTCGAAGCATTCGTTTGATGCCGAGTCTAGCGTTTGCGATCTTGTATGCATCGATTGTGGTGAAGAAGTCCATCGCCTCAATGACCTCGCTCTTGTTCTTCGAGGAAAGCAGCTGCATCACCTGCTCGGCTGCATCGTTGACCACTTCGATGAATCTCAGAGCTGATCGTACAAACGAGCGTAGCTTGTTGAACTTCTCCAGCTCCTGAATCTTTGCAGCGTCCTGCGCCTTCTCTTGCTCCCTCTTTTCTACCGCAGCCTGAAGCTCTTCTGAATTTTGTGGGGCAGCAGCATCTGCTTGGGTTGCATCAAGAAGCATCGACTCGTCGACTTCTCCAGGCGCATGCTCTTGGAGCTCTTTCTCAGCAGGCTTCAGCGCTGCAATACTTTGCTCAATACTCTCCAGTCCCTGCTCCCAAGGCTCTGTTGACAAAAGACCGCCGTACATGGCCGAGAAGGGGTGTGTTTCGACGAGTTTCGAAAGGAGCTTGATCGCATTTCGTCGTACGTTGCTACTCTTGTCTTTGAGGCTTTGTTCAGCATAGTCTGCAGCCATCTGACGACGCTTGCGCCCTTGCTTCGAGCTCAAATGTGGCAGATCACAGAGCTTGACGTAGACTTGCATGACTCTGCAACGACAGTACGGGTTGATATCCAAGAAACGCTGCTCAAGCACGTCGAAGAAGATGTCGATATTTCTCTTGTGAGCTTCGCTGCGATCGTCCTGGCTCAGCTTGCTCAGCATATTGATCAGATTGCCGCACACTTCAATCATAGCGCATCGCAACGTGTAAGCCTCGCTATCCAGCAGATTGTTGAGCAGGGCACCTTGCTTGATGATGAGATTTGGCAGCAGCTCAGAGATCTTGATCAGGAACGTCGAGACAGACTTCGGACCCTTCAAATCTGTAGCGCTGTACTCCCTGGTACTGATATCTTTCAATACATCCTCAGCCAATTGTGAATAGTCGTAGGCATCGGCGAGGGTGTGGAGGAACTCGGCCATGGGCTCCGAGAGATGCTCGAAGTACGTGAGACATTGGTTGATCGATGTCTGTGCGGTGTATGCGTGACCATGGTGCTTGACAGCGATGCAGAGCACCCTGAAGCAGTGATTACGGATGGCGTTGTTCTTGACTCTGGCTTCGTTCTCCAAGATGTGGTACACGGGCTTAGTGAAGAGGCTAATGAAGGTGTCGCGTTCTGACGTAGTGACGAATATGCGACTCAGCTTCAGCTTCAACACTTTGCTCACCCGATCGAGCGCTGTTTCGAGCTGCGCCGCTGCATCCCATGTCCCGTCCTTGCTACTGCCCTTGGCTTTCCCCGTCTTACCTCTCCCTCTTGCTGCTGGCGCCGAGGCCGACTTCTCCAGCGCTCTTGTCTCGACTGCGGTTATGGTCCATTTGAGTAAGAACGCGTACATCTCCAAGATGTTTTTGTGGTATGAAATCGCATCTTGGTCTTCGGCTTCGAGATCGGCGTGTACGACATCGGCTTGTGTAGAAAGTGCGGATACTATAAGGTCGAGGATCTTGCCGAGCGCGGTCGGTGGTATTTGCGACGAATTCCTAGATAGGAAACTCGAATTAGAGACATAACCTTGCGATCTTCTACATGAGTAGACGGGGCGGACTGGAACACACTTGAGGAGGAACTGAAGTGTGTCAAAGACTGAAGCGCGAGTGATCGCATCTGGGCTCTCCGCTACTGCGTCCACCACAGAGTTCAGTTCGCTGTCAATCAGAGACAGCGAGGACAGCGCTTCTGGGTCATCTTCGCACTCTTGCACTGCTCGAGAGGCTTCCGGCGTTGGAATCGTCGAGGGATCGCTGTCGAACAGCTTGATCGCCTCATTGATGTCAAAATCAATGCGCGCCTCCATTATGCGCAGAGTCGCGTGAGGAAAGAAGAAGAAAAAGAAAGAGCCGGAAAGACGGCGACACAGCGTCGTTATGGGCGTGTTGTTGCAACCACACACAGCAAACAGACGATGCGGGCGCCCGCCGCACAGGACGCGCCTTCTGTTTGGTTGTTGTTGTGCTTTAACCGCATTGAGATGGTGCAGCTGGTCGCGTCTTTCAACGGAAGCCCGCAGCACTACTCACACACGCAAACAACAACACGAGATCTGCAGCACTTGACCATGTCGAAGACTCGAACGGCGCTGCAGCGTCAGACAGAGCAGATTAATGTGCATGAGGACGACCAGAAAGACGAGGAAGTCAATTCAGAGCTAGGCGAAAGCATGGATCCCCTCGATGAAAGCGGACACACGGTCGACAGCAGTGACGAGGAAGTCGAAGACGCCGTTGCCGAAGACATGTCACGCTTTGAGGAAACCTTTGTCGGTATCAACAAGCGGTTTCGACTAATTAACCGCATCGGTGAAGGTAAGTCTGCACACATTGGCTTGCTATAAGCAGGGTCACATGGTAGGGCTTACAATGCTGGTAGGGACATTCTCAACAGTCTACAAGGCCGAAGATCTGGAGTACAACAAGTACGACAACAACTGGGACATCGAAGAACGCGAGAACTCGCCTGAAAACCGAAAACGATCAAAACGCCCCCACTATGTTGCTATCAAGAAGATCTACGTCACGAGTAGTCCCATTCGTATCTTCAATGAGCTGGAACTGCTGTACGATCTGAGAGACTCCGATTCCGTGTGCCCGCTCATCACCGCTTTCCGGCATTTGGACCAAGTTGTCGCCGTTCTGCCTTACTTTCAACACCGCGACTTCAGGGACTACTACCGGGACATGAGAATTTCAGAGATGCGCTTGTACTTCCGGAGTATGTTCACCGCACTTCGAGCAGTGCATCACAAGAAGATCATTCACCGCGATGTCAAGCCAACCAATTTCTTATACAACCCTGCGTTGAAGCGTGGGGTTCTGGTTGATTTTGGCCTTGCAGAACGCGAGGGCACAGACTGGAATCCATGCGCATGTCATCTTCCAGACGAGGACCGCCGTCACAGAGTGTCGCACAGCGTGTATGCGCAAACCCAGTCTTCAGGCCATAATACGTCCAGCTACCCCAAGAACGACACGCGAAACAGCCGTCGAGCCAATCGAGCCGGCACTCGTGGCTTCCGTGCCCCTGAGGTCCTCCTGAAATGTACACAACAGACATGCTCTATCGACATGTGGAGCGTGGGCGTCATTCTCTTGACCATGCTCTCTCGCCGCTTCCCGTTCTTCCACAGTGCAGACGATATCGATGCTCTGCTCGAAATCACAACGATCTTTGGTCGCAAGAAGATGAGAGAGACATCACTGCTGCACGGCCAAGTCTTCGAGACGAACGTTCCCAGCTACAGCGAGAGTGGTCATAGCCTGGAAAAGATCATCCTGTGGTGCACAGGACGGACTGGCGACAAGACTGCGCCAAAGAAGGAGCTGGAAGGGGATGAGAAGGAAGCTGTGCAATTCCTGCACCGCTTGCTGGAGTGCAACCCAGGCAAACGCATCACTGCTGATGAAGCTCTTCGACACCCCTTTATTGCGAAGGCTCACGAAGAGGAGGTTGTGGACGACGAAATAAACGACCTTGTCGAAGCATAAACGATCGATGATGATGACGCACTTACGATATGATCAGAGCATGGGAGGCGTTTAGGCACGGAATTGCTCGCTTGAAGCATAGGATTTGGAGTTTCTGGCCATCTAGGGACGGCAAACTGATGAGACGTTGCGATACCCTCAGCCTTGTATACTACGACCGCTCCATGTATTGCTCCAGACGATAATACGAATACGAATACAAGGAATATAACAAACCACCCGCAAATGCTGGCTTCTGGTACAACAGCGGCTGTCTGATTTGCTGCATAAACACACGATATCCTACATCGTCACTTGTCACTCTCATACTACCTGCTTCTTCGCGGCCTCGGCCCTCTCCGCGGCATGCCTCTCGGCCCTGCTCTTGACCTTCTCCGCCTTCCTCCTCTCTCGCTTCGTCTCTCTCTGCCCTCCTTGCCCCGAATGCGCCTCCTTTGAGGTGCTCGCCGCTCTTGTCTTCTCAATCTCTCCATGCACGCGCAGCTTCTCCACGGCCTCCTCCAGCGTCGGAATCCTGACTCCCTGTTTCTTCGCAAGCGCCAGCCTCTGCACACTCGCCGCCCTCCCCCTCTCCGCTGCCCTGACATCCTTCAGCAAGCGCTCTTGCGTCCTCAACTGATCCAGTTCCTCGGCGCTCAGAACCCTCGGCCTGTTCTCGACGGGCGCGCCGAACGGCGCCACGATGGCGGTGACAACGTGTCGGATGGTTGACGACGTGCGATGCCCAGACGTGATACGAACGACATCACCTTCGATGAGCGAGTTGTTCGGGTCCGACACCGTGTAGTGCTTGTGCGCGGGGAAGTGCTTGCGGAACAGCTTGTTCCATTCCTGGCCTGCGACGCGGACTTTTACTGCGCGAGACATCTTCCCTGCCGACACGACGACGCCAACTTTTTGCGAGGTGATGTATTGCTGCACCAGGGGCGCGGCGGTGGCCGCCTTTGCTACGGCTTTTGTGGCCATGTTGGGCAGTCGGAGGTGCGATCGAGGGCGCGAAAGTATAGGTGCTGGGAGCGATTGGAGGGTGAAGTGTGGATAGACGGCAAGCAAATGCGTCTCCGTGGTATCGTATACGTGTGCGATGGGTTCGTGTGGTGTCTTGCCGCAATCGATGCACGCGGAGATGCCTTTCTCTCCGCAAAAAGTGCCAAAGATTGACGCGAAGTCGCAGCGCGCCAAGATTTGCTCCGATTGGTCCGAGATGTTGACACGATATCATAGAGCTCCAGATTACAGCTTCATGTTTCACTTCCGCTGCGGTCTTTTCCTCCAGTTCTCGTAGACGTAGCGTTCATTTCGGCAGTTTCTTGTGCGTTTATGTCGCTTCTTCTGTGTTCAAAGTCACCCAATTCGTTCTGCACAACCACTTCTGCCCTTCAAGACGCCGTGCTGGTGTCCCGCACAGAGTAAGATGCTCATAAGGATAGCGCAACTGGCGCTGCTGTTGTGCTTTGCGCTGCTGGTACTCGGTGCAGAGGACTACTACAAGGTACGGAAAGACTCCCTCCGTTAGCTCGCATGGAGCGAGCCCTTCACAATTCAAGTCGCGCAATTACTGACTCCACATGCTGTAGCTGCTAGGACTGAGGAAGGATGCTTCCGAGCGCGATATCAAGAAAGCCTACCGCACTCTGAGCAAGAAGTTCCACCCAGATAAGAATCCGTATGCCAAAGCACCCCACTACCAAGACGTCTGTTAACACTTGCCAGTGGAGATGAGACCGCAAGCCAGAAGTTCGTCGCAGTTGCCGAAGCCTACGATGTCCTCAGCGTCGAGGAGACCCGCAAGATCTACGACCAATATGGCCACGATGGTATCGAGCAACACAAGAAGGGCAACGGTCCAGGCCAGCGTCACGACCCCTTCGACCTCTTCTCGCGCTTCTTTGGTGGATCAGGGCACTTTGGGCACCAGGGTGGGGAGCGACGGGGCCCTAACATGGATGTCCGCGTCGCCGTACCCCTGCGAGACTTCTACAACGGACGCAAGACCGAGTTCACCATTGAGAAGCAGGCTATCTGCTCTGCCTGCGAAGGCTCTGGCTCAGCAGACGGGCATGTCGAGACTTGCGGTACCTGCGGCGGACGTGGCGCGGTGATCAGGAGACAACAGCTGGCGCCCGGACTTTTCCAGCAGGTGCAGATGCAGTGCGATGCCTGTGGCGGTAAGGGCAAGACAATCAAGCATCCATGCTCGGTCTGTCACGGCAGCAGAGTCGTTCGCGAATCTGAGACACACGAACTCGACATCGAAAAGGGCATGCCCAAGGGCGTGCACATCACGTACGAAAACGAAGCAGATGAGAGCCCCGACTACGTTGCTGGAGACTTGATCGTCCACCTCATCGAAGCAGACGCAGCTCTCGGCGCGCAGGATCACGAACGCACAGATGGTACCTTCTTCCGCCGCCGAGGCCCAGACCTGTTCTGGCGGGAGGTGCTTTCGCTGAGGGAGGCGTGGATGGGCGACTGGACGCGCAACGTCACACATCTGGACGGACACATTGTCAAGCTGTCTCGCAAGCGCGGCGAAGTTGTACAACCCAATACGGTCGAGATCTTGAAAGAGGAGGGTATGCCCATCTGGCACCAGCAGCTCGAGAACAACGACGGGTTACAGTACGGTAATCTGCATGTCGAGTATGTTGTTGTGCTGCCGGATCAGATGGAGAAGGGTATGGAGAAGGACTTCTGGGCTGTGTGGGATAAGTACAGGAAGAGGAGCGGTGTCGTCCTCGATAAGGCGCTGAACAGACCGGAAGGCGAGATCAAGATGCCGGGTGCGGATGGGCATGATGAGCTATAGAGCACGATGGATGAATGTTTGCATGATATGGATACCCGTGGGAGAAGAGGAGTCGTGGAGTTGGTCGACAATGCAGTGTGAGCAGAGGAACAGGCTTGAATGTACAGAGCGAACAAGATCAACAAGCATGTCACAAGCTCTCACGTCGGAGGAGCCTATCCAGGCAGACGTCACTTGACCGATCGTACTCACGCTTAGTCATACGAACGCAGAAAGGTGGTGGTCAGCGAACTGTATTGGTTGAGGCTCAACTGCCTCTCGGAAAAGACATGCCGATAACCTGCGCTCACGAACATGACCTCCGCCCCCACTGCGCCATCACGAAGCCGCAAGGCCTCCGCCGATGATCAATATAGCGCTCGCGTCCAGCCTCGCAAAGTCTACATACAATAGCGACTATGACTAGGCAGTTTCAATACATACATTTGCCGGTTCCTGTACGGTCGCTCCGCCGTTGTTGTTTGCTACTTCCCGTCCTGCAGTTACATCTGCTGTTTGCGATATCTTGCGACTGCCTCCAGACTGACTGGTAGATGGAAGAGCGCGACAACAAGCTTCACTGATCGTCTAGCGCACGATGAGTAGCCTCAAGCGTTCGAGATCTGACCCGCCGCCGCCTATCACCGTCGAAGATACAGCGACTGGCGAGCCGCCGCAGCCGTCGCCTTCGCCGACTACAGGTTTGTACCTACCTGCAGGCTCTAGTCTGACGTTAATCGGAAAACAGAGCGAGCCAAGACCTTCGACGTCCGACCAACGCACTATCGCGAGGAATCATCGCCAGACGTCCGCCAGCGCCGCAACACCACCTTCGGACACAAGCGCAAGCACAGCCCAAACCTCCAGTGGCACGAGGATTGGACAGACAAGAGCTGGACTCACGGCCGCGTTCTATTGGTTGACTATGTGGGGAAGGACCACACGCCAGAAGGCAGGAGGAAGGTCGTCAGCCAAGAGTTCTGCGATGTCGACAGCCTGAGGCGATTTTATAGGAAGAAGGACCTCTCACAACAGGCTGCACTGCGGGTCATCCATGTGCAGAATGCTCCCTGGGCGACGCGATTCTTGCTGGGCAAGTTCAATATTGACGGAGGGCATGATCTTGTAGGCACAACGTTTGGACGATGGGCGCAGTATGAACGGCCGCTCGTGCGGAATGGCAAGCCGGTCCCGAATGGAAGGACGTTCCGTGTTCAGCGAGATCCTTGGAGGGGCATCAGTCGTACTTCGTTCAGTTGCGATTATTTGAAGAACTACCCGCGGGGAAAGGTTCGCAAGATCAAGAGGGGGACCAAGATGATGGAGCTCAATGGCTACGATGCGGACGAGATGCCTCATTACGCTTATGACGCACTCGTACAGCGTCTGTCTGTTTATGTGCAACTGAGCACCTCGACTCCTGGGTCAGCGACCGATCCTGATATGCCCAATCCGTACAACGAAGAAGAATTTGAGGACTATCAGCGTCTGAAGAAGTCGTATGGCGATGTCAACGCAAACGAGCATCGGGAGAAGTACATTCCCAAGCTCAACACCCTCGATAACGGCAGCACTATCATCCTCTTTGAATCATCACAATCCGGCGATGTTAAGGACACGCTGATCGGCGCTCGACAAGAGGTAGAATCTCGCTGGCGACGTCTTACCTTCTACCTCTCACGCGCAGAGGCGTCTTCAGATGAGACACTTACGATCGAATGCATGGACTACCTTCTGAAGGACATCTTCCAAGCGCTCGCTTATAACTGGACCCGCTTCCTTGCCGCCTGCGAAACACATGTTGGTATCCTCGAGGACAAGATATATGAGAATCCTGCGGATGAATCCCGAGACCAGGAACTCTGGAGCAACAGTGCCCTGTGGAACAAGGTGGAACGTTTGATCTGGAAACACCGTGACATGGTGGGCGACACGCGCAACTACCTCCACGAACTTGCTTCTGGCGATCCCAAGGAAGACGAGGAATGGCTGGGAGATACACCATCGCAACTCGAGCGCCTTACCAACCAATGCGAGCGCGACATCATAAACCCCACAAAGGACCTTGCAGAGCTGATGTACAAGAGCGTGGGCATTCGCGACGCCCGACACTCCCTGCAGCTTGGTCTCTCCATGTGGCGACTGAGCTGGATCACGTTCATCTTCCTACCGCTTACTTTCGTGTGCGGCTTCTTCGGCATGAACGTCGATGCCTTCGAGGGCAACCCCAGCATCAAATGGTTCTTCGTCACCGCCGTCCCTGTCCTGGTCACTGTTCTCATCCTCTGGTACGGCGTAAAGCATTCGCTATCCACACAGCGCCAGAACCCGCTCCGCAGAGGCGTGTACGAAGCTCTCTACCACGACCTGGCAACAGACTACCCTCACTTATGGACCCGCCGCGGCCCCAAAGACGACCTCACCATGGTAGGCTCATTTGGTTTACTCAAATGGCGCCTCGTGCGCCGATGGTTTAGCAGCGAGAAACTGCAAAAGAGAGGCGAATACAACGCCGCGATCGACGAATTCGGCACTTGGAGCCGCATAAAGCAATACCTCGTCCGCCAGTGGCTCCCCCAGCTGCGCATTGTCATCGCCGAAACACTTCCCCAGACGAGCAAACCGGATGATGGGCAGCTGGAAGAAGTGGCCATCGTCGCTAAAGATCTCGGTGCCATTGGAGAGCTTATGAGTATCGCGACGCCGGTTGCGCTTGCAGAGATCGAACCGACGGCGGCGAGCCGGTTGCAGAGGAGAATCCCACGGGACAGGTTGAAGAGCTTAAGTCCCACGAGGAGCGATGGGAGTGGCAGACCGAGTAGTGATGGGGGAATGAGCGGAGTTATGGTTGATGAGAGGGGGGTCAGTGAGGAGGAGAGGAGTGGCGATGAGTGCAGTGCTGACGAAGAGAGGGAGTGGGAGTTGGAGAGAGCGAGGCAGCGACTGAGGCTAGATGTGCCGTATCTCAATGGGCGATTGAACTAGATCTGCCTTCCGGAAATAGTTATCACACACAGTCCTTTTCTGCACAATGACATCTTCCAGCACACATGTCTTCTTTAATCCAGTTTTCGAGGGCTCAACACAAACCCCTTGGCCCTGGCTCGCGTAGCTCGACGTCCAAGTCATCTCGTAGCTCGAGCCCCAGACCAGTGTCGTCCATGTAGCAGCCTCGTGGTCTTGTCTGTATACGTTGCGGGGCAGACCGCATATATTGTCGCGTTTGTTGTCCCATTGCGAGGCCTGCTGGTAGTGGCACTTCCATGAGGTCTAGCATCTGCCGTTGAAGCAGGGCAGGCTTGGTCCTACTTCAGTCTCTGATCTGTCGGCATTGACGGCGGGTATTGAAAGAAGGGCGACGTGCCGAGGATGTTAGAGATTCGCATGCTGATAGTGGAGAGTGAAGGCGTGGAAGAGGGTATAGTGTTGATTGAATACTGAGATGGCCTTCAAGATATATCCCTTACAAGTGGACTGCTCTTGATAGTCAGACGAGGCTGACTGGATGTTCTGGGGAGGCTGTGAGTTGTGCGGTGGTTGCTGTGGCAAGTTACACGTGCAAGAAATACACACGAGAAGGAAGACATTACTATCCCATGGACGTTCAGTCCATGCTATCGATGATAGGCTTTTCATGCAACTTTAAGATGCCCATTACCCTAATCGTGTATCCGAATACCTAGTGTAGGACTCGACCCTCGTGTTGACGCTTTGACAGGCGTTCGTCAGGCAGACTTTCGAACTCTGACCGAAGTGCTTAGCATGCCCACCTTACATTAGGCGGGCGATGGCACCGAACATGAACCACACATACGCATGAATTGATTGAGAATCAGCTTGCTGTACTGTCGGGCTCAAAGCGTGAAAGAGACCAGATCCTTAAGCGGTTCTGTCGCTGCGGCTTGTATGTCGAGATAGCGCGGGTCACAGTGGTTCAGCTGGTCGCCCAAGGGTAGTTTATAATGTACAGCCGTGAACCGTGAGCAACGTAGTTTTTTGGCGTCTTCGACGGCCTGTCACGCAGCGCAGTGCTGCCTTTCCTGACGTACCAACACTCAGGGAACGGTCTGAAACAAACACCAAGCTTCTTGAGCTCCGACGCAGAACTTAATTTGAACAGCCAGTCCACGTCGCTCGCGTCGTACTCGATTGGAGTTGCTCGTCCACTGATCGCTCGTACAACGGAGTCTGGCGATCCATCTGGCAGGGGTCTGGCAATTCCGGACCCCAGGCCGTGACCCATATCAATGGCAAATAACCACAACTTGTCCCACTGAACGCCTGCTAGTCGGTACCCTTCTGCTATCTCCTGTTCCTTCATTGAGACTTCCTGCCAGGCGCGGGTCATGATGCGGCGTATATGTGTAACGTTGACGAGGGGTAATGTGCCTTTCTCCCCTGCGAACGTCGAGATGTTGAAAACGGGGTTCGCGTACAGTACAGGAAGAGCCTCATCGTACACAGTCTTGCATGAGCGTAACACTGTTGAGTGGAAGCGACAGCTAGTGTTGTCATGATCGAGGTGAAACAGTTGACCTTGAATCCGCTCTTTCCTTCGAGGGTCATCTGGCTCGCAACCGATACTCTGGGTGGGAACATTCTGCTCCCAATTCCCCACCATATGTGCTCTTGCTCCACCGAACAGCTCCTTGTAGATGAGAAGCCGTATCTCAACAGGAAGGTCTAGGAAGCGAAAGGAGCGATAGTGTCTTGGATTCAGAACACCGACATACTCGCAGATGAGGCGCAGCTTGCCGACGATCATAGAAGTCGCGTCCATGAAGAACGATGGTGGAGGAAAGATGGGGTGGCAGCCTTGAGAGTGCGGCATTCGGCAAAGGTTCCACTTGCTGTCCGGAAACGTCTAGCGCTACTTCGTACAAGCGCGACGATCTGCTCAGTGCTAGTCATCTGGCTATCTTTCACATCCCATCTCAACAATCGCCAGTTTGCCCGGGAAAATCTACGTTCTTAGCAATAAGATCCGAAACCTGTGGGAAAGAGTTAGGAAGGCTTATTGTTGAAGCGATTGAGACACATTGATGGCCAGCGCTGCGCCAATTCAAAACAGGCCATATCGATCGCACAAGGTGCCCGCCTGCCTCAGATGTCGGTCGCGTAAAATCCGCTGTCATATCGACATTCCTGGAGAACCATGTCTATCATGTCGGGAACGACGTCTGAAATGCCAGTATGTGGACTCATCAACAAGCTCACCGACAGAGGAGAACGGTGACCGGAAACCTGCAAAGCGTCGAAGGGTCAGCGCCGATGGCATGGAAGAGGGGCCTTTGCGGCCTCGGTCAGCACCGATTCTGCATAAGCCGACAAACAATCCGTCTGCGTCCATTATCATGGCATCTCATCTTGCCGAGGACCTGGACATCTTCAACCGTCATCTCGCCAAGCACCGCAAGCCTGGGGGAGAAGCCGCCGACAATTCGGCCTACCAGACCCTTAACCACGATGTACAGGATCCCATCACATATGTCACAGTTCCAAGATTTCGGACCGGACTGCCACCTGGAAGTGGATGTGGGCGATCGCAGCTGGATATCCTGGAGCAAATCATGGGTCCGTTCAAGCGAGAGGTCATTGAGCTGTACTTCAGGCATCTTCACTATCATTTCCCGGTCCTTGACGAAGAGATGTGCGCACTTCTTCGCGGCGGCCAGCTCGATAAGGCGCCGAACAACTTGCTCTGTGTCATCTTTGCTCATGGGTCACCATTATGGCCAAGATCAGAAACGCTGAAGATGCACCCGAGGCCAGATGCGCATTATGTGTGGAACAAGGCTATCTCAGCAACCCTGGAAGATTTTCTGAGTCCTGGCATGTCAACAATATCAACAGCGATTCTTGACCAGATTGGCCGCCCATCTGTCTCGATCGTTGGCAACATCACACTCTGTGGCAAGACTGTCTCGCTCGCCCAAACGTTTGGTCTGCATCGCGACCCAGCGAAGTGGAACATCACAGAGAATGAGAGATCTGTTCGAGTGCGACTGTGGTGGTGTGTGCTCATCACGGATACTTGGTCCAGCGTCGCGTACGGTGGTCCTCCACACATCACCAAAGGCTATCACGACGTGCCTCGACCGACAGTTGGATCACTCATCAGCCACAAAGCAGGCCAACAACAAAAGCAGGCGACTACGTGTTTTGTGCATTTCTGTGCATTGACAGAATTGGTGCAATCCATCATTCCTCTCATCTATCAAATTGAGCCGGACCGCATGCAATTGTCTCAGCAAGTGGCCCACTTCAAGCGCGAGCTGAACAATCTGGATGCCCAGCTGCCCACCTGTAAGTCATTAATTGCATTTCCTTGCTCGTGACAGTTGTTGATCAATATGTAGGGCTGCCACTTCCCAATCAGCCAGGATCTAGCAACCTGTGGTTCTGCTTTCTCTCTACTCGACTACTCCTCGCGCGTGTGACGCTACGCTCTGCAGTCCTTGAGGGTGATAGCACACTGGGACGAGACAGAATGCACCAACTGCGTACCTCCTCATCTGCTGTCTTGGACTTCCTCCTCACACTTGGTGAACTCCAATTCCAGGATTTCTGGCTCCCCTACGTGACCCACCTCCTCGTACACGCTATCACAGTCTCCCTACGATGCACAGTCGAGACAACAGATCCTGAGATGCGGAACACGTCAGTGGACCGGCTACAGCGTGTGATTGCACATATTCAGTTTGCTCGAGATAACTACGATTGGGACCTGGCCATTTATTGCCTTGAGAGGTGCGCAGAGCCGGTGTCCAGGATAGCATCCTTGAATTCAAGGGAGCCTGCGCCGCCTTCCGAAACCGAATTTACGAGCGTAGCCCCAGCGAACGGGCAAGGTACTGGCGTTGAGGTTCCGCCTTTGCTGATATTCGACGACACCAACTTCTTGCTCTCGGACATATTGGATCCAAATGCATTTGACTTCTCGTTAGAAGCACTGTGGGACACACCTTCTGGCATGACGAACTTCGCGATATAAGGAATTGAAAACTTAAAGACAGTACTCAAATTGAGCATGCCCCGCGGAAGGACTTCTTGCAATCCAGAACGCAGTCATGTACAGCCACGCAAATTCGGCTACGAGCGACGGCTGGCGCACGCTACTGGGCAAGTTACTTGCGCGCGTATAACGACAGCGAGGCTTCGAGGGATAATAGCTCACATCATTCGGTTTGGGCAGAGAAAGGATTGAGGTTACACTATGGTCGCAGGGGCTAAATAATCACTGCACAGTTGATGACGCATAAGCTCTGGAATTGCGGTCCCATAGTTTTATGACGCTAATTAATATATATCAATCGGGCGCTAGAACGCGAGCCTATATGTGTGCCAGCAGATGAATGGGCAGCGATGTGAGACCGCACTTTGAGGAAAGCTGACTCTTCCGAGCCCCGATATACATGTGATCTGGACACAGTAGCCACACTTGTCAGCAGGATGCGGGAGAATGGGGACAGGGCATGTGCACGTGTGCTACTGATCAAGTCGCAGAAAGCTCATTAACATAAACTATGCACAAGCGCTCAATTTTCCCCATCCGTCTGACCACTTCAACAGACTAAAAGAGCGACGCATTAAGCCAGTCAATTACAGCCTGCTCAATCCAGCGATCTCTCTCGGGGCGTGGTAGTTCGGTACCTTCATATCGAGTGCAGCACCACTGTAGCCCAGATCCTCACCAGTAAGCATAGCGCACTTCTCGCCAATGAGCAGCGCAGTGGAGTACGTGTTACAACCGACGTTGTCGGGGCAGATGGACAGGTCAGCGACCTTGAGGCCCTTGACGCCGTGCACGTTAAGGCGCTCGTCCAAGACACCATGCTTGACGATGCTGTTGCCGTTCTTGGGCGCCATAGAGCATGTGCCCAGGGAGTGCCAGGTGGTCTCAACGTGGCCTGAGGATGGTCAGTAAGCTGTGATGGCGATGTAAAAAGATGACGTACGCTTGGTCCAGTTCTCGACGTGCTTGATATCTTCAGTGGTGTACTGAAGGTCCTCGAGCACGTGCTGCGAGTTGGAGTTGAGGAAGCTGGGGCTTGGTGCCTTGCCCTTCTCGATAGGCATGGTCCAGGAGCCGTGCTGGATACCAGCGGTAATGTTACCGGGAAGAGCGTACTGGCTCTGATTAGCAGGTGAGATCTTCGATAGATAAGGTACTACTCACAGCGTTGGTGGTGAGCAAATCCATGTCGTTAGCACGAGCGGGGCTATCGAACGCGTAGAAGGGGTGCATAGACTGCACCTCACCGGCGTATGCGTCCATGCGACGCGCTGTCTCACGGGACTTGACGTATCCCCATACTGTTATTGTTAGTCCGCGCCCTCATTGAGATGTGAAGAATACTGACCCATGGGTGCCATGTCACGCTTGTCGTTCATGAAACCAGCATCAAAGTCCGGAGCATCATAGGGGTTAGGCGAGGTGATATGAGTCGAACCACGCGAGAACGGATACTCCAGGAAGTGGAACCTGGAAGAAATGTTAGTTTGTAGCCAGGGAACGCCGACTGGTATGCAAGCAAGAGAGATGCTGATCGCCTTATAAAGGTGCCATGTGCACAAGCACGCGAATACCCCCCAGACTTCCGACACTGATGCCGATTGAGTTGCTGTGAAGACAGGAATTCAGCTTACATGGTGAAGAACTTGCCGGGTGGCATGACCATATGGTCACCAAACCAACCAGCAATGACCGAGTAATGCATGACCGGCTTGTCGGGCTTGTCCTTGAAGTAACTGTCCCAGCCAGACCGGAACTCTGGGCAGGGCCACTTGTCCATCATGGTGAGTTCCTCCTCTGTCGGGCGGATCTTGACGCCAGCCTCGATACCGTTGGTGGCAAGAGGGCCGGTACCGTTGAGGTTCCATTGGTCGAAAACTTGCTTCTGGACTGCGGGGTCACCACGAGCGAAGTCATCGAAGGATTCGACGTGTGGCTTGGCTCGGTATGTAGCGAACGTGAGGTAGTGATCCTGGAAGTTGAGACCGACACCTGGTAGATCGATAAGAGGCTTAACGCCAGCCTTGCGGAGCTTCTCGGGGTCACCGATACCAGATCGCTGGAGGATGAGTGGTGAGCTGAGCGTGCCACCAGAGACAATGATCTGCTTCCTGGCCCTGATAACTCTAGATGTCAACTGACCAGGAGAAAGAGGCTTGGTTGGAACGACCTTGACGCCAACGGCACGGTCGCCCTCGAGAACCACCTTCTCGACCTTATTGTTGGTCAGCAAGTGCAGGTTCTGGTGCACGGCACGAGTGCTGTGAATATAGGCGTGGGCAGAATCAGATCGACGTCCAGTGTCACGATTGATCCACTTGAGCCACTGCTCAGCTCCGTGGCCAGTGACCAAGTCCTGAAGATCATCGGTAGTTGGGATACCTTGAGACTCGGTGGCTCTCAGAAAGTCATCCTTGATTGGGTAGGTGTAGTTGCCGAACGACACCTTAATTGGACCCTCGAATCCGTGGAGGTCACGATTGTTGCAGGCACGCTGGTACGTCTCGTGCTTCTTCATGAGAGGAATGAGCTCCTTGGTAGTCCAGCCCTTGGCCTGAAAATCATCGTAGTCAGATGCAGAAGCGCGAGTGTACATCTACGCAGTTATGTAAGGTATCGCTCTTCTTGAACACTGTGTGCAACTCACCATGAAGTTGATGGAAGACCCGCCTCCCAGGATATGAGCACAAGGAACGACAGCTCGGCGTCCATCGAGCCATTCTGAGGGTCGTGAGTAGTAGAAGGAGGCAGTCTTGCTGTCCAGCTTCATGTTACGTGGGTAGATGCCCGGACGAAAGACCCATGGGTTGTTCAAGTTGGACTCTCCAGCCTCAATCAAGAGGACCTGGAGGTTGTGGTCCAAGTTCGCCAGCCGTCCAGCAACGACACATCCGCAACTTCCTCCACCACAGACGATGATATCAACCTGACATGGTCAATGATTGAGTATGTGAAAGGATAGGGCTTAGTACCTCGTCTGGGATCGTCATCTTGGTTTTTCCACCAGTTTGTATCTTTGTCGGTTCAGTATTGATCACTAAGGATGTTACCACAGGAGTACAAAGTCAACTGGGCATGATGTTGCAATTCCAGCAGCAGCTTCCACCTTTTAAACCTGCAAACCCCGCATCTCAATAGCTTTCGGCTTCAAGGAGATCTGTCACTTGGGGCTAAGACAGAAAACATTTCCGTGTGTATGCTCGGCCGGTATCAAGCTCCTGCATGGGCAAAAAGAGGGGATGGTACATGGCTCCAGCCTGCAACCATGTACGTAGTAAACCGAGGATGGCTAGACAACGATATGCAGCCCCAATTCGGTCGGCCGCGCGACAAGCCTACAGTGATAGTCACGGCGGTTGTATGCGTTGCCTGCGGATCCGCTGCGCCAGGTGCTCAGCCTCGACGATATTGGTGGAGACACGTAGGTGTGATTGGCGAGTAGCATCGGCTGAGCGAGCATTTCCAACGTAGTGGTACCACAGTCAGGCTTGCCAGGATCCGCGATGCAGGGCTCGTACTTTAGCTGCTTTGTGAGATGCGGAGAATGATGGCGCCCAGTCACATGAAAGCCTCGAGGTCCATGGGCTCTCTCCCATGTAAAATAATTGCGGATCCGAAGTTGCGAGTGCGCGGAGTAGCGTATCACACCCACGAGATCGGAGGCCCGGCCTGCTGACGACGTGAGCAAGGACGTCTCGGATGTCATTACTCGCGGATCGAATGAGACAGAAGGCTGGGATTAATCTCTGAGCACAGAATTGAGTTTGAGAGCAATTAGCTCGCCCCAGAAGCTCAGACAATTGCGCTGCTGTAACGGAAGCTTTCATTTTCGAAGTCGCGCCCACCGCGGCACTAGTACAGCACTATCAGCCGGTAGGCGTACGGCGCTGACGTCAGCGCCGCCTTCCACACGTTGAAAGTCCCCCGTGGAACACACGGATGTGGGGTGCAGTAGCCTCGTTCTTTTCTGAGAGGGGTCTGCATCCTTGGCCCGCACGCTAATGTCGGAGGTGCGGGGAAGTCCCAATCTTAGAGATTAAGGAAGTAATAGCCGGTCGTTACTATGCCGCAAAATAGGTAGGTACCCCTTCTTAGCCTCACGTAGAACAATTGTCGCGTTTGTTTCTTGCTCGCTGTGACAAGCTGTGAGAGATCCGTACGGATCAGTACGGAAGGGTGGGTTGGGAACTCAGCTTCAGAGTCTCCACACCAGTTCTTATTTGCAGCACTACGAATCCGAGGCTGGGGCGCTGTGATGTCCATTTGCGGGTACAACGGCGGATAAAATGAAGAGGGGTGCATGCTAAGACTTGGTGGGCTGTGCCTTGAAGGTACCGAACGAGGATCCTCCGCGGATTGCGAGAGCGATCCAGACAATCACTCTCCTCTTGAGAGGTTACTTGGAGTGATTTAAGAGCTCTCTCAGCGACCGTAAAGTAACGAATGCTATACTGTCTGTTTAAACGTTAGCTCTGTTCTGGCTGGCTGTCGTGCTTTCAGATCACATTCAGCTATGCGAAGCCAAACCGACATTCCTATACATGGCTGCGTAGATTGACTTTGGCTTAAAAGAGGGGAAAACAAACACGTGACAGGCTATTGCATATCGCTCTGGTCCATTCGATAGACCGGCTTCAGGTCTATAGGTACTATGAGAAATTGGTGCCATCTGCCAATAGGTGATACCCATGAGAGGCTGGATATCGTTCGCTTCGATACAAAGGAGTCCACCAACGCCGTGACTGTGATGATTTTGAGAGCGGAAAGGAAGGCTATAAGGTTATCAGGTTGAAGGTCGTTAGGATAAGCTTGAGGCTCAAGGCCAGCGACCAGGTACGGCTCAAATGATCTCGTGTCGCTCCCAGCCGGTGGGCTTCGGGTGCGCAAGATCTTTGCTTGGGTGCGGCTTCGACAAGTCCCGGTACTCGCTTGCATATGGGTTGGGGTCCTCTTTTTGGTTGAGATTGCCGAGAGTGTGGTTCACCTCCCGATGCTTGCTCTCGTCTGCACGGACTGCAAATACGTCAGCCATCGTCACAGGTCATGGGGTGTTGGGGCTAAGCTTACTGTAGAGCAGAAGATCTCGCATCGTGCGATGACCTTCAGGCATCTTCCAGTAATCAATCGCAATGTCAGGAGCTTGAAGCTTCTCCCACTTGGGCAAACGCCCTGCGTCGAGGTCTTCGATTTGACGTGTGTAGGTGTATACGGCTTCCTCTTCGAGATAGCCGACGAAGCGATGGACAGTACGTGGGCTGATAAGGTACGCGAAGAAGAACGCATTGCACCAGACTCCCTGGGCGCCGAGGACCATGAGGCGCATAAATGGACCAGGCTTACTCATCTTTAGGAAGGTGAGTAAATGCATCCTTTCGTTGTAGCTTTCTTCGAGCAGTGTTTCAATCCTATCTTGCAGTCAGCACACAAACCCTACATACAAGGATGCTCGGTGGCTCACCATCCGTTGTCTCGTTTCATCCGTCTCATAGAGTTGAGATGCCTGATCATGCCAGCGACCATTCCGGGTACACCTGCGACGCTCTCAAGAAACACATTCCTGATCATGTACTTCTCCTCAGTCATGGCCCCCTGCTTGGGGTTGTAGCCTGTGGCTACATCCAGACCCCATCGCAACATCTTCACCGCAACGAGAGCGGCCTTGTCTGATCTTGTTTGGGTCTCTCGGTGGGCGACGGTCACTGTTTTCATCTGCTCCTCGCTGAATTCTAATGTACATGTCAGCATGCATCAGTCCGCTAGACCGGTGTGCCTACCATGATGAGACCATGCTGCCGGTGTTCTTCGAACCAGCTCCGTCTCCTTTTTCTCGAAGAACTTCTGGATCTTGGGGCTTTCAGATGAGGAGAAGTGGCGCTGATTAGCCGGAACCAGCTGAACGTGCTGGACAATCACGAATGTTGGTCGTGTCGCAGAAGCGTTATAAGCTTTGAGGAGCTGGGCTGTGGCGCGTCCTGAAGCGACTGATCCTCGCGTGGCTACTCTTGAGGAGATCATCGGTGTTGGTGTAGTTTGAATGTATCGATAGGTGATGAAACTGTAGCAGTAAGTGCTAGTGGTAAGCTGAGCTTTAAACTGAGGCACATAATGATGCTTTATATAGTTAAAAGAATCAAGCGAGTGGCGCCGACAACCACGTAGATGTCTAAGAAAAAGCCACGGGTCAGAAACTGCCTCGATTTGGTAGCTGCAATCGACACAGTCATCAATAATGGGAGAAGCAGGAAGTACAGGGCTGAATCAGCGCTAGGAATCCGCGTCTTCGGCATGTTCAGCGCGTATTGAACAAAGCGTCGAACAAGATTGGTCGATCAGATTCGCAAAGCCCGCGTGTACGGTCGCGTGCAGAGGAAAGCTTTGGTGACCGGTGGCTGTGGAAGTGTCACCACGAAAAGGGACCGGCTAGTGTTGGCCAAGCTATCGTATTTCAGATGCGAACGGCCAGGGATGTCGCGATGTGTCCGAGAAGCCACAAGAATAGACAGAAGTCGTCCAAAGGAGTCTTCTAAGTCGCCGGACGCTGCTGAAGAGGCCATGAAACCTATTCAAGCGAAAGATTTGTATCATTGTGACCAAAAGCTGGCAAGAGCGGGATCCCGATTGATTCTCGCAGCGGGATCTCGGTGACCCCAGCGCGACGCCGTGCATCCACATTTAGGGCTGAAGCGACCTTCGGCATTCAACGTTGTAGCTTCGACCGTCGAGTCTTGCCTCTGCTTAGACTTCGATGTGGATTTAGTCCAGGCTTTGCGAATTATCAATGCATCTTCGATTTTTATCGTCTTCTCACCCCGATCCTGTGGACGCCAACATAGTACAATCTGCGCAGGGTTCCTGTGCTTACCGACTCTTACAGGCGCATGCTCTCGTCTGTAATTGGGAGGTCTTCGGCGATGATTTCCACGAGACCTGTGAGTTGAGTCGATGGGGCCTGAGTAGCCAGGAAGGACTGACTGGAATTCCTATCACTCTTCTGAAATTACGTCTCATGTTAAGCCCCTCAGGACTATCGATTGGTTTTTGTATCCTCTCGCCACTGGCTCTCCTGGATCATCAGCGCCCTGACCGCCTGCACGCTACTTTACGTGGAAGCTGCTCTCCCCGCTCTTGGGTGAGATGTCGTTGTGCATTACGCCAGAGACCGATGCGGCTGGTGGGCCCGTGTTCAGGTGCTGGACAAAATCCTTCAGTTGATCGGCACTGCCCTGAGCCTCGCCCTGGACCTGCATCAAGTCAACACCGTTGCAACAACAAATAACGTGATGTGCTGTGGTAACCCGCCGTTCCATCAGAAGTATTTCTCACGAAGCCGGTTATGCCAATGCTTCTGGCTTGCTTCTGCGTGTAGGACCTAGTGCGGGTGTGAGTCTGTTGGCTGAGCAAAGAGGCATACACAGCAGGTACCTAAAGTTCACACCTGGTTTCACCGTTAGCATGGCTCGAGAACGGGTAGGTCTCCGGGACTTACCTTGCACCTCACCATCGACCTGGAAGGAAATCTACGATATCAGCCCTGCTATAGACTGTGAAACCGAATGACGTACTCGCTTGTCGGACATTCTGACTGCTGTTGTGAAGAATCGTTTCATGCAAAGTAGGGGCTAGACAATCGACGAATTGGTACTGAATGAGATGATATTCTCTGTGCTACTCCAAATGCAGGGCCACGTTATGGTGAAAGAACGGGCGCCCGGTAATTGGGCAGCAGGGGTGCGCCTGCCGCCAAAATTGCGGGGCCGCGTCGAGCTCAGGGAAGGCACAACTGGCGTACAACCGCTCAACGGCTGTGAGAGATTCTCACGACGTCTCACATGCCAGCACTGAGGGCCTCTTGTTCTTCACTCACTTTGCACGGCTGTCGGTGGTCGCGCGTGGTGATGCGTGCACCAGACCCACGCTAGTGCGTCGCGTTGTTTGTGACAATCTCGCGTCGCTAATCAAACCCGCACCCCTTTCGACACATGGCAACTACCGTGCTTTACCCCGGCCGATGAATCTTCGAAAGCACCGGCCGAACTGCTCTTTTGCAGCTCCACAGCGCATGTTTGCACCACAACACCACCGCCTTTGACTCCCGAGTCTGCAACCAACGTAAACAATCAGCAGCCGTCGACCCCCTGTCGTCCCATCATGGATTCGATGCCCACACCCCCACCAGAGCGAAGCTCTTCGCCAGAACCTTGGGCCACACCGGGCCTCGCACTGAACGCAGTGCCCCAGCTCGACCGCTCGGTATCGACTGCTTCGAGCGTTTCATCTCGCTCTGTGGGCTCGCGACTCTCAGAGAGCGGCATACCAGGCAAGAGGCGAGGCTACATGAGACCGGAAGGTACCCAATTCTCCGACTCGGCAAAGAACAGAGAAAGTGTCATGAACCTGGGAACCATAGCGCATCTCCAGTACTACTTTGCTCGGACTGGGCTGCTCGATGCAGCTACGGGACGAGTCGCAAAGTCAAGGAAGTCGGGTTCAAGAACTCCCAGCGGAACGGAGGCAGGAGGCGACGTTACCATCATGTCGCCAGTGTCGCCATCCCTAGCTGCCTACGAGTTCGGGGAGTCTCTCGTAGAATCGCCCGCCGACGAAATAGCTTCCATGGATTGGGAAGGCGGCGAGCCCATGATGCTGCCACCTACCGTCAGCACATACAAGCAGAATCCAGTATACGTACCTCCACCCCCAGACATGACGGTCCTGCGACGAGAATTGCGCGAGTCCCTTGACGAAGCCAACAAGCACTTGCAGGAGCTGGAGAAGGGATTCACAAAGGACAGCCCTTTGGAAAACGGCGGGTCAGGTCCACGCTCGGCTGACGCGGCAGGATGGCACGAGATTCAGGGCCTCAATCTACTGGACGTTACAACCCTCGCGATCAGAGCTGCAAAGAACTACTATACTGCGCACGAGGAGCCACAACGACTTTACGCCATTAAAACAGAGCGACAGATTCGCAAGGAGCTTTACGAAGTCTTGGAAGTGCTGAAACGCTTGGCTATACGCAACTTCGCCAATGGTGTCCAGCCATACGAGGTAATCCAGATCAGGCAGTGGATCGATGGTATCGGCGATCTGCTTGACACTGAGGAAGAGAAGGAAAGACAGGAGCATGCAGAAAGGGAAAGCTGGGCCTGGCGCGAAGGTGACTGGTCAGGCAGAGAGCGTGAGAGGGAGCTTTTGTTCCTGAGATCTTTCGAAAACGACACAGAGTCTCTGCCAGACTGGACTGAACCCACCGAAAGCGAGCCTGCGACGCCATTCCTCCAGTCTTTACAAAACGGCCTCCGACTGGTCCACCTGCACAACAGCCTGGTGAGAAAATCACGTCGACACTTTGAAGAGATTAAGCATTATCACACCGACACAGCAAAACCGTATCGATGTGCCGACAACCTTCGATACTGGGTCAAGGCTGCAGAGCTGCGCTGGGACATCAAGCTGGACATGGACGTACTTGGCATCGTCCAAGGCAAAGACCTCACTGTATGGCAGAGGTTCGATGCTGCCGTTCTGCAGTGGTGTCAAAGCGTTCGCGAGGAAATCACTTCTGAATGGTTGAAACAGAAGAACCAACAACGCGCACCAACCCTGCATATACGCAACCCAAGCATCGAGGCCGCGATGTAAGTGGACTATAACGCCTTGCTGTTGCGGTACTTGGACACCTCTACGGATATTTCTATCATCTCCTTAGTTGTCTTCCCCCCCTTACAAATACTTAATTTGTACAAAGCCATCGACTGCGTCGTTGTCGTTTTGGAGTCAGAGGCGCGTCTGCAGGGACTAGAATAACGCTGAGACTCGACGATTACGCAGTCGATGACCCCACATATTTTCTCCTCGTCCAGAGGAATCAGATACCCCATTTTGCAGCACAAGCATCATTTGCAGTAGCGTAGCATTTACATAGCCACAAAGGTCATGGATTTTTCATCACACACTCACATGCCTATCCCGGCGTCTAGTTTTGGTGAACGTGTCCAGTCGTTCCACGGAAGCTACCGAGGATCGATAAAGGGAAATGAGCCCTTGGACGAAACGGGGACACGGACGTGGTTTGGTGGCGTCTGAGATTAACATGATGTCCCTTCTGGAAACAGGGGTCAGGCTAGTCAAGATTGCGGTTCGCTGGGGGCCGAGTCTCAGGAACGCGGACATGCCGTTTTGAATGAAACAGCAATGTCCTGCAGAGTCAAACTTATCTTTGACGGACGATGGAGGGGACTGGCGGGCGCATCTACACGCAAATCTTTGTCCATCACGTTGTTGTACCACCCGCCCGAGGCTAGCTCTATGCGCGCAGCGTTGTTTGTTGACGACGGCACAACGACCAGGGAACGCGACTTCCCCGACCCAGCTCAGGCTCCTACCCTGCGCAAGACCCGCACAGCCGCTGCTGCTCCCCTTCCCTTTCACTTCCATGACGCACAGCAGCATTCGGGGCTCAGCAGCAGACAATGACCCCATGAACAGTCTGCCTGCGCTGCAACCGGCCGACAGCCCCGCGACAAGTGAGGTGGCATCGACACCGCCCTGCCCTCCCGCGCCAGCGAACAGCACGGCAGCGACCGCTTCGTCACCGCCGCGCACCCAACTCAGGCGCACTGCCTCAAATAGCAGCAGCATCCTGGACAGCACCACCAAAGTCGCCCGCAACGTCTCGCCCGCGCTGCTGGCCCGCATGAAGTTCCTCAACCAGGCCACCACCGACGCTGCCAGCAGGAACGCGCCTTCGGCGAACGCCATTGGCCGCATTGCTGAGGAGAAGATCCGCCAGCTCGACGACTTCCACTCCACGAAGCGCACATTCAGCATCGAGCGCCGCGGCACCGCCTGGAGCACCGGCCCCGGCAGCCAGTTCGGCACGCCGCTGATTCCCCAGCTGACGGGCGAGAGCGTCCCGGCGCTGGTCATGGAGCGCGACCTGGAGAGCGACATCAGCAGCGTCATCAGCACCAGCGACCGCGTTCTACCCTCTGAGTCCGAGGCCGAGGTCGACGATGTCCTCGATATGCAGAAGTACCGTCTGCCGGACATTGCCAAAACAAAAAGCCTCGCTGCAACCGTCGCCGAGTCTGACACCACTCCCGTCGCGGATGTAGAACGCCCGCCCACACCACCGCCCAAGGACACCCCTCCCCAGGAACAAGTTTCAGTACTCGACAGCAACCATGACATGAACGTGGCGTCCTACTTTGCCCGTCGCCATCACCTCCACCGCACCAACTCCATCTACACCTTGTCCAAGGCGAGCTTCACCAACCAGATCCAACAGTTGACGTCGATGAAGCTTCCACCCACCACGATTGCGTCCGAGATCACCGCGCTCCCTTCCTCCATACTTGCCGGCAAAGCACTACACAGCTCAGCGAACGATATCCGGCTATGGATGGCCAAGGCTACAGAAGTGCTCGGCGGGCTCGATGCCGACGACGATGTCGAGTGGGCTGCAGCCGCTGGTAGAGAGGGTCTTTCCGATGTCGATACCGCCATGAGCAAGTTCGAGCGTCTTGTCAACGTCTACATCACAGCCATTGAAGATCTGCAGTCGCGACCTGACATCGCCGCCCTGCCCCAGAGAGATCAGATCACCCTGGTCACTCAGATGGAGGAGATCATAGGCACTTGGGATGGCATCAAGATGACCCTCAAGAGCGTCAAGAACCAGGTCGAGATCGCCATGGAGTGGGAAGAGCTTTGGAATACAGTGCTTGGCGAGATCGGTGCTGAAGTGGAAACGCTCAGCCGTCTAGTGTTCGAGATGGAGGAGCGCAGACATCGTGTCATATCCGACTCCGTCGCCGAATCTGCTGAGAACTACAACATTGCCGACCTCGAGACCATCGTGGAAGAGACCCCACGCCAGAACACGACGCTCAACAACCGGCTTAGTATGCCGCCAACGCTCACCGTGTTGTCACCCAGGTCTCCGATTCCCCAGATTGAACAAGAGAATTCCCGTCTCCTAGAGATATTCGCCAAGCTGCAGCCGTTGCGTGCATCGCTCGACTTCCTCCCCATGCGACTAGCTTCGTTCGAGATGAGAGCAAGCACCATGTTTCCATCTGCATGCGACGAGCTGATGCGCAGAAAGGACCAGCTTGAGAAACAGGAGAAGAACCTCGAGGCTGAAGCAGATGCCTTGAGAGAGGAGCTCGGTGAAGACAAATGGGTGCACAGCTTCAGGCAGGCAGGTAGCAAAGCCGTTGCGATGTACGACTCGACGATCAAGAGCATCGAGAGGCTGCAGCAGGCTATTGACGATGCTGATGACGAAAAGCTTGGCCCACGCATCGCCAAGTACAAAGACAAGAGGGACCATTACCCGCCATCGATCAAGAGGGTTGTTGAGTTGATTGACATCGGCATGAAGAACAGGTCGACAGCCAACGGTGAAATTTTGCGTATCCAGCAAGACGTACGGCAAAAGATGGCCGACCTGGAGCAGGACATTCAGGGCATGGATGCCATCTTAGACGAAGTTTCCGCTTCCCGCAAGTTACGAGACTCTGTCTCTACTATCCTCTCGATACGCACTGAAGGATCTTCAGCGTTCGACACACCTGGCAGCTCGCCTGCATCCAGTGTTGTCATGAGCCGTAAAGGTAGCGATCATGGTACGACTCCTGCAGGCCGTAAGTCGCGTCAGTCCAGCACCTCCATGACGAAAACGTCCGTTCCTCCAAATCGCCGGTATTCAAGCCTGCCCGTCATACCGGGAAGCATCACGACGCGAAAATCGTTGCCCTCAACCTACCTTGAGCCAACTATCGCGCGCACCATGGCCAATACGCCCACAAGGACAACCCGCTCATCGACCCCAACTGAACGACCTGTACACAAGCCGCGATGGAACGCTAGCACCAACATGCGCGATACGATTGTTGGGCACTATCACAAGCCAGCTTCTACGCCGCTCAGAAGCGTGTCTGGTCAATCGTCAATTCCTGTTCGGAGCCCTCTGGGTCGATCTTCTGTGTTGTCGCCCCCTCCATCTGCTCACTCGGTAGCCGCAACTCCCGCTAAATCGTCTATGAGACGCCCTGTCGCAAGCACGATACAAGCACCTTCTACACCTCTCAAAAGCCCCACCTTCATGCATTCATCACCCTCCACGTCGACTCCAGTGTCCGCTCGCCGTGTGACGATCGCAGACGACGACAGTAACGGTGTTGGGGAAGAGAGCCCTATCGCTCGTCGCACTGCACGCCCAGCCAGTGCCATGAACAGCCGGCGCACCAGTCTTTTGCCTACACCCAAATCACGTACTTCGTCAGCGAACCACCTGTCTACTCCCGCCACGACACCTGCTCGCACCACCAGCAGACTCGCCAATGCAGAGGAGGGCAGGAAGAGCAGGGCTGGCGATGGCCGTGTCAGTGGTCGACAGTCCAGCCTTGGAGTCAGCGGACGGCAGTCGAGCGCTGGGGATAGGCGAGCTTGGAGATAGGTTACTTCAAAGCGATCATATCTCTTCGATGACTGATGCAGCTATCTTCAACCTCTTGGAACCCTGGCTGGTTCATTTTAGCACTCGTCACTACACCTGCGACGGCTTTAACAATTAGCATTCTACAGAGCAAGAGGCGTTTTCCACATGGCGCATGGATTCATGCGCCGGCGTTTATAACGCGTAGAGAGAAACCATCCTATACCCCGGAGTTTGATTGTTTGATTTTGTGGGGTTTATTTTCGGATACAGCACGCTTTTCTATACCACCAACGGACGGAACAACGTCACAACACGTACACCTCTGTACAACCACAACGTTGAACTTGCAGGACAGTGCGCTGCGAGGAGGGAGGACACTAATGGTATATTTCACTTTCAGACACTGCGTTGTAGAGATAGAGATACCAAAGTGAATCGATGCGTCAGCATTATTTCCTCTGTCGCATTCCATCTATTGGTGTCGAGCTTCCGCCAAAGCACATTTCGTTGCCACGCCGGAGCACTTCCACGCATGTTCGTGCCATCTATGTCCGTTCTATCCTACCCGTTGTGTCTCCATATTGTCAAGGAAGACAGTCTTGTTTAAATGTTCATCACACCGTCCGATCCTGTGCTCCCGGGTGCCCGGCTGCAAACGCACGCCCGTGGGCCTACGCACGCCCGTGGGCCTACCCACGCTGCAGCGTCTCACGTCTGGCCGGTCGTCTGCGGGCGGCTCCTCTGCCTCTGGTCGCTCGGGCAAACACGCTTTCATGAAGCCCGGCACGTTCGCGCTGTGTGGCTGTAGACTTTGATTGGCGTCACTGCTGCTATTGTTGTGCGACTGGTTCTGGCGATTATAAGTCCCTCCCTGGCCCTTGTGCTGACGGCTATCCTGAGCATCGTCTAGTATTGCATCTAGCTGTTTGAGGTGAGCCGCTTCGCACTATGCGTTCTCTCGGTGAGGCTCTGCGGCTTCTCGGTGCAATTCTGCGACTTCGCGGCGGTTATCCGAATCTATTTGGTGCCTGTGCAGCGTTATAGCTGATGTGCGCTGCTCGGCTCGGAATGGGGCGATACGGCTGAGTCGGTCGTGAGACTCGTTGTAGTCGCACTCTCAGACTCGGTTGAAGCGTTATCCTCAGGGAGGTGGTAACTTGGTCGACATTCTAGGGTCTGTGGGTGAGAAGTCTCTAGCTCCGAGTAGGTGTCGGTGTCGAGGTTGGGAGATGGGTTAGGAGCGTTAGTTGACGTGCCCTGGAAGGTCAGGATTGATGTCGCCTCTTGCAGTTTGTACGCGTCGATTTTCTGATCAATGTAGGCCTTTAAGCTCGACAGACGGTTTATTCCTGCAGATGTGATGAGAATCTCTTGGGCTATGCTTGTCCCTTAATTCATCCATCATCTTCGATATGGCCTGATGGCCAGATCCTGGGTGAACATTATAGAGAGTAAAAGCCATATTGAAAGTTGTTGAGCTGGTATCTACGAAAGCTGTGGATTCTGCAGGCACATGTGCTCAGGCATACTACACACGATACATATGATACATCTCCACTCGTGACGACGAACATCAGCACCAGGACATCTCAGAACCTTCCTCGCTGGCATGGTTATGCACGTAGAAGGCTGCAGCAGCCAACGTTTCGACACAAAAGATCGCGTGTCGCGTACGTAGTCCGATGTTGCTCGTGAGAAGAGCGTTGTCCACGTGGCTCCGTAGATACAGGTGGTGGAAAGTGACATATTGGAATAGCTACGAGTACAGCAGCTGCGTAGATGAGAAGGGATCGCAAGATGGCGTGGTTCCCACATTGTATATGGTCGTACCGTGTTGTACATCTCTAGGCGAGGCGATTCTAGGAGGTGGTTGCACCTATCAATTGAAGAAGTGTTCTGTCGTAGCTGAACCCGAATCAGCAAGTGAGTATTTCTCGGGTGGAGCAGTGTCGTTGATTCTCATGGTGCGGGCTGCCAGGATTGGGCCCATTCTCGGATTCCGTAAGCTACTGTAGTAGATAGACACAAGATAGTGGTACCTGATAAGTACAATGGAGGATATACCAGATTAACCACAATACGGAGAGCAAGCACCGGTAAGATGAGTGAGAAACATGGGTGCGAAAATCTACCTGAGACGTAGTATCTTGAAGGTAACGTAAGGTACAGCGTACAGAAAGAACGTTGCTCCAGAAAAGAAAAGAAGTGCTTCTACAAAGCAGAATGATCAGGGCTTGACCCCTTCTCTTCCGCTCAGGGGTCTATGACAAGGCTTTATCATGCAATTTTGGTAAGCGCTACTCTGTCAGAGGGTACCCGACGAAACAGAGCGTAAGGTGTTCGTCATCGCACCAAAAACGGCGTGAGTGGAGGTAACGGACTTATCAAGGATGCTACTCGAGCCATGTTGGAAGGGACGTTCAGTCATGGCAGGATTATTTGTCAGGACAGAGCTGACTTAAAGGTCTTCGTAGCAGTTGTCGCCGGTGAAATGACCACAAGAGCAAATTCGTCGATATTCTCCTCATTGTGATACTCACAAAAGTCTCGCAAGCATATGTAGCACTTATCGTCGGCGAGCCAGTCCGTGACAAGCTGCATTGCCAGCTCGTAGGGCCTATGAGAGCTTTTTGAAGAGTGGTATCGTGTTGGAGAATGATCCAGCTACCTCCCGGGTCCGAGAAGCAGCTGGGGATGTCTATGTTAGTTCGCACTCATGGAAGTGTGAGGTGCCTGAGCGCGCTTGAGATTGTTGGGAGAAAATACGGGAGAATGTCTCACAATAGAAAAATATGATACGGTATTGAGCTGATCCAGCACAGAGTATGTGAAGCGAGAGCTAAGGAACCTTGGTTTGAATGGTGAACGGGGTGGTCAGGGTTTTCTGAACCAAGGTTTCGAGACCAGTTGCATGCGCTGATTATTCGATCAAACCTTGGAAGATGATCAAATGCATGCACACCCTCTCGACTTCTTCTTCTGTCCAAGCAGTACGCCAACTCCACTTGCGGCGCCAAATCAAGACTACTGCCCACAACGTTGAAACAATTCACTTTTCGAGCAGAATGTCGGGTCTCGTACTACAGCGGTCACCAGCCGCGCCGAATTCGCGGCTCGAAGATCACTACCATTTTATCAGACCCTTAGGCAAAGAAGGAGAAGGGCAAGTCATGGAGTACGCCAGGAAGGACATAGGCGCGCTCGTTGCTGTAAAGTTTCGAAAACGAAAAGATCACGGCCGGTCACTCGAGGTTGAAATCCTCCAAAGCTTCTCCAAAAACAACTTAGTTGTTAGGTTTGTACAATGATTTGACATGAATCTAGAAGACCGTGCAATGGTTCTTGAGCATTGCCCAATCGGTGATTTGCACGAATTCTACAAGAAGCAAGAGGATTTGGAAGATAAAGCGGCTTTCTCAGAACGCTTCATGTGGACCATCTTCAAGCAACTAGCAGAGGCGCTAGCCTTCGTACGCAAAGGTGTTCTACTCAAGGGCAAGAAGAGATCACCGGTGGTACACTGCGACATCAAGCCCCACAATATCCTGATAAAGAGTCTTGAAAAGAATCGCGATCTCTCGTCGATAAGCATAAAGCTTGCAGACTTCGGACTGGCAATACACTACGACTCCAAAGTCAATTATCAAAGCTTCTTCGGATCGCCTGCATATTGCCCACCGGAGATAAATTGGGATGACCCAATGTATACCCCGGCACTCGACGTTTGGGCTATGGGTGCAGTGATGCACTTTCTCGCCCACGGCTATCCGCCGATAGAAGATCCACAGAATGCGGCAAAAAGAAGGACTGCAGACAGTGCAAGGCTACTGTTAGCGCATGACAAACAGGCCGACAGAAGCAAATACGGCGAAAGCAGCTGGCATGATATGAACGCAAATGCGCTTAACAAGTACTTCAATATGGCATTGACTATGGACGCTGACGCTCGACCAGAAGCGAGCGCTGCTGCGAAGAAAGTTAAAAAGCTTGGACGGAAGCCCTGGCAGTCTGCACTATGCTGAACAAAGTAGGGTGCTGAGGTAACAACACGGGAGAAAGGAGTGACGGTTGAGAGCTGTCACTTCTGCGGTATCAGTCATATGAAAGCCTCCAAGCTGGACAAAGAACACATCTCTTGTGAGCTATTGCGGCCAGCATCAGTCGTGAAAGCCATCCTCGCAACAAGGCAAATACACGTCACCCACACATCGTACATCTTGAGCGATTTTCCTGGAAAATAGCCTCCTGGGGTCTTTAAGCTCGTTCATTGAACCCGCTGGTCTACACGCCTACCGACTCCTTCAAGTGGCCCACTACCGACTCTTCAGCCAGCCTTGGCCCAATGCCAAGATCGCTCAGCTTCGTATCTAGACTCACATTTTTCGTCCAGACCGCCACAGTAAAGGCCGAGCCATCACCTAAGATGCCTGCAAGTTCCATCGTTCCTCGACTCTCAAAGCCCAGTCTGTTGAACAACTTCTGGCTGTTGACGTTGTCTGGATGCGTAAACCCGGCAAACCTTTTGTGGCCCTTCTCCTCCTTGAAGTACTTCATCAGCGCCTCACACGCTTCAGTCGCATACCCTTTGCCGTGGTAGGCCGCCATGAGCGAAAAACCAATGTCTGGGATCGTTGGGCAGTCAAGGTCCGGGTAGCGTTTGAGCTGCATGGATACGATGCCCGCATACTCTCTCTCGCCAGTTTCTTCGTTGAATTCGACGTCTGATTTTCGCAGCGAGATGATGTAGCGCCCGCTTCCTGTTCTCTCCAAGCGCTCAGCAGTGGATGTGTAGGCTGCGCGGGCTTCTGGAATGGTCTGCGGATGGTGGAAATTTTTCACACCTGCTTGGGCTTTAACAGCAACACTCTCGGGGCTGCTGTTCAGTCGCACAACAAAGGACATGTTGGCGTCATTGGCAGGATCTAGGTAGGACAGATGGAGGCGTCGAGTCGTAATGTGGAAGTTTGGATCAAGCATGTTGGTGATTGTTTGGTCTGGTAGTATTTCTTGGCTTGTGAAATAGTAGATGGTTGTCGCGCAACGGAACTCCTAACTTCTTGTACAGTGGTTGAATGTTGGGACAATGACTCATGCTAGCCACGCGGAGGTCTGTTTGTTATTGCCTCATGTAAACGTAAGCGCTAGAGGAAATCAGGAATGTGACATCGTTAGGAAGCTAACGCGATTGGCATGATGCTACTGAGTCCGTTGTTGCTTGTATGTGTTTTGGATGAGACGAACGGTGATAGGGGCTGCACATTTCACGATGTTAAGTTGTCAAACTTCAGGCTGAGTATCACTCCAGTCTCGCTACGGCGCTGTTCGGGCCGCTGTGGGTGCTGTGCGATAGTAGGCGTACCCTTCCGCTGCTGGCGTTGTTGTTGCAGGTGAATCATCGTTGCAGCGACCAAACCAGCCCTTGCTTGTACATGCAGTTGTAGCAGTAGTAGATTCGGATAGAGAAGTGGAGGTCAACGCTGTTGTCTTGTCTTTGCACCCGAACCAGCCAGGCTGCAATTATTGTCAGTTGCGGTATATGAGCGTAGCTGTTCAGAGTACTTACTGATTTACACGTGCTGGTACTTGACTCTGAGGTGGAAGTGACGATGGGCTCCGTTAGTGTTGCAGTTGCCGACGCAGAAGTCGATGTTCTATCGCGGCATCCCCACCAGCCAGGCGTTTTGCAGGTCTCGGTTCTTGTTCTTGTGCGAGACGTGGGCATAGCAGTCGGCGTTGTGGTGAACGTTGTTTTAGTCCCATCGTCAAACTTCCAGAGGAAGCAATCTACACATGTGACATCTTCGTCCACGCATGTTGCCGCCTTGTCATACTTCATGTACACGTTCTCAATAGCGTACCGTAGACGATGCGTTGACGTACTCGGTCGCCATCCCCAGTCTTTGACGACATCGTACGCGCAACGCTTCCCAGTGTGACATATCGTCTCAAAAGCGTAGCCGCCAATGGAACAGAAGCTCGAGAAGCCGTTGCATGTGCCCATATAGACAGGATCCGCTGTATGGCCAAAGTGGAAACCACCCGTGTTCTTTCGTAGCGGAGCAACATCACTAGCAGCAGGGAGTCCGAGGCGTTTTGCTGCCATGGCTTGGGGGTATGCCTCAAAGGAGATGGCGGGAATGCCATGCTGCAGACCTATCAGGGAAGCGAGAACACCGCCCAAGCTGTGACCAGTCGTGATTATGTTTGCGTCCGGGTAGATCCGTTGTACCTCTTCATAAAGCTCGATGGTCGCTTGATAGTATCGGTTCGGCTTCCGCAACTCTGCTCTGACGCACTTGTCGTCGCAGGAGTAGGTACTAGTCATGCAGTCACAGCTCTGTTTCCACCAATACGATCCACCTTGTCCACAGCAGCAGGAGCCAAACAGATTGTCGTTTTCCTTGTCGTGGCCTGACGTGCCATTCCCTTCGAACATGGCAACTGTGGTACCCTTCACCGATAGGATGATGGTCGAGTTGGTGTCGTCGCTAAATACGTGGCCTCGAATACCACTGTCGTCCCATCCAAAGGGCACAGAAGAGTTGTAAGATTCGTCGACATCCATCCACTCCGGATCCGCAGGGCCAGGCTTGTAGGCATCCTCAGACATCGAAGCCAGACTGATAATCGTGTCCTTGTCTTCAACATCAGGAGCAGCGACATCTTCAGCAACAAAAATTGGTGATATTGTCGACCAGATCGGCCTCTGACCATCATACTTGTGGATAGTTGATGGTTTTTCGATGGTAATGGGAGCCTGTTTGACAATGAATGGCCCGAAATGGCTGGCAGCTTCAGCTTGGACCATGCGATCTTCTGTCACGTCCAGCCTTCTGGCACGCGGTCCTGGCTGACCCGCACCATGATGAATGATGTGTCGCAATGTCAGACCATTGTTGGTGGGAGCTTGAGCGACCTCACGACCCGGAAGTGGCGAGTAATTGGAAGGATAGAAGCCGCAGTAGGAACCTAGAACGACAAGAAGTATTGCGGCCTGCGCAAAGATACCAAAGGTAAAAAGATACTTGGAGACTATAGTCCAGGTTTTGCGGGACCCCTCAGACGCTTTCATGTTATGTAGGCATAGTAGTAATGTTGTGGAGAGTGGGCGAGTCGATAGATAAGGTCCACAGTACTGCCGCCTCGCGGAAGGCGCGTGACACGCTAACTCGAAGCGGTTACGTCACCCAGTCACATTCACGACTTGTCACGCTCTCCTCTTCGCCCTGTCGCAGTCTTCGCGCTCTGTACAATGCCGACCAAAGTGTCAGGTGATGAAGCAAACTAGAAAATCGTCTGGCTCCGGATGGTCAGCCCCAGTGTCCGGGCTGCAGGGATCTTAACACCCTTTTTGTTGCTGCCCTGGATTGTCACTCCTCAACGCGTGCCTTTCAGACGCGACATTTCACATCGTCTCCGAGCAACGACTAGGCAACATGCAGCTCGTCTCTTGCTGACCTACTGATACGTGGACAGCAAGGGTGCACCTCCGCACTTGTCTTGCGCGCCCCACTAACGCCCAGGGCCTCCCGTCTGACTACTTGAATCTCCACCTCGGCGTCGTTTGCGACACCTCTAGATGTAGAAGGGTGGGGAATCACATGATAGTGAGGTCCTTGTACAAGAACGGTGTATCTCCAGTGTCTTGACTACAGCTCTTCTCACACTCTTGTCACGCATCATGGTGGCCATAAGACAGGGAGAAGACCGGTCCGCTGATCGGCAATCTATCAAGCTTCAGCTCCGCGACCTGCAAGAGCGTGAATCCACGAACGAACACGATACCGAGACTCCAGAAATTGTGTATCCTCGTGGTATTCGGCTACTTTTGACCATCACTGGTCTCGTTCTAAGCATCTTTACTTCCGCTCTTGACAGCACGATCATCTCTGCAGCTATACCGGCTATTACCACAGAGTTCGGAACCATTAGCGACATCGCCTGGTATGGTACGTCCTTGGTCATCACCCACACTGCGTTCCAATCGTGTTGGGGCAAAGCATACAAGTACTTTTCTTTGAAGACAGTTTTCCTGCTATCCCTCCTGGTCTTCGAGGTGGGCAACATCATATGCGCCCTTGCGTCCAGTAGCGAAGTGCTGATCTTTGGACGCATCGTTGCCGGCTGCGGCAGTGGTGGTATCATGACTGGAGCTTTCATCATTATAGCACTCACAGCTCGGCCCAGGTATCGCGCTCTTTACATGGGCGTGCTGGGTGTTACGTTTGGCAGCTCGGGCGTTCTTGGACCAATCCTGGGAGGCATCTTGACTGACGGACCAGGCTGGCGATTTTGCTTTTGGTGAGATCAGTTCTCGGGCGTGCAATGGTCAAACTGACATTATCCAGGATCAATTTGCCGATCGCGTTTGTGGCGGCTACTGCCATGTTCCTTTTCTTCAGGTCTCCCGTCCCTCCCAAAGAAGCTCCATTGCCAGAGAAGATTCTCCAACTCGATATCAACGGTGGCATACTCATAGCTGGCTTCCTCTCGTGCTTCGTACTGGCCATGCACTGGCTCGGCAAATACCCGCCGAACAGCATACGCATCATAGGGAGCTTTGCTGGTTTTGCATCACTCCTGGGATGTTTCATCGGCAATGAGTGGGCGATGGGCAAGAGAGCCATGATCCAGCTCAATCTATTGAGGAACAAGATGATTGTCACAAACGCCTGCTACATCTTCTTCTTGGCAGGAGCTTACTTCCCTCTGTTGTACACGTTGCCTGTCCAGTTCCAGTCGGTCAACAATAAGTCGGCCTCGCAGAGTGGAATTCGATTGATACCACTCATCCTGGGCATCTCAGCCGTGACAATGGTGGCAAATGGCATCCTTACCTTCTGGCGCCACTACAAGCCGTTTCTTCTGGTCGGCGCTATCTTGGTGATGGCCGGTGATACGAAGATCTACGCATCAAACGCGCGTACACATACGAGCGAGTGGATCGGTTACGAAATCCTTTCTGCTGTTGGGATCGGCATGGCGCTTCAGATCCCGGTAATTGCAAACCAGGCATTGGTTTCAGCAGACGACATGGCCGCTGTAACAACACTTACATTGTTTATGGAGAACTGTGGCGAGACCCTCTTCGTTGCATCGTGTGCGGGTGCTTTCACGAACGGACTCCTGTCAAGTCTGGGACGGAATTTACCGGAAATCGATTCGAAGACTGTACTGGATGCTGGCGCCACACAGATCAGACACATGTTTAGCGGCAGCGAACTCGAACATGTACTGATGGGCTACTTGGAGGGATGCAAGAGCAGCCATCTCATAACAATCGCCTGTGGTGCAATTGCTAGCTTGATCTCCTTTTCGAACGCAGGTCCGGCCGTGGTGTCCTGGGCGAAGCTGAAATTGAAGAAGGCACACGAGCGTTAGCGAACAACTCGCGTCAAGAATAGATAGCCATTGACGTATCTGGAATGTGCTGCAGCTTATCGTCCTATCTGGTACCTCATATCTCATATCGGTACGGATAGTAGAGAATTAGCCGTACCCGACAGGCCAGGCTGCAGTTTGACACAAATGAGATCGATTGTACCAGAATTACAGCGTGATCGCTTCTCTTATCCGATGCTTTTGGATATCGTCGATCTTCTGGGTCCTTTTGATATGCCTACACTGTCGATTGTCGCCGCCGCAATGGCGCCCCTTCACCTGATTGCCTACTCCACGTTACTTGGAATCGAGCTATATCAAAGCTTTGTCATGACCAAGCTTGCCTTCCAAGCCCTCCCGCGATCCGCTTTCACGAGACTGCAGAACTGTGTCTTTCCAGTTTACTTCCGAGGTCAGAGCTTGCTAATTGGCCTGGTTGCGATCACACTGCCGCCTTCTGGGCCCATGACCTTGCTCAGCAGCAAGAACTACTCGATCATATTTGCGGCAACGGGAGGAACTGCACTCCTGAATCTGCTAGTACTGTATACGGTCCAAAACCACAGAAGCTTATGATCGAGAGAGTCCACCAATGTGAGTTGGCTCTTCGAGTAATTTAAGCAAACGACAGTCACTTACAGCACTTAGCAACTCGCGATGCGAAAGTGTCCGAAGGTGCAGATGAAATTAGTGTAGAGATGCAGATTCTCAACCAATCCTTCTCCAAAGCGCACGCGATGAACATCCACTTAAACCTGATCACTATCATTGCAACCCTATTCTATGGCTGGCAATTGTCATTGAGACTAACTTTTGGGACTGAGTGACGAGGCATGATGTTCTAGAGCGTTTTATAGAAGGGATGAGCATGGAGCGGTCGAAGTCAGAACCAATGAATGTCGGTGGATGTGGAATCGCGGACAATTCGTGTGGGTTATCTCATCAATCAGTCGTTCCGCTCTCACGTGCTTGTGGGCCTGCTTAGTAGTGTGAGGGGACTGACATTTGTCGTGGAGAAAGTCGAATATAGCAAAACACCTACATGCAGTCTCCAGGAGCCCCTTAGACTCACAAATCTCATGCAAATCATTGCTGAAGACATCCTGTTTTGAAAAGCAGGTATCGGGTCTTTTGCATAACATAAGAGACTACGACACTGATGGGTAGCGCGTTTAGGCGCCCTGTCGTCAGCACGGCACGGCCGCCATCATTGCCTCCGATCCGGCACCTTGCTCCGCTGAACACCGCAACACGTCCGTCTCGCACACCTGACCATCAAATGAGTGATAACGAGCAGCCCATTGCGGCGCGAGCGAGTAACGCGCGGACCTCGCAAGCATGTCAAAGGTGCCGCTCTCTGAAGACCCGCTGCCTTCCGAGCAGCCAAGCTGGGACATGTCAACGGTGCGTTTGGCGTAGTTGTGCACGTAGCGCGTACTTCTGTTTTCGCTATGCATAACTGATCGTTTGCGCAGGTGTTTTGCCGCTGGACGTGATTGCGCATGGGCTGAGGCTTCTCGTCGTGCCCGGAAGCTACGAGCACCATCGTGAGGATAGCACTCTGGACTCGAGGACTGCATCTAAGCAGACAACAGACGCATCTCACAGGTCGAGCAAAAGATTGACGGACTTGTTGCAAGTCTTGTCAATCCGTTAGCAACACAAAGCACAGCGGACTCGACAAGTTTGTCTACACCTTTTCCTACTTCTTGTGAACGCTCTCAGGCATTCACTGGGTCCTTCGCCCACAATGTAAGCCGAGACAGACGACCAGTAGCACCTGGGAACTGGTTACCGATTCCCTCGTCCTTCGAGCCCCGCCCCGATGCTCAAGTGACGCCTGTAGAACCAACCGAAGAGGATGCAGATGTTGCTGATCGCCAGTACATTGAACAAATCCGCAGCATACACAGCTTTGGGGAGCCTGAGGATGCCCAACACCCAGAAGGCTTATTCCGGCCTTCGAGACACTGCGAGGAACCAGTCAAGGATGATCTCATTGATAGACTCCTGGCTTCTGGTGAAGCAGATGCCCTCCTACATCAGTACAGGAAGATGTCAGATTCATTTCCATTTGTTCCACTAGCCTCCGACATCTCAGCTCAGCAGCTTCATCAAGATAAGCCCATGTTGTTCCTCGCAATGATGACGGCGGCTTCGTGGAGTGAGCACAAACGCCAAATGTCCCTGGACGCCATCTACAGGCAGGAGCTCGCCGGCCGTACCATCATACGCCCGCGCAGGACCCTGGGACTTGTGCAAAGCGTGCTTGTATATCTTTCATGGTCAGTTCATCACATGCATCTGGTGCAGCAGCGCTCACACTGCCTAGGTACCACTTTGTGTTCTCACACAAGACTCAGTAGGTTTACATCTTGACTAATGCTTACCTCTCCTGACATTTCAGACAAATTTTCTTCCTGCACCACCTCGTCATTGGGCTCGCGCTTGACATTGGACTTCATCGTGACTTCCAGCCTGTGTTCTTCTCCCACGTCAAGAAGGCACCAGATATCGATCCCAAGGAGAAGCGTGCGCGCCAACGAGCCTTTCTTGGCTGTTACTACCTTGCTTCGATGTGAGTATCTCTTGCACATGGTACATATCCCCGCTGATTCTGCTCCAGGGTCTCCGCAGCTCTGCAAAAGCCGAATTTGTTAAAGCACAACTCCGAGATGACTGGATGGGCGCAAGATCTGAAACAGTATGGAGAGTTTGTCACCGATGAAGTTCTCGGACATCTCGTCTCACTGCGACAACTGGAAGACCAAGTCCAGGATACTCTGTTCACAGGAGCTGCAGCGGATGCTCGACTGACCGATGCTCGCGTGGTCATGCACGTTCGGTTCTTGAAGACCCAGCTTGATACTTGGAGGCGAGGCAGCGAGGGTTTACAGTGCCAGTGGAGTAAGGTGACTTTTCTGTTTTGAATTACCGTCTAACATAGAGCTAGTGCTCATTCTCTCGCACGCATATACCGACATGCTCCTTCACAGCGTGGCTCTGCGGCCTATGACAGAGTCCACGCCGCTACCATCAACTGGTAGCACACACGTAGCAGAGTTACTCTCAACGCTTGAGGCTGCAAAGCGATTCTTTGATACCCTATTGTCGTTTCCCGCGTCCGATTACCACCTTGTCTCATTTTCGGAGTGGATGCGCTTGCCATCGGCCATGATGACCTTAGCAAAGCTGTGCATCCCATCCGATGCGCATGCAGCTGTTGGTTGGGACGTCAAAGCAGCGCAAAATCTAGTTCGTCTAGACATATGCCTCGAAGCCCTGTGCTTCCGATTTCAGAACGAGACAACTTATGACAAGGTCACGCAACCTCATCACGACTTCTGGTGGGCTATGAATCTTGTGACGAGTTTGACCAGAACATGGTACATTCGAAAGATTAGCCCAAGCACTGCAGCTCGATCTACCCCGAATTGCAGCTCCACAAACGATATCCTGCGTCCAAACTCTGGAGCATTACCAACGCCACCGCAGAACATGTTCGCAGATCTCGCGAATGTGGACTTTAGCAGTTTGGACCCGAGTCTCGGAGCAGGCCAAGATATGAGCTCTGGTTCGCTCTCATTCATGACGTCTGTGGATTTTGACATGGAGCAATTCTTTGATGCAGGCATCTGGGACGATGTAGCTTACCACGGCATGGGCTTTGGTGGTGGTGGTGGTGCCATGCATTTCTAACCTCTCTACTTCTGTATTGATCTCGCCATCTATTCGACCGAATCAGAACTTCTCGAAACGCTTCGAAACATGTTGCCATTACATAAGACTGTATCTCGGGCGGAATTGTCGCGAATATATTGTCGATCATCTGCCGGCCCGCATGTTCAACCCCACAAACCAAGAACACCCCAAAATGAACGCAGGAAATATTCCCAATCTAGGTCCGAGCCCTCTAGTGCCCGACGGGACTGTTACCATGTTTCATGAAGGTGGCAAGTCGATTGGTTAAAGCGAGCGATGTGTGTCAAACATTAATTGCGTCTTTGTATCTGCGGGTGAATGTAGCCGCGCCATGGAGGATTGTAGCATCCCTTCCGCCGCTCGACCACGGGGTAATTTCATGAAGCAGCAAGGATCACCCTAGTACATTCTGTATATAAAGACATTGGTATTGGCATCGAAACAAGTATAAGCCATTTACCCACTCCGCGACTTTGGATCGAAGATTCCGCACACTCAGCCATCATGCGTTTCGCTCTCCTGAGCTTGCTCCCCGCTACTATCGCCCTTCCTGCGGCTCTTCAGCCTCGCGCTGACGGACCTGTCTATTGGCTACTCGCTGGCGATTCCACCACGGCAACGAATGGAGGCTGGGGTGATGCTTTCCTTTCTACCACAGTTGAGGAGGGCTCCTCGGGCAAGAACTACGGGCACAGCGGTGCCACCACCAAGTCTTTCCGCGCCGGTGGCGATTGGGCCCAGGTGATTGACGAAGTTGGCACTCACAAGGATGACTACCGCGTCTACGTGACTATTCAGGTATTCGATTCAGGATTGAGACTGCGTGCAGCAGACTAACGACTCAAGTTCGGCCACAATGACCAAAAAGCTACCAGCGGCGTCACTCTTGCCGACTACAAGACGAACCTCGCAAACTTTGCCTCTGAAGCGACTTCAGCAGGCGCGATACCGATCCTCGTCACACCGTTGACCCGCCGCACTTTCAGTGGCGGAAAGGTGGTCGAGAATCTTGCCAATGAGACCGCTGCCACCATCGAGGTCGCAGAAGCCAACCAGTTGCACTGGATCAACTTGAACAAGGCGTCCACCAACTACGTCAACGCCATTGGATCAGCTGCAGCAGACAAGTACAACCTCGCGTCTGGTGACCGCACTCACGTCAACGAGTGGGGAGGTGTTGTATTCTCGAGAATTGTCAGTGACTTATTGGTCGGAAAGTATCCTGAGGAGTTTGAGAGCGTGACCAAGAAGAACGAGACATTAAGTGCGTTGATTGCTGCCGGTACAGCTGCGTAGAGTTTGTCTATGTAGAACGAACGCAAGATTTGTAAAACTTACGAAGAGATTTGCAACTCAGTCTTAAAACTGCCATCAAAGTCTATACTCATACTCCGACAACCGCGGCCTGGTCCAGGATTGTGGCGGGACGTAGTTAGTCCAAGAAAAGTTAAAGTAGTTTGGCACCACCAATTTTCCGTTGACAGTGGACATGCATCTGTGCATGACGCCGAGCCTGGCCCCGTGCTCTGCCAGAGTCCTGAACATAATTATACGGAGAATTCCTTCTGTCTTGATTATCTCTAGGTGACGCGCCCTCCATTCAGCTCCTGTGAGGGACAAGCTGAAGGATGGGAAGTAGCCGATGAGAGCGGCAATGAGGTCCTCGACGGCTCGAGCGATGGTACGCCTGCAGTTCTCCTATATGATCCTTACGATGTGTGTTTTTCGAATGCCGATCTTGATACGGTTTGTCTCTCAGGCGACATAAGGTTCGTATTTTGAGTTGCATGCTGTGGCGCCGCTGGAGCGTTGTCTGAAGCATGTCGAAAGCCTCATGGTGTAGGCGAAGAAGTTCTTGTTCCATTCCGTCGCAAGTCTTCCGACAAGCAAGAATGAGACCTCGAGAGTGCTATAGGTTTCGTCCGTGTGGCAAAGCTATCGTCTGAGCAAGAAAAGCGTTTGGTGATTTATCCTGCAGGTCGGAGTAGGATAGGCCGGCTGCAACGCCATCGACTGAAGAGCGCTTCACTCGGGCAGGCAAGACTATAGGACCGAATAACAAGCCATACTCGCAGAGGCGAAGTTCTGCGAGTAGACTCATGAACGAAGGGTAGGTGGTTGTTTTCTCGCACATGTCGCATCTTGCGGTAATTCGAGGTTGGCGAGCCTTAAGTGAACGCATAAGGCCGGGCGTCAGCATTGCAAGAAACGTACCGGTACGGTACCGGTAGCAAAATGATGTTTGGGTTGCAACATCTCACTTACATCCACCACAAGGACTTGCTTCTCTGGACGCCCGACTGCGCGCATCTTCACAATCGCACAGTATCGAATGTATTTCAAAGCATGTTAACAAGGTTGTCACCCGGCACGATGACGGCTAGGCAACATGCGCCCGCTATACAGCCTTCGACTTGCGGCCAGCACAGCCGTGACTAGTACGTTTGGTCCCTTACCGCTTGTTACTCGTCACAGGCGAGTGTGTCAATTACACGGGTCACGAAGGCAAGCCGGTTGCCCTCACAGAGCCATTCGAGTGCAAGTCATTGCTCCGGGCCCAAAGCAGCTTTGAGCGTCCCTTCCCTTCGACCTAGCTCCGGCAAACGCATTCGCCTCCAGGAATCGGCAAACGTGTTTCTCAACGGCTCAGGTCCGCGAGCCACAGTTCTTCCCAGATTGGCTCAGGGGTCTGGGTTACAAGGTTTGCGCTGTTCTTCGCCTGTAGTCCATAGCTCCAAGACCCGGAAACCACAACACGTGCGAAAAGCGCCAATCATTCTCCGGGAACGAAAGCTAGTTCATATGATCGCAATCTAAATGCTGGGGTAAGCTGAGCCTCGGAGCGGAGCCAAATCGCTGTATAGTGCTCCGTGCTCAAAGCGGACAAGCGTGGCCTCGGCCTATAATTTCACGAAGTACAAATGTAAAGTCGTCTGAGTGCACTTGAGAGGTATCGAGGCTACTCACTCTTCCAAACTTCGACACAAATTAGGCACTTCAAGATGCGTTGCGACGTGGCCGTTACCGCCTTCCTGGCTTCAGGTGCCACCGCTGCCGCAGTCAAGAAGGGATTCGTTACTACAAAGGGCACTGCCTTCAAGCTTGATGGCAAGGACTTCTACTTCGCTGGATCCAATGCCTACTACTTTCCCTTCAACGACGTAAGTTGTGTTCAGAGAATATTTCACCAATCGATTCTGACATTACCAGCTTGCTTCAGATGTCGAGGCTGGCCTTGCAGCAGGCAAGAAGGCTGGCTTGAACGTGTTCCGTACCTGGGGGTTCAACGACCGCAACCGCACCACTGTCACCGGTGGACTGCCTCAGTATGGTGGCGAGGGTGCTGGTCCTTCGCCGAACGTGATGCAATGGTGGAACAACGGCACCGCCGAGATCAACCTCGCGCCTTTCGACAAGGTTATCAAGGCTGCCGAAAAGACTGGAATGAAGCTCATCATCGCCCTGACCAACAACTGGGCCGACTATGGTGGCATGGATGTCTACACCACCAACCTGGGCGGCAAGTACCACGACGACTTCTATCGGGACCCTAAGATCAAGGCTGCTTTCAAGAAGTACGTCAAGGCAATTGTTCAGCGCTTCAAAAACTCCAACGCCATCATGGCTTGGGAGCTCGCCAATGAGCCGCGCTGTGGAGCCGATGGTGTCCGCAATCTTCCTCGATCAGAGAATTGCACGCCTGACACTATCACTGAGTGGATCGATGAGATGAGCACATATGTAAAGAGCTTAGACAAGGACCACCTGGTGACCTGGGGCGGCGAGGGCGGCTTCAATATCGAGAGCGACGACTGGGCGTACAACGGCGCCGATGGAGGCGACTTCGACAAGGAGCTTAGCCTGAAGAACATTGACTTTGGCGTCTTCCACAGCTACCCCGACTGGTGGAGCAAGACTGTCCCCTGGACCGTCCAGTGGATCAAGGACCACGCCGCTTCTGGACGCAAGGCGAAGAAGCCGATTGTGCACGAGGAGTACGGCTGGCTTACAGACGACAAGAGGCAAGCGTACCTCGGCAAGAGTGACAATCAGACAAGAGTTGAGGTCCTCGGGCTGTGGCAGAAGACGAGCTTGGAGGAGAAGATGAGCGATATGTACTGGCAGTTCGGGTACAGCAACTACTCGTACGGCCGCAACCACGACGATGGGTTCACCATCTTCCTGGATGACGCGGAGGCGAAGCCATTGGTGTACGAGCACGCAAAGAAGGTCAACGCGTTGAACAAGTGAGGAACGTGATTGAGGAGCGCTAAACATTTATAGAATCTGTTCATCAAAATATACCACTATCGCCATCCGTCATGCTGAGCATTTCCTTTTCTTAATCTTCACAAGCCTGCCATTTTCATCGCGGCCCACACAGCGTTGTCGGTCTTCACTGACTTTCTTCTACCAGCGTTTCGACCATGGTCAACAGTATCAACATCATCAACGTCATCAACAGCATCAACAGCATCAACAGCATCAACAGCATCAACAGCATCAACAGCATCAGCATCAACAGCATCAACGTATCCTGCACGCGCTCGACGACGTCGTTGACGAATCTTCTCGGCATCCGCATCGCCATGTACGTTTCTGTGATGGCCAGTAGGCTCGCAGCCTCCTGGTGCGCTTTGCGGAACAGACACCACCGCTCCGGGCCGTGGGGGTTGAAAGGTGCCTTCTGGACTGTTTCATCGCGGATGCTCTGGACCGCGGCTGTCGTTGCTTCACGCTCGCTCGCCAGCAGGCCGTGCAGGTCCCGAAGCGCCACATCAACTTTGGCCGCGTCGGAAAGACGCAGATGGCGCCACTTGGCGTGATCGATGCGGTCCTCGTCGGTGTAGTCGTCGAATTGCTGTGCTGACCTCTCAATCTCAGCACCAGCGCCGCGCGGCTCAGACTCAATCCCCAGAGGACCTTTGCACACATCGCAGAAAGCGTAGAGGCGGTTGGTCTGTGCGATTCTATCGCTGTCGCGGTACTGCGTCCCGAGCTCCTCCAGGTCTACGCGCAAGGGGTGGCAGAACGCAGGCGCGCGGTCGAAACCCTGTCGGATCTCGTCGTCGGAATCCTGGGCTGGGTTGCAGAGCTCCGTGTGCTCGGGGTGTTGGAGAGGGTGGAGTGGCCGCATTGAGTCCAGAAGATGCGGGTGAAGCGACACATGGTGGCGAGTCACGGTGGCGAGTCACGGTGGCGAGTCACGGTGGGAATCAGATGGAGAAGGTGGTTTGGGGACTTTTGGGTTGGGGGACGGTGGTGCGGGTTGGAGGATTGGGAGGGAGGTGAGAATGGGTGTAGACAAAGGAGAGGGCAAACATGGTGAAAGCATGAGATTGAGTAGAGACACGCTGAAGATGCTGCGGAGTAGTGTGGCATTCTGCGAGGAGTCGAGCAGCCCATATCCATAATTGTCAACGAACAAATCCAGTCCGTACCCACCCATAGACTCGACTTGTTTGCTCTCCGCGACAGTGAAGGGCTTGATGGGGGTCTTGACAGTGGTCTGTACTTGATTTACAAGTCAGATTGCAGACATCTTAGGCTGTTAGCAAGCAATATTCAGAGTCGCTGATTAGCCACGACCTACTCTTAGGCTCTGCTAGCTATCTCATTGCACATTCAACGCACTTTTTCACCACTATTGCCCATCTACCAGCTTACTTTGATGTCGTGTTAGCTGTTGTAGTCGGCCAGTTGATTGCATAACTTTTCGCTACCTCTGCTTCCTTTTGTTGTAGCCACAGGACGACACAAAGCATTGAATCCATCAACTCTGCAAGTCAATTCTTCACTCTGGACATGATTTCATCATGCAAATTACACGCCAAAGGCTTGGTTTACTTGGAGTGGCGACGAGGCCGTGAAGAAGGTCGGAGGTGGAAGGATATTGGATTGTTGGTAAATGTGCCCAGATCTGTCCGATCGTGTAGAATTAAAGAAATGCCGAGTAGCTTCTAGTTTTTGAACGCTGGAGAGGCTCTCATGTTGTCGAGCTCTCGAGTGTCCATTAGAAGGCTCACCGTCAGAGGTCTGTCCATTAGAAGGCTCACCGTCAGAAGTCTGTCCATTAGAAGGCTCACCATCAGAAGTCTGTCCATTAGAAGGCTCACCATCAGAAGTCTCTCACTCAAAAACCGAAAAGACTCTCAACCGGAAGTCACTCAAGACCACACGCCACAAGGCAGGAAACAGGCAAGCAAGTAGGTATCGAGAAACAGCGCCCTCACCCCGCCGTCCAAGATCCCACGACTCGCGCACCCAGTCCCCACAGTTCTCCATACCGACATCGGCCCTTCACCATGTCCACACGGCGCGCACGTATGTACAAGCCCGCGATACCGTCAACGCACACCCCCCCCCCTCCACCTCTCGCAAATCCGCACCACGGCATCATGGAATCACGCGCAGGCATACTCTGGGTATCATCTCGCATAATCGCGCCCGCGCGCCTCAGCGCCTCGGCCTTTGACGCATGGTACGAGAATGTAACACGCGCCCGCCCCCGACCTGTCCTGCTGTACGCGTAGATTGCAGCTAAAAGTACGCAGGAGCATGCGCTTGAAGTGCTCACCCTCCCGGGCGTGCCGGGGGGCGTGAAATACGCCGCCCTGCCCGGTTGCAGCTCGACGAGTACGGCAACAACAGCAGCAACAACAACAACAAAAACGACGACGGCGCCGATCCTGGTCACCTACACATTCCCAGACCTAGCCTACACGAGCTCGCCCGAATTCAGCGCCGTCGCGGGCGCGACACCCTCGCCAGAGCTGGTGAGCAGGATCTACGCGAATGTATCCTTTGATATACGATTTTACGCTTCGCTGCCCCCATTGCCCTCGCACCCCCCATCGCCCTCGCACCCCACGTCGCAGACATCCGGCGTCGCGCGAGCGCTGGCGAGCATCGCGCTGTCGCCCGCGGAGGGGCGGGAGACCGAGTTCGGCGCGTGGTTTGCGGGGCCGCTGCTCCGGGACCTCGCGAGCGCGAGTGGGTTTGTGAGGATGCGGCGGTTCGAGTATGTGAGCGGTGCGGTGCGGGAGGGAAACGTGGTGAGCGTGGGTGAGGCGGCGGGGTGGCTTGTGCTGGCTGAGTTTGAGGAGGGAGGGGAGCGGACGAGGGGGGAGGTGGAGGGGTGTGTTAGCAAGGGGGGGCTGAGTCGTGCGGAGGTGGGGTGGTATGGGGTGAGGAGGGTGTGGGGCGATGGTGAGGCGTAGTGGGTGGACGTTGTGGACGTTGGTGTGGAAGGCTTGGCTTCGATTACAATTACTTTGTAGAGCACCGCTGCGTGTACCATCTTCTCGGTGCCATCTCTCCCGCGCTCGTGGTGCGATACGGGCATTCTCCTAGTCTTCCCGAACAAGGCAACTCTTGCCCCCACGCACATTTCAAAACTCTGGCGCACCCGCGCAGCGTCTGCAAACCTGTCGCCCAAGAACTAAACGCTGAGAATCGCTGACAAAGGAAACCGACATGCAGACATGCAGACCCGCCCTGATGCAGGGCGACAAGGCAGAAAGGTTTGTACAATCTATAACGGTGGAACTTTTGGGGTGCCGGACACAAGAATCCAGGCGGTCAAGGCAGTCGTGTCCATTACACAAGCAACCAGGCGGTTAAGGCAGCAATGTCCATTACCCACCCTCGGCGTCGAAAGGCAGCAATGTCCATTACGCACCCTCGGCGTCGAAAGGCAGCCGTGTCCATTACACACTCTCGGCGTCGGGGGTCGGTGTCTCGCTCTCATCCTCTGGCACTGCTGGCGGGGCCTGGACGAGACTCTTCCTCTTCGCCTTCCGGTCGGCATTCTCCTGTGGTGGTGACGAGCCGTTCGTCTCTGGCGTGCTGGCTGCCAGCTGCGGCGCGGCGGGCTTCCGGGCCGGGGCGATGCTGGCCATGCTCGTGGACATCTTGTTGCTGCCCTTGTCCTTTGCGCTGTCCGAGTCCTTTGCAAAGTCCTTCCACTTGCGCCACCCGTCAAAGTCGATCAGGGCCTGCATGCAGCCCCACTCCTTGACTTTGCGCTCGAGCCAGACAAAGTTGACGGGCTGGGAGTTGTTGTTAGTGTGCGTTCAAAGGCACGGGGGGGGGGCAAGGCGTACCTTTGTCAAAAAGTCGTTGCAGCCAGCGGCCAAGGCCTCGTGTCTGTCGCTCTGCAGCGAACTGGCTGTGAGGGCCACGATGATGACAGGACTCTTGAACAGACTCCTGTCGCCCAGCTTGTCGTCCTCGACCAGATCAGCGTCTGAGCCGTTCTGCAGGCCCAGTCTCGTGTTGGGCGCCTCGCAGCCGCCGCTGCTGAAGACGCCGATGCTGTTGACACGCTCCAGTCTCCTAATCTCCTTTGTCGCCTCCAGACCGTTCATGACGGGCAGCTGGATGTCCATGAGGACGAGATGGAAGCCGCCGGCCTTCCACTTGGTGACGGCCTCCTTTCCGTTCATGGCTCGCTGCCACCGCACCTTCAGCCGCTGCATGAAGGCGCCCAGGACGCGCAGGTTGATGATGTTGTCTTCCACAATCAAGACGTTGATTGGCGGCACGGAGCCGTCCAGCAGCCCTGCAGGCAGACCCGGCGGCTCGGCCGGCGCGGGCTTCCGTCTCTTCTTCTTCTCTGGGCGGGGCGACGCAACGCGGACCGTCGGCGGCGTGTCGTGCTGGGTGCGCGCGGCCGGCTCGATTGGCACGGGCGGCGTGGGGATGGGGGCGTTTGAGGCCTGCGAGTGCTTGTCGGCCGAGGCAGACGAGTCGTGGCGCGGGCGGTTGGGACGGACGCTGGCGGACGAGGCGATGCCGCCGGCCATGGTGGTGGGCGACGCCGTGTGGGTGCGGCCGATGCGGGGGCGGGCGCTGTGGTGGATGCGGCGCGCAGCAGCGCCGCCGGGCGAGGGCAGCGGCGGCAGCTGGCCGCCGTTGCTGATGATGGCGATGGAGTGGGGCCCGTGCGGCGGGCCGTGCTGCAGGGCCGCGGGCGACGGCTGGGCGGCGGGCATGGGCGGAAAGTACTCCGTCTGCGTGTGCTGCGCGTCGTCGTGGTGGGCGTAGTAGAGGGGCACGCGCGGCGAGGGCTTGGGGGTGCGGCGGACGGGCACGTCGATGACGAGCGCCTCGTGGACCGTCTGGCCGCCGGGGAAGTAGGCGTCGAGGGTGCGGCACATGTGCTCCTCGGGGCCCAGGGTGCGGTCGCGGTCGCGGGCGTGGGCGCCGTCGCGCGGGACGATGCGCAGCGTCACGTCGGGGGCGTCGAAGCTGCGGCCGAGGCTGTTGGCGTACTTGCGCAGGATCATGTCGCGCACGTCGTCGACCAGGTCGTCCTCGCCGATTTGCACGAGCGTGGCCGAGGCGTTGGGCCGCTTGACCCAGATCTTGCGGTGCAGCATCGCGGCGGGCAGGGCGGCAGGCAGGGCGGCAGGCAGGACGGCAGGCAGGACGGCGGGCAGGGCGGCGGGCAGGGCGGCAGACGGGGCGGGCTGCACGGCGCCAAAGTAGTCGGCGGCGGGTGCAGGGGGCGCGTCGGGGGCCAGCAGCGTCGTGATCATGCGGGCATCGGCCGGGGGGGCGACGAGCGACTGGCGGCGGGGCGGGGCGGTGCTGGTGCTGCTGGCGGCGTGTGTCGAGACGTTGACGTCTGAGGTCGCGGCGCCGGATTCAGCAGAGCTCGCGGGAGACGGCGTCGGGGACGCGGGCGCGGGCTCGGCTGCAACCGCACCTGCGACTGCAGCGGGCGCGTGGACGGGCGTGGGCTCTTCGAGCGTCAGCTGCGGACAGGCGCGCGGCGAGCTGCGGTCTGCGAGGGACAGCTCTGCGGACGTTGTCGTCGATGCACGCGTGACGGCGGGCGAGCGGCTGCTGGACGTCGTCGTGGCCGTCGTCTGCGAGTGCGCGCCGCCAACGTCGGGCTTCTGCAGCACCTCCGACTGCACCAGCCGCGGCTCCACGTTGATGTCCATGTCTGCCACCGCCGCTGGCGCCGCGTCTTTGTGCGCGCGCGCCGCCAGCCGGCTGAGCGAGATGCTCTTCCGCAGCGTGCTGGCTGCCCGCCCCGGTCCCGCGTCGCTGCCCGCAGAGCTCGCGTTGGACCGCGTCGTGCTGGCTGCGGAGCTGCGGCGCAGGAACTTGGGCAGGAACCTGCGCGAGCTCTTGGTGCTGCTCATACCGCCGCGCAGCGGCTGGCCGGGAGCATCAAGTCCGGGGGAGGGGAAGCGGTGCTCAGGGCCGTTGTGCTGTGCGGTGTGGTTCGAGCTGCGGCGTGGTTCGAGCTGCGGCGTGGTTCGAGCTGGCTGGGCCGGTGTACTTGGGTACTTGGTAGTCTGGACGGGGAGCAGCGCAGAGCAGCGCAGCGCAGCAGAACAACAGAGCACACCAGAGCAGCAGAACAGAGCAGCAGAACAGAGCAGCAGAACAGAGCAGCAGAACAGAGCACACCGGAGATGCAGAACAACAGAGCACACCAGAGATGCAGAAATCAAGTCACAGCCTGGAAAAGGCAGAGCGTGAGGCCAGGTCGACCAGAAAAGGAGCCTCGCTGTTGTTGTCGTCTCTGCGCGCAGCCCGTCCATGGCCATCCCGTCCAGACTCGACGGCCACCCAAGCTCGGCCCTGCACCACACGATGAATTGCTGGAATGAGCCACATCTGCACCACCCACCCCTCCACACGCCGTGCTCGCCCTCTCGCCGCCCCAGCCCGCACCCAGTGCGATGCTCCGTCTGCAACAACCGCCGCCGTCGCTGCAGACGCACGCGTAAGCTCTGCGCGAGTGCAGCCCGAGACGGCGCGCACCAAACTGGTTCCACCGCAGGTGTCACTCTCTGGTTCGCACGACGAGACACCCAACTCCTAGGCTACCCCTGCCACGCCACCGTCCAGCGCATGCTCTTCGCACGCTTGTCTGTCCGTCGCTGCTCATGCCGGCCTGTTTGGTTGGCCCCCTTTTGTGTCGCTCAGACGTTTGAAGCGGACCGCCGGCACTCAAGTCGCCACTGCGTGCTGCAGCTTGGCGACGAAAAGCCTGATCTGGCGTCGAACATGTCGGGATGCTTTGTAGCCCACGCCATGCAGCGTAACCGTCTGCACGCGCACAACACGCCGATGGACTCGAGTGCGTGTGCTTGTCTTTGTGTCTGTCCAGTGCTTGTCTATGTGTCTGTCCATGGCCGTGCTGAGCGTCTATCCGTTGCCAGAACCGGGTGTCTATCACTCGACCTCACTTGACTTCACTTGACCTCACTCGACTTCACTTGATCTTACTTGATCTCACTCGACTTCACTTGACCTCACTTGACCTCACTTGACCTCACTTGACCTCACTTGACTTCACTTGACCTCACTCGACCTCACTTGACCTCACTTGACCTCACTGTTTGACTTGACCTCACTTGACCTCACTGTTT